TCTTCTTCTTCTTCTTCTTCTTCTTCTTCTTCTTCTTCTTCTTCTTCTTCTTCTTCTTCTTCTTCTTCTTCTTCTTCTTCTTCTTCTTCTTCTTCTTTTCCTATGGGTTGGATGGGGAATAGGTTTCGAGAGGTGGCGGACATATTGGTAAATAATGTAGAAGGGATAGACTACGCCGCATTAGCTGGAGTGGAGAATCATCTGTCGTGCTATGTGTCGGTGTAACTTTCGGTGAATGCAAGGAATTTGAAAAGGTTTACTTCTTCGTCACGGTGAAAGGAGGCGGTGCCAATTGATCTCGACACGTAAGAGGTGTCCCATCATGGAGGAGGAGAAGAAGTATATGAAATGTGTATGGAGGTCTGAGGTCTGAGTGACATTAAGAAATTGGTGAGGTAATCGTGCATGTCCGAGCTTACCCTACATGGCCTAGCGTGCATCCTGCCTGGTCATAGCTCCCTTCCGGATTGCTTCAACATCATTCGCTTTTCCCCGCAGCTTCTTCTCGTCTCGTTTCTCCTCCTCCAACCACAACTATCCACTGCTGTACACAGTAAGTCGTGCTGGGCGACTCTGAGACTCCTTCTTTCCAAGTCGCAACCTCCCAACTAGCCATTTTTTATTCTGCACCGTCGTTACATATGTTCCGATAGACCTCCGCCCGTGCTTAATCTCTCCATGGCTCTTTGGGGCAATCCACTGGCTTTCAGGCCTCGGCCTGTCATCGTCTTCGTTACCGTTACATACATAGCTCTCTTGGCTGCATTACTCTCGGTTCACCTCACAGTTCCTCACTATCCCAAATCAACACCTTCTGGTATCGATCTCACACAAGCCTGGAGTGATCTCGAGTACATAACCCGACAGTTCCATCCGTACAATTCTCGAGCGAACGATGACGTGCGTAAGTACCTACTATCACGTGCTCGTGATATAGTAGCCTCCAAGAAGCTGGGTAAAGATCAGGTGGAAATTATCGATGACACCATATCCAACGTCACATTCGCAGAGAGGCAGACGACTGTCTACTTTGAGGGCACCAACATCATCATTGCCATCCGTGGATCTGACGATGAGGACCCGATTCCCCTTTCGCAAGACTCTCGTTCTCCAACTAATGGTGGTGTCCTTGTGAATGCTCATTATGATTCCGTTAGCACTGGCTTTGGTGCAACAGACGATGGGGTTGGTGTCGTTTCCATTCTACAACTACTTTCCTACTTCACAGAGCCTCGCAACTGGCCAAAGTCAACCATCGTCTTGCTACTCAACAACGGAGAAGAAGACTTCCTCAACGGTGCAAAGGCATTCATGCGTCATCCCATTTCTCAAGTGCCCCACACCTTTCTGAACCTTGAAGGCGCTGGTGCAGGTGGCAGAGCAACGTTGTTCCGATCCACTGACACCGAAGTGACGCGCTTTTACAAGCAGTCGAATCATCCTTTTGGGACGGTGATAAGTGGTGACGGGTTCAAGAAACGTCTCATTAGAAGTGAGACTGATTACGTTGTTTTCAACGGTGAACTAGGCCTCCGTGGTCTTGACGTGGCCTTCATGGAGCCAAGAGCTCGCTATCATACAGTGGAAGATTCGACGAAGGAGACGTCCCTAAACTCTTTATGGCACATGCTCGATGCAGCCATCTCAACAGTCTCTGGTTTAGCCTCCGATACAAGCACCGAATTCGATGGCGACAACAGGAGTCCCCAAAATGGTAAGGTAGACGCCGGCAGCGGCACCGATGCTGTTTGGTTTGATATCTTGGGGAAGGCATTCGTGATATTCCGTCTACATACTCTGTTTGCTATCAACGTCACCCTGTTGGTCGTCTCTCCACTCGTTCTAATCGGGCTTACTGTCGCATTATCGAAAAGCGATAGGAACTATCTGTTTGCCTGGAAGAAATACGTTCACTCGTCTGATGATGACGAATATGTACAACTCAACGGTTGGCGGGGATTCTTTCGGTTCCCTATTGCATTCGCTGCGGCAACGGCCGCCGATATTGGTCTGGCATTTCTTGTTGTCAGGGTGAACCCACACATCGTTTATAGCAGCCCGTTCGCCGTCTGGAGGTATGTATAGGAAGCGCCGTCATCTTACTGCCGCTTATGATTGTTAGCATGTTACTCTCAGCTTGGCTTTTCGTGCTCTGGTTCATCCTCAGAGGAGCAAGTGCCATGCGTCCTTCAGCTCTGCAGCGTATATACACCCTCATCTGGTTATTCGCCGGCAATTTCGTGCTCCTCACAGGTGCCACTATCTTCGCCAACAATTATCACATCGGCGGTGGCTATTTCATAACTTTCTACTTTGCCTCCGTCTTCTTCGCGTTGGTCATGTCTTACATCGAACTGCTCTTCTTGCCTACCAAGTCGGCTTATGCTGCCAATAATGACAACAACAATGGGTCCAGGAGAGGCTCTGAAGCTCCCAGCCGGCCTTTGACCGGATCAACCAATAACACCCGAACTGAGGAACGTCCAGTGGTAGACGATGATGCCACTGAGACCACCTCATTACTTCGTGGTGACCGAAGAAGCTTTCGACGATATGGAAGCAGGCGGCAGTCTGTTAGCGACGGGACCGAGCAAGAAGAACAACCACAGTCCTTCGACAAAGGCGATGTTTTCCCCGGCGAGCAAGAGTGGAGTGGGAAACTTCCAAGCTCTTTATGGATCATCCAACTAATCCTGCTCATTCCTTTCAACGTCATCCTAGTAGGGCAAGTGGCATTGTTATTAACTTCAGCGCTATACCAGACGCCGGCCGATGGCAGCTCCTCGCTTTTCATCTATATTGGGTTTGCAATACTCTCCGTGCTGCTTCTCACTCCTGTTGGGCCCTTTATCCATCGCTTTACCTATCATATCCCGTTGTTCCTCTTTTTGGTCTGCGCGGGTACGGTAATTTACAATCTAGTCGCTTTTCCGTTCTCCCGAGAACATCGCCTAAAGGTCTACTTCCTCCAAGAGGTGGATCTTGATGCCGGCACAGATCAAGTTTCTCTTACCGGGCTAGATGACTACGTGCGAGGTATCATCAAGGGAATACCCAGTGCGCAAGGCAAGCATCTTGATTGCACGACGCCCCACATTGCGACGCGAAAAGAGTTGACCAAATGCGCATGGGAGGGGCTGCCAGCACAGGTCGTACCCAAGGCCGCCGCACCCTATGGCAATCATAGTTACCTCGACACCTGGCTCGACTACTCCATCAACACGACGAAAGGGGCCAATAACGCTACGATTCGCGTCGTTGGCAAGAACACGCGCGCATGTCGCATTCTTTTTGACTCGCCCATCCTGGAATTGGCAATTGATGGGGGTGTTTCAGACCCTCGCTTTAATGCAACTGGCCCCAACGGCACGCGCGAGGTGCGCCTCTGGCACCGTGAGTGGTCTCAGCCCTGGGACGTTAGCGTGACATGGGACCGTAGCCGAAATTCCACGCTTTCTGGAAGCATCGTCTGCCTCTGGTCTGATGCAAACACAGACGCCATCCCCGCTTTCGATGAGATACGCCACTATCTCCCTGTATGGGCGATCGCGACGAAAGTCAGCGATGGCCTGGTAGAAGGATCCAAACGTTTCAAAATATAGGCTCTCGTCCTGCTCGCCCACGACCCTGGGTCAATGCTGCTTCTCCTTTTCTTTGCTGCGATTTCTGTGCTTCTGCATTTAAGCCTGGCGTTCCTAGTCATTAATCCTCGACATTGTCATTAATGAAATTCAATGCGCGCTCCTCGCCTTCCCGACCATCACCTCTCTATGTCCTCTCCTGCATCTAACATTTCGCCTGCATTTCTTCTCTTCTAGTTTGAACGCCTTCACAATTGTCTTGATTTATGCGATGTACACATTTCTAGCTTATCACTATTAGTAAAATATACGTAAGGCATCGCTTCCAGTTAAATTTAATGTTGGTCTTCATATTGATGAATCCACTGATTACAGATCACGATAGACTCGGCACTTTCTCTAAAAGCTTGCGTCTCGTACTGTCGAGATCATCCGTCATACTGCCTCGATTGACTGCGCAATGTCCGGAGTGACTGCTGCTATGCAAGAATATGCGCAGAACCACCCAATTTCCACAGCCTTTGGTCTACTCGTCGCTATTCCCGGAACATTTGTTCTGATCAAGGGTAATGTCGCCACGTACGTCTTCCAGAGCAGCTGTTTGCATTCTGCGTTTTCAACAGTCTCAGAAATGGCATACGACGAGAGTAAAGCTCCATTCTTGGATCCGGAATCACTGAGCAAACTTCAAGCGAGCCTGCCAACACAAGGGGGTCACAAACTACTCACATCGTCGACACGGCAAGCCTTTCAATGCGCTATGAGAAACCTTTACAACAAATTAACAATTACTGGAGGTTGTTTCAGTCGAGACTTTTTGGACATAATCGAGCTTTTTCAGCAATACTCTGCAAATCACCCTACAATATCTCGAACAACCGCCATTGCCGTCATCTCGTCTCTACCAGGCGCATTCATCTTATACACGGAAAAGCGACCCCGTCTATGGCTGAGACACTACCAGGTGTTATTAACCAATGCCTTGCGCGTTGGCGCGTGTGTCACCATCTCGCAACAGAGCACTTGTGTCCATGACATACTTCTGGCTGCTTTCATCATGATTTCGTTCGAAGTATGCCGGTGGATATCCTCTGAAAATAGAGCCCGGAGCACTGTACGCTTGGCATCCGAAACGCCACTTCGTTCGTCGCATGTTGTTGCGGCAGATTCGGCACGTGCCACGAGCTTGTTTGATGAGAGTCATGGACGAGGTAGGACGCCAAAACCACAGCTGGACGTTTCCGAAAGTATGGAGGAGCAGGGCGATGAGATTCGGCGCCTGCAAAGGACATTAGCAGAGGTCAAGACGGCGGTAAATACCAAAGATCTGGAGTTGAAGGCGGCACAAGCAGATCTTCACACCACCCAAGAGACTTTGGGCGACACATCTACTGAATGCGCAAATCTTCGGGATGAATTGAAGACTATGAAACAAAGCGTGGGTCGCGACCATCAAGCTATCATTTACCGCAAAGACATTGAGCTGTTTGCGCTACGCAAGGCCAACGAGCAAAAGGAAAGATACATCCAAGAAATAGACGCCAAGTCAGAGACCACCATTCGCCAACACAAGGCCAACATGGAATTGAAAGAGACTCAGATTAGGAGCCTCAAGAAAAGAGTTGAGAGTCTGCAGAGAAACGGGAGTCGGTCTGCAGAGGAAGAGTGGGATGAACACATCGATAGTGAACACCAATCAGCAGTGCAGGTGAAGATCCTGCGTGTGAAAGGAAGACATTCACAAGAAGAGGAACGCACGAGTGACGAGAAGGATCGTGAAATTTCTCGGCTGACTGAGGCTCTAGAGGTCTTCAAGGACAGCTCGGAGACATTGGCGCGCGCGCAATCCGAATTACGCCGGGCCTGGAGTTCAAACCATGATTTACAAAAGGCCTTAAATAAGGAGCGAAGCCTCCACGCTCAAACAAGAGAGCAGTTAGAAGAGGCTGCGGTACGACTGGAAGAAGAGGGGTCTAAGACCAGTCAGAAGGTAAGCCCGATGCGCTTACCGACAATTGAGGAATCAGACAAGCAAGAGCTAGAGGCAATGTTCAATACTGCGCAGCAAGACAACCTTCGGCTTTACAGTGAACATGAAGCACTGGATAAACGATTAAGGGAGGCCAATGCCCGCCTGTTTGCAAATGAACAGGAAATGAAAACACTTCGCGAACTTGTCCAATTCGAGAAGTCTATTAATGAAGATATGGAGAACGCAAGACCAAGTCTAGTGCATCGTGTTCATTTCCAGCGCTTGGAAGGACAGTTGCAGGAATGCCGTACTGCACTGGCACAGAAGGATGAGGAAATCTCGCACCTCAGAGCAAGTTTCAAAACCAAGGAAAAAGAGATGCAGGTGTTCAAATGCGACAAAGAAGCTGCGGATAGCGATCAGAGGGGACTTCAAACCAAGGTGGAGCAATTGCAAAAGTATGTGACGGAACTCGAAACTACCAAAGAGCAACTCATGCTCGACCACGAACGCCTCGCTCACCATCGAGCCCGCCAACGGATTTCTTCTGGCGATTACACTTCCGCGCGCTCGAGCGGCGCAACTCTTATCACAGAACCGATCTTGACACCACCATCTGCAAGCTCTGATGTTCCACTTCCTACTCGCCCGATGGCAACAATTCCGTCAGATTCGAGCATTCAAATGACACCGGAGCGAATGCGCAGAGCTCCGTCGCCTTCACCTCTCCGTATCGATACAAGCATCGCGAACATTGCGAGCCCACCTCGCTCAAACATGATATCCACCGATATTCCTCCACCCGAGCTTCGCAGTGCTCATACCCGACGGAAGAGTCTGACACTCAAGGGCTTGATGCGGAAAATGGCCCGCAGGGATACCGATGCCACCGTGACACCGCACACAGGCAAAGACCAAGAAGACATAAAGGATAAGGAGAAAGTCGACACACCGCATCAACGGCCCAAGACCGCGCTCGTGCCAAAAGACAAGAACGCCTCCCTGCGCCCGCAGACCGCGACCGCGCACACCGAGCCGTCCAAAAACGACAGTGCAGCGCCTTCCATTGAGCCATCCACCAAACAACGCCTTATCCGTCCCAAGACTGCAAACGCAGCGCCTGATCCTACGACAGTCGACAAAGAAAATGCAAACACAACAACCAGCGCCACCCCAGCCCGATACTACACCGACAAACTCCCAGAGCCCAACACGAGACCCAAGACTGCCGTGTCTACGAAAGACAAAATCACCTCCGCCGTTCCCGCACGGCCGAAAAGCAGAGGCTGGAGCATGAGTTGGAAGAAGGACAGCGACGGCACAAGCGCAAGCGCGATCGGGACGGGGAGTGTTTCGTGAGTTTGATCCCTCCCCAGCACAATGAGGAATCTCTGCATTTACATTCGAGACTGTTAGCTAACTTTTACATTCACAAAGAAGAAAATTGGTCCGCAGGTCGCTCGCATAACGGCATCGCCAGTTGAAGTAATACAGTCTTGGGCGGATAACTTCTTGTATATGTCATTGTTTTCTTCTCTTCCCGTTCGATACTCGCCGCACGGTACTGCATGCATGTTTTTAATGCCCTTTCTTTTAGACATGACCTTCGATGATACTCACTCACGGCATTCGCGCGATAGATCGGTTCAGCATTTTGAAACGTATTCAATATAGACTAATGTTCACATACACAACACTTATACACTTGTCTCCGTAATATTCGTCTGCTCCGCACCCTCTCCTCCCCCTTCCAACCTCTTAGAGGTGGAAACTCCTAATGGAGGCCGCGTCAGACCCGCCTCTCACGCAGCACAGCACCCCTTCCCAGTGCAGGCCGACCCGTCTTTGCAGCAGATCTCATTCAAGCCGCAGTTATTGACGTCAGCGCAGGCGGCGCGGCAGGCTGCCTGTGCGGTGCCGCCCGGGAACGCGTCACAGTTCTCCGTGCAGGCGGACTTGCCTGCGCAGTCGCATTCGCGGCGGACGAGTGTGTTTGCTTTTGCTGAAATCAGCTCATGTTGTCACTGGGGAGAAAGAAATGGAGGGAGAGGGGAAAGGGAACGGGACGTACTTCCGGGAGCGGCGAAGGCGGTGTTCGCGGCGAAGGCGATGGCGAGGGTTGCGAGGACGGAGAAGCGCATGATGGAGATTTGTATTGGGTTTCTTAAGGTTTTGGTAGAATGGAAATGTGATACTGAGTGAACAGTTGATAGAATGCTGGGTATTGGAGTTTGGTAGTTGGATGATGATTGTTTGAGTGGTTGATGGTAGACTGAATGGCATCGCGACGTCTTCTTATATACCTCCAGCCATCACTGTCAACTGAGACTCTTCGTCATATCTAACTTCGCTCATCGACATCTTCCTCAGAGCCTCTCCACAAGTGAAGAATTAGCCCACAAGATGGCATCGATCTACAGCAGTTGACGTAGGTTAAGGTGCCTTGAAACAAATATCTCAAGACGAAAGCAGCAACTTTCGAGATCCTTCGAAGCCTATCCTCCTATTATAGCATATATCCATCTTCAATTAAGTAAACACCAACAGACGCCAATGCGCTATTTCCTAAAAGGGATGTAAATGCTCAAGACGTAAGGCCCGCAACCGTCATATCTCGCATCCCAGGTGGTGGATAAGATCAATGATGTCATCGCATCGTGCTTGCTACGCCGTAATTATGACAAGATATCCATAAGATTGCATATAAGTGGCGATGCATTGGCTGATGGAGATGTCGCCAATGGATTGTGGTTTGTTGAGCGGCTTGGAATCGGTCAAATGGTAGAGACTTGCGAGGATGGGATAGTTTGGATGCTTGATCCACGATCTGGCACATGTTGATAGCAGAAAAATTTCATTTTGAGTTGGCGTCTTCGTTATAACTCATTTCGGGCGGGTAGAGCGGGCGATGTATTGTATCTCGGGATGGCAACCCAGTTTCGAAGCCATCTGTTTAAGCCGGGCATTGCATCTCTTTCGGTGATTATGGGTAGGAGAATGACGATCGCGAGAAACCATAAAGTAAATAAAAAGAACGATAAAGCAAGTTTCTTATAGCTGGGCGCAGTATAAGTGTTCTCTTCAGCTATCCGGGGGAGGGGCTTATCAGGTAGAGGTTTGTCTTGAGCGAATGCAGCTTGATGATGGGCCACTGGGGGAGTGGGTAGCGGCTTCTGGGCGACTGAAGATGGCGATACACCCTTTTTGGAGGACATTATTCTTCTAGAATAAATATATCCTTGGTCTCGTGTTGTAGTTTGGTAGATGTCAGATCCATGATACCCAGAGACAGAGTCTGGGGAAAGGCTTAACTGGTTACGGTTAGACGTATATCTGGCCTGGGACCACATCAGTTGACAATGCTCAACGAGGAACCTCGAGCTCAACAGGCCTGGTAACCCATCATTTTGAGATGTCATTGAAAAAGATTTGCCGAAGTAAAAGGCCAGCTACCGCACAAAAAAGCATTTCCTTATAGCATGTCTATTATACTGGCAGCGGAAGAATTTCCGCTAATAGTCCGCAGAATCATTACTCATAATATGGATCTTTCATGACAGTACTTTAGGATCATGTTTACTCTCCAAGTCTTTACTTGTTTACTGTAAAATTTGTATTGCAATTTCATTAATTCCTGTGCTTATTATAAAACATGGAAGTATATGCCTTGGCAAAGCTCCACGTCCGGCAATTGTTGATCGACGGCTGAATCGACGAACCAGTGCTTACTGGCAAGGATAAGTCACTCACTGGACCGTCGGATTCGGTACGTAGGATTTTAGTTGATTTCAGCCGTGAAGGAGTTTACATACTCTACGGGTATGACCTATTTGGCTTACTGCGTCTGGCACATCTGTCATGCTAATTTGTCGATTGAATTCATCACCAGGTCGTGAAGCTGCTGTAAAGAACGGCACCAATTTCTTTTCCATTTATGGCTTACGAGGCTTCCGTTTAGATTCGCGGTTTTTCAGCCCTACGAGGAAGAACGTAACATGATGAGCCGGCAGTTGTTGATTTTGGGTGGTCCCACATTGAGGAGACGACATTCTACGGGTAAATATGATGATAGAAATACTTATATACCGTCATCATTCATTTTCAAGTGCGGAATTGGTTGTCCGCCAATTCTTTTGAAGGAAGCTTGGAGCGTGTCATTGTTTATGCTGGATCGCAATTGATTTAGACACAACTCTGGACAAGTCATGTTGGACTTACTCTCATCAGCTACGTTCCTACTCTTAGCAGGTACCGTCACCTGCGACAAGTTTGAGCGACCTCGCAAGCCCATATATCTCGAAAAGTCCGGAGGATTCCAGATCGGCGGAAAGATCATCAACAGTCCCTCCCGGCCCAACGAGACGCTCTCCTGCGACCATGGCTACATGGAATACTTCATCCCCTGGCGACCGCGCCGAACCAGCCTCGTAATGTGGCACAGCTCGAGCACGCAAGTCTGGCAAAACCGCTGGGACGGCGGCGAAGGCTACAAAGACATGTTCCTCCGCCGAAACTATCCCGTCTACCTGTGGGACGGGCCGCGAGTGGGACGCGCGAACTGGGCCTGCGAACCCACGACGTATTTCCCGTCGTACCAGGACCATGCGAACTTCGGGGCGTGGAACTTCGGGCCCAGTTATAAGAATTGGTGGCCAGATGTGCAGTTTCCAACGAGAGATGAGGCGGCGTGGCAGCAGGCGACGAGCGCGAGATATGTGGAGTATGACACGAAGGCGAATGTCGAGTTGCAGTCTGATGCGGCGGCGATTGCGGCCGACTCTGGTCGCATTGGAGAGGATATTGTGTATTTGACGAATTCGGCGGGAGGGCTACGCGCAATGATGACGACGACCAAGGCGAATGGGACGAATATCAAGGGAATCGTTACGTACGAATCAATTGGTTACGTCTTTCCGGATAATATCAACATCACGGCTGGGACTGGAGGGTTTGGTCCTTTCGTTGTGCCGCTCGAGAGATTCAAGAAGCTGGCGAAGGTCAAAAGCATACAGTTTGTTTGGGGTGACCATCGTCCGGAGAACCATACGAGCGTCATGGAGAGTAGGTTGGTCGCAAAGCTGATCAATCAGTATGGCGGAAATGCGAAGGTTATGAAGTTGGGCGAGGATGCCGGACTCAAGGGCAGCACGCACATCCCATTTGCGGATTTGGACAACAGAAAGGTGGCAGGGTTACTCGATGATTTCCTAGAAGAGGCAGAATTAGATGAGTATGCAGATGGTGACGATTGGAATTAGGAGCGGCCAGCATGCGAAGCTGCTGCCAGTTGTTGACTGGAAAAAGTCAAGGTATGGAACACAGATCAGATCATCATTTTCTTTGTGATATCGTCAAATACAAAAGTCTCATCATTGATGTCCTTGTCTCTTTGCGAGTTCACAAGTAATCAGTGATCTCCAATAGTGGTACTTTCTCATGTGTTCCACTGTGTGGATTCATTAACGTTCAAACAAGCGGGTAAGCTACCCCGCGTCCTCCCGCCGCATACCCGCAGGCCTAAACTCAAACGTCCCAGCCCTATCGGATGCTCTATGCCACTTCCCCATCTTCCCTGATCAGGCGTGCGTATCTAGATATTGGCAGGGTATTCCTGCCCTTCATTGGGTACATTGTTAGCCTTCATCAATGTTGCGCAGCTCCCATCTCCACTCAAGACAAAATACTACGCGCATATGCGAAGGTGTATGTAACAGCGATGATGGTCTCCAGATAATCACACGTGGAATTTACCGCTTCGACTGAGCAACAACTGGCTGGAAAGGCGCTCCGTTATCATAACACTCGCTCTTCGATCGACAGATTACGCCCGGTGCCTAGACAGGGGTTATTCTCGTCTTTTATTGGTGACGAGACTTCAGGTCGACCACGATTAACGGCACTTATTCCAAATGCGTGAGCGTCTGCTGTTGAACGTGCAGATTGTGACGGACGATGCGTATGTGACGCCACCGAACATCTCTCTCTTATCAAGACTCAATATGTTCCACGTCCACAATTTCTCATCTCGATAGCTAGTTCGAACAATGTCTGCAACAATCACAACCACAACAGAACCAGAACAGTACGTTCACTACCATGATGGAGGTGTTCCTGGTAAACGAAGGATCCTTACCGGGAAGGCTGCGAAGGACACTTTCAATGAGCTGCCGAAGATAGACTTCAGGCGCATCTACTCGCACGATATCAATGATCGGAAAGAGTTAGCGAGAGAAGTAGGGGCAGCGTGTCGAGACATAGGCTTCTTCTACGCCGTCAACCATGGAGTCGACGAGGACCTACTAAACGATACTTTCGAGGCAGTCAGGAAGTACTTTGATCTACCTACCGACATCAAGATGGAATGCCACAACCAAAAGACGGAGAAGTTCCGTGGCTACGAAGCCTTCCTCGAAGGCAAACTGGATCCAAACACCAGAGGCGACCTCAAAGAAGGCTTTCTGATGGGTGAAGACGCGACCGATCCTGAGCAAAACCGACCCATAACCCCGGCGACCGCAGAACCTCGAAACCAATGGCCATCTCACCCCTCGGCAGCCTTCTTCCGCCCAGCCATATACCGCTACTACAACGCAATGTACGACTTCTCGAAACGAATGCTCCACATCTTCGCGCTAGCTCTCGATCTACCAGAAGACTATTTCGACGTAATTACGACGCATCCCATGACGAATATCCGCGCCGTCCACTACCCGCCTCAAGAGATCGAATCCGACGTCGGTATCGGTGCGCATACAGACTTCTGCTGGTTCACGCTGGTCTGTCAATCACAGACGAAGCTCCCTGCTCTAGAGGTCCTGAACGGCAATGGTATATGGGTTCCCGTGGAGCCTGCGCGAAACACATTCGTAGTCAACGTCGCGGATTTCTTGAAGATGGTCACGGGAGGGACGTGGCAGAGCACGGTGCACAGAGTGAGGAATATGGGCGGCGAGGAGAGGTATTCGATGCCGTTCTTCTTTAGTCCGAATGAGGATGGGAAGGTGGGTGTTTTGGAGCAGTTTAGAGAGCCTGGGAAGACGTATGAAGAGGTTGTGGTGGGGGAGTATTTTCAGAGGAGGTTGGATGTTGATCGGACTACGCATCTTGAGGAGGGTGAAGGGAGAAGGCCGTATATTTGAGAAGGCTAACAGACGCTTGGGACTTCTATCATTGAAATAGGTGGTTGGTAGCGCAATTGCTTCTGAAAGACACTTTGAATCATCCTGAAAGAATTTGATGAGGTGATTCCTCAAGCTCATGAAGTAGATTGGTAGCAAGGCGGCTTGAAGTTACACAAGGTAGAGCCCATACACTAGTACCCGCCTAGCTCTTATTGGAGAACGAAATTGTTTGCACATGTTTGCTTGATATCTTGGGAGGGGTTTTGACTTTCTTCTTCTTTCTTCTTTCTTTCTCCTTCACCTATTGCTTGCGCATTCAATCAATGCCGCTCATCGGATCTGTTCGTGACTCCGACACTCACTCCTTACTAATCCAAGTAAGTAGTGAGATTCTCCTCGTGCGGCTGGCGGCGCCAATGAGATAGACTAGGGTTGATAACTAATCTCTCTCTCGCTTCCCAGATCCAGGCCTCCCACAATTACCCCGCCCCCACTTTTCCAAAGAAAAACATCCACGAAAGCTGCGAAAGCCATCAGACAACACCAGGACGTCGGAATGTACTGGCAATATAGTATTTGCAAATGCAAAATTATCATATGAAAACAAACTGCCTCTTTGGCTTAGTGGTACAGCGTCTCACTCGTATACAATATCCGACATGAGAAGATCCTCGGTTCGATTCCGAGAAGAGGCACATTTCTTTTTGCCATTTTTTGGTCTTTCGGTTGGGGATGATGGATTTGTCATCGGAGAAGGTTTGTTGCAGATGATTGATTACTCTCTTCTTTTTTTTTGTCAAGTAAAACGCCTCATATCAATTAATTGAGATTGTCCGGAAGTTCTTGTAGTTCAGATAGATATCAGTCAATGCTATGATCACACTCGTAGAACTACCATCTTGTTTTCGTTTTTTGTGCTGCTCAAAGGTAAACATCCTGGATGAGCATCGATCCACTCCAAGATGGTCTTCATCTACCAACTGACACGCCAGATTCACCCTTCATACGCTCAGATTTGTGATGTCCGGTGGAACCGGTAATTTTGTGCATCGATTCTGATAGGCCGACGAGTCGTCCGGCGCTACTCGGATCGACCCCATCTTCGTTCGCGTTCCACGCGTACGAGAAACCTCGGCGATGTACGACGCATCATGCATATCAAGGTAAAATGCGGGGCGACAGTCCACAATTGTATCGTTGAATCGCGGGGTATGGCGTCGATAGCTTGCGGACTTTGCGTCAGAGCTAATTCTTGCTCATTAATCAAAAGCTGAGGAGTTGTTCATGTTCCTTAATCCCTCTTTGTGACCCTTTACAGTTTCCTTTGTGTACATGGTGCAACGGATTTGAATTGAACGTGATACTGATCAATTATTTCACAATGTCTGATACAAATGGCTCTGCAGGACAGCGATTGACGCAAATCAAGGACTTCCTGACAATGAACAAGACTGCAACGACCATTCCATGGGATCCTGATTGTACAAAGTTTCCCACCCGAAAGGAGCTCCCTCAGGTTCCTGGCAACCCTCCTGAATCCGCCTGGGTCTGGGGCGACAATGACTATGTTGGTACATGCCTGCACATTGAACAAGGATGAAATCATTGACAAGATAGATTGGCCGATTGAACTTACTGACGCCGACTCGAATTGCAGCAGCATCCAAGGAAATCAAAACCGGCGAGATGATTCCCGTCAACCTCCCGCTCAATGTCCCCAACCAGCCAGCCTTCGGCCGGGAAGTGTTCAAACACGAAATCAAGACTCTCGCCGAGAACTACGCCTACGACGATCTCTACGAGATGAACACGCAAAGCGGCACGCAATGGGACGGCTTCCGACACTTCGCCCACTTCCCTTCCGGATCCTTCTACAATGGCACCACTGGCGCCGACATTGTCGGTCCTGCTGCTAACCACAAGTGCTCCATCCACCACTGGGCCGAGCACGGCATCGCCGGCCGTGGCGTCCTGCTCGACTACCGCGGCTGGGCCCACAAGAAAGGCATCAACTACGACCCCTACGACTACTATCCCATCTCCTGGGAGGAGCTCTACCAGTGCGGTAAAGACCAAGGTATCGACATCCGACCCGCGGCTCAGGGCGGCGACATCAAGATCGGCGACATGCTGTTCGTCCGCAGTGGGTGGAAGGAGGCGTACGACTCCAAGTCGCCCGAGGACAGGACGAAAGCCGCGCTTCGCCACGGGAGCGGAAAGGACGGCGAGGATGGGCAGCGGTACGCGGGACTGAGCCAGGAGCAGAAGATTCTGGACTGGTTGCACGATTGCTACTTTGCCAGCGTTGCGGGCGACGCGCCGGCTTTTGAGGCCTGGCCGACTCATGAAGGTTAGTTGGGTTCTTTGCAGAGAGTGAAGGTTGGCAGAGGGAAGCTTACGTGAATGCAGATTATCATCTCCATGAGTACATTTTGGCGCTCTGGGGAATGCCGTTGGGTGAGATGTTGGATCTTGAGGGTCTGGCGAAGAAGTGCAGAGAGAGGAATCGGTGGTTTTTCTTCTTCACTTCTGCGCCTGCAAACTGTCCTGGTAAGTCGAGATCAAAATCTCAACGTCTGGATTTACATTGCTAATTCATTGCGCTATAGGTGGAGTTAGTTCTCATGTCAACGGTACAGCAATTTTGTAACGTTACTTGGAGGAGTTATCTCAAAGTGAGGTTGTGGAGCATTTAGTTGTAAGAGCGTGTAGTTGAGCATCGGTCTCATCGGCATCAAATTTCATATGGAGAAAACATGGGTGCGACGCGAAATATGTGTACGTACGGCTGTGGACATGGTGTAACAAACAGTACATGATACTTGATATTATTATTGGAGTCTCTTGTAAAATGGCTTGCACTAGACGATGGTTCATAGTACTTCCGTTGTAAAAGGCAATGCTAAGCGAACTTCAGAAGCCAGGCAGACATATTCGATATAACAGTTTGTACCACTGCCAACCCAAAACCAAACCCTCAAATCTCTCTCCTTCACAATTGACTCGGAAAAAGTTTGGAATCATCATAATTACTTTCCGCTTCACTATTTGAAACGTATTCAAATTCTTCCTTCGATCCTCATGGCCGACCAACAGCAAGCTTCCTCTTCATTCAAGGTTTACGCCAGATGGCGACCTTTAACTGCGATTGAATCATCTACTGCCGGATTCGAAAGAAACACAATTGAAAGCGAGACCAATTCCTCGATATCAATTTCCTCACATGTCAACACAAACCGTACTCGCACGTGGAAGAGCGACGCCTCCTTTACCAAAGTATTTCCGGAGACAGCAGCCAACAGCGACATATTCGCAGGAGTAGTCGCACCAACGGTACCTCGAGTGATGCAAGGAGCTACTTGCAACCTGTTTGCCTACGGACATTCAGGGAGTGGGAAGACGCACACGATCATTGGGTACAACTACGACGACAGCAATCAACTTGGATTATGCTTGGGCGCGGCTCGACGCTTGTTCGAAGCTCTCGATCAAGTAAGAACGCAGCCGGTTGAAGAAACGCGTGAGAGGGAAGACTTGGGTGTCGCGGTTCGGCTCTACGAAGTTCGAGGGAAACACGCCTACGACCTATTGAACAACAACATCGAATGCTACATCCGCGAAGGACCCGACGGCCAGACACATGTTCGCGGGCAAACAGAGACTCTAGAAGATGGAAAAGTAAGGGTTCGGCCTATCGTGGCACGACCGTGCTGGTGCTACGAAGAAGTCCAGGAAGCCGTCCGTACTGGCCTGAAGGGAAGGACGACGGGGTCTTCTTCCATACACGATGAAAGCTCGAGAACCCACGCTGTCATCGAGCTCGAAGTCGTCACTAGAAGGCTGATGGACGCGCGCGAAGAAGTCACGGCACGAGAATCCGAACTCGTCCCCGTCGGTAAACGGGCGACAGATGTGTACATCGAGGAACAAAGCAAGTCAATCATCAAGACGCCCGAGGGAAAATACATACCCAACCCCGGCCACCCTGTCAACCAAGCCATCATCGACGCAGCTGAGGCCGAGAAAGCAGAATATGAGAATCGTCTCCGGATGGCGGAAGACTCTGTCAAAGCATGCTTCGACAGCCCCCAGAACGCCTGCCTGGGCGGCAAATTCATCTTCGTAGACCTCGCTGGCTCTGAGTACTTCGACGCCGCAACTTCTACATCAACCAGCCGCCCGAAGCAAACGACGCAGGAACAGCGACAGGGACGCCAGATCAACACCGATCTGTTCGCGCTGAAGGAAGTCATCCGCGCGAAGGCTTCCAAGCAGTCCCGTATACCGTTCCGTGCCTCGCCGCTGACGATGATCCTGCGAAGTCACTTCCTAGCGGAGGAAAGGGAGGGGCAGTCGGCGATGATACTCACGCTTTCGCCGGAGGAGGAGCAGTTCGTGGCGACGTTGAATACGCTGAAGTATGGGAATTTGGTTGGGGAGGCGGGGAGGAGGTAGGCGGCATGATCGCTTGAGGGAGGATTGATGGATGATGCAGGGACCTGTGAGACTTTGTTGTCTGCGTATTCGATCGGATCTTCTTCGTGGCACTGGTGAGTGCGAGGCGTGGCAACACGTTCACGACATCTAAGTGTTTCTAGCTAAGCCCGTAGCATTATCTATCATCTTCGCATTCAAGTCGAAAGGATCGATTGGATGCAACCCATGCCACTCCACACTCTCATCCGGGAGTCTTTTTGCGTGTCCCAAATGACTCAGCTTAGGGTTTCGAAGCCATCTTTCTCATATTCCTCGGCGGGATGTCACCACTACCCTCACGTCTCATCGTGCGGCGCAAGAACGGACGGCAGTGTGTAGCGACGCGGAACCTGGAAGGGCATCTTTGGTACCGAAAGAGCAGCGGATTGCGTGCCGCGTAGTGATGTTGCAACATGTGTCGCCGTGCGTCAATCTATGCGGACGATACTTTCGATGTCTTGGGGTCGGCTGGTAGCAGTCTCGAGGAGAGAGGTAGGTGTGTATTGTATACATGAGCCCGCGGGTGCAGACTTGCAACATGCGCTTGTAGAAGAGGAGGATGGGATCATATATGTAGTTGACGCGGGTAGTTGAGGGGAAGATGTCGCTGACGCCGTGGCTAGTGGAGAGCGGCGCGAGTTCTGTTGGCATCTCGCTGTAGGCGGTCATGTTCGAGAAGTCGGCGGCATCGTTGAGCAGCGTCGCGAAGAAGATGGCTAGTGAAGTATCGGTGCTGTGTTGGATGAAATTAGTAATGGAGTTGATGCAAATGAGGTGCACGATCAGGGAATATCTGCGATGACTAGCATAGAGGACACAGAGGTGTATCTCGTGTCACCAATCCCACTGCGAATGTGAAATCTGAAGCTTGAAGCAAGTTGTGAGTTGATGCCTATCGCAGACCCATGTAGGCCTCTTTTTGCCGCACTGATAGAGTGTCGGTTACTTCGGGTGCATATTTGAGAGACATATCTTTTTGGATAATAGATTTGAATGAGATTCATAAATTCAATAAGTCGTTTGGCAGAATTGTTGAGTTTGACTTATTTGCTGACTTCCATGTAGTGGGAGAAAACTTGAGGTTGAAAGTCCAACCCTTGGTCGATGTTCTACGAGCCTTGGTTCTGAGGATAGGTGCGAAGTATTTATGGATGAATCAACTTCAACTTTAAACCATACTACCACGACATCGATATTTTATTCAATCAAAGACGCTCTAAAGGGATATATTCAATCACATATTTCAATGAAAAATAATAAAACGGCATATTGCATTGTTGAAAAAGACCTGACACTGAGTATGCATGTTCGAGCGACGTCGTGGACATAGGGCTACTTGCACCAAGCATGACCCAACACCAACACGACTGTGGACTACCTATATTCTGCACCTTAAGAATGGCAAGGATCGTCAAATGGTGTCATATTATGATCTGAAAGTCTATCTGCAACATGTGTCCTCACTGTCTACCATGATCGGACTGCCCAAACTCCCTCCTTGAATTGCGATATCGGTGCCTCTTATTCGAAGCGCAAACCGTGGAGCACCCTCCGCCCTACTGCTCCCAAAGCGTCCGACCGTGAGCGATATCGAGTCGCTCCATGAAAATTCGATTACGACGGAGGATGATAACGATCAGCGTCATAGAGGCGCCTCGGTTACGAGGATGAGACTGAGGCATGAGGCACGCGAAATGCTGAAGGCGTCGACAGATCAAAGGACCCGCCTTCAGTCACCGCGCCGCGTGGTAAAGGTACTGATGCCCTGGAGTGCCTCGATATGACGAGACGTCACTGACACGCATGGCTCACTGAGCGTGGTCGCCTTCCAGTCCTCTCGCAGATTGGTGTTCCTTCAGCCGTATACAAAGCCATGCCCGTGTGTGTAGACTCGAGAGCCGTGATGTTTCCGTCGACGCCGGTTTCTCGTTCATGTTGCCACTTGTGGATGAAGCTTTTGCGAAGCTGCAAGAGGATGCCAGTATGCCTGCCTCGCATCACTGGTGTATGAAACTGATCGATCGCCTCGTTCTGGACCCAAACATGGATGGCTACGATGAAAATGAGTGCAAATTGTGTTGTGGTGGTCACGGTGGTGAGCTTGCAATGTAGACTACTGAAGCTTGTCAGTAAAGGCGGTCTTGACGGTGGCATCGTCTCACGGACCTGCGTTTCTCTCCACATGTTCTACCGTTAAACTTCGGCTTCCTAGAGCTTTGGCGCCGTTACATGCACATGGAGTGCGCGTTTACTGGTTCAAACATGATGAAGCTTGAGAAGCCTGTCGTTGCGCTATTCGTTGTCGCCCGTGACCGTGTCTGGGATGGCGGCGCCGTAGTACTGACAGCCTTCGCGGCTTGGGTGGCCAACAAGCTCGTGTTGGCTGATAATGAAAGAAGAAAAACCTGCTAGATATGAATGCAATATTCAAAAATGCCCGTCACTGTCAGTAACAGGCGGTTGTCCTTCGTGAGTCCCATTCGCACTTGAGCGGTTGAGCTCCAAGTAGGCCTGGCCATGAGGCGTCTTCCGCCTACCGAGCATCCCGCAAACCATCAGCAGTGCGGCGACCGAGTAGAGCCTTATATGCGAGGATTAATATACAGACCAAGAGGTGCAGTGAGAGATGAACATGAAGATATCCATTCTTGAACTACCTAATTATGGGTGGAGGTGGAGTGAAATCTCGTGCAGCCCGGACTTTTGACACATAATGGGTGATGCTCAAATGACGCAAAAGTAATAGCAAGTTTGGCGTGTTGCATCTTTGGAAATTGCTGGTTCCCGGCCTCAAGTCTTTCCAGTGAGTGATCGCCATCATCACCTATGCAAGACGTGGTGATGGAATTAGGTTTTCGCATGCCAGATACAGCAGAGAGCTACCAATGGGGCATTCTACATAGGCTAGCTAGCCGGGGAAGCTTTGAGCAGGGCTGCCAAAGACCTGGGCTCGGCGCTTGTTTGCGTCCCACACGGTCATTCGAACTTTCACATACTGGTGGGAACGGACCATCTCAGCAACTACGCAGCATCATTCTACAGCCCAAGGGAGAAAAGCTTTCATATGTGCGGTGTGACTATTCGAAAGAAGTATCTACATATGCTGCCAATTGAACTTAGAGAGACTGGTCAAGATCTTCTGGTGGTCGAAAAACTGGTTGACAGATGCTGGGTTGCACTGGAATAATGAACCGAAACAACACAAAATTTGTATCTCCATGTTCAAAGAGCGTCAAAATAGCCCCTCCATATGCCTCAACCCCAAATGACCGACCAAGCCAAAATTGATATCACGTGCATACCAATTCACTCAAAACAAACATCCCAGTTACCTCCACCCAGAGCGACTCCTCAGTGCCGATGACGCAATCTCATCAAACCTATGAGTCATAAATCCCTCATTGCTGCCTAAATTGCCCTCTCCGGACTCCGGAATATCCAAATATCCGTCACTGACGCTGGTCTGGCAGCAGTTTGGCAGCCAAATCACAAGGCTGGCGAACGCGTGGTCCATGCACAATTACCTATTCCGGTTTAAAGGATCTCTCGCACAGCCCCCCGACCTGGAGACGCGCAGCACAGATCACCCTCGCCAAGCGAGGGTATATAAACCCCCTCCGCCCTATATCCTCCATCCCCTCAACACCAACTTTTCAATTTCGACCTTCGACAACCACCAACAACAATCGAGTCAAGCATCCTCTTCCAATACCAACCATCAATCATGCTTCCTTCTTTGATGCATGTCACCTTCCACCTTCACTTCAACCATCCAACATGACATCAACACATGACAACAACATGACACCTCAACCTCACTTCAACTTCACTTCAACATGTCAACACAACATCAACACATCAACATCACATCAACATCATGTCATCATCATGTCATGTCAAGTCAACAATACCTCCTCTTCCTTCAACTGCTTCACTCGATTGTTGTTCCGGATCCGGACTTCGCCAACTCGAATTCGACTCGCCAATTTTCCTCCGCCTTGTTGAAGCCAATTGATTACTGCACCTCTGTTCAGCGGCTTGCACTCTTCGTGACTGCTCGCTCAGGTCAAGAACAGAGACAGTGTTGTCATTGGCTGGACTCACATGAATATGGTCATATGTTCCTCTGTTGTCCGGATTGAACAGTTGACCGTGTGGAATCTGAGCAGCATATCACACTTTGTGTTTTGTGTCTGTGGCCTATCAACTGTTCATAGCTGCCTCTTGCATCTCTGTTTCAGTTTGAGCTTGAGCTAGACTCGTTCAAATCGTTACATCTGTTACGCAGATTGTTGGAACTGTGGACTCTCTTAGCCGGTGACTGGGTTTCGATTACCTATATGCTCGGTATCTAAGGTGGGCTGCCTGCTTAGGCCATCGACATGGGTATTATCAGGGTTGCCTGCTTAGGCTTTCGACATCAATCGACATCGACATCGACATCGACATCAACCGACATCGACATCAACCAACATCAACATCAACATCAACATCAACATCAACATCAACATCAACATCAACATCAACCTTACTCAACCAATCAACATCCACTTCAATCAACCACCTCAACCGACATGTATTTCAGCCATCCACCTCAATCAACATCCACTTCAACCATCAACCAACACCCACTTCAACCATCAACCAACTTACACCTCAACCTCAAACTACAACCTCAACCTCAACTTCAACTTCAACCTCAACCACTTCAACTCTCAAACAGTAGATAGATACAATAAAACATTGCATTAAACACTTGACCTTCTTCTCATTGTGACTTCTCTTTTGTCTTATGTTCTTATATTCCTTTTGTGACTTGTCTTTTGTCTTTTGTTCTTATATTTCTTCTGTGATTGCATCGTTCTATGTGTTGTTCGTCATATGGTTTCGTTCTCATATAGGTAATACTTTTGCCTCCATATTATAAGTGTCACTTAACTAGAAAGTAATTTCGCTTGGACTTCGCATTTTGCACTGCGCTTTGTTACATCATACACATTATTTTCAGGTCCCTTGGTTGTGTTGGCCCAGACCTTGGCCCATCCCTCGCGTAGGTGAAGATCGTCAATTCGCGATCCTTTAAAGACTCTCCCGACGGCCAAGGTCAGGCACACCACTGCGCCTTTTCCCCACGAAAATCAAAACAAGGATTCGATTACCCCAATTGCCGCTGCGCGAGGCTTATACGCAATGTCACGTAGTTAAATCGGCACCCTATCCCGCATTTGGAGGCGTCAGCAGAAACTATCGTGAAGTGCGAGCCGGGTCGATGAGTGCAAGGCTTCGTACAGCCACAAGCAGCGTGGTCCGAAGAAAGAGAAACAGATCGAGGAGATACAAATAGGCCAGATCCCGTATCAGACGAATCGCAATCATTCACATCATCATGTTTCCCGTTCAGCGATTCCTCCGTGTTGGGCTCGATACTTGCCACTTCGATACCAACGGCCTCTTCGTCTCGTATCACTTCCTCCTCCTCGGTATCCTCCTCATCCAGACTGCTTTCGACGTACTCCGAGCCGCTTTCGGATTCGGTGCTAATGACACTACTGTTGCTGGTGTTGCTGGTATTGCTGCTGCTGCTGCTGCTGCTACTGTCAGTATCAGTGCTGCTGTCAGTATCAGTGCTGCTGTCAGTATCAGTGCTGCTGTCAGTATCAGTGCTACTGTTGTTACTGGTCCTGCTAGTCGTGTCGCTGCTATCACTGCTCTCACTTCCACTCGATGATCCATCAGCCTCCAGCCAAACTCCAAGATAAGCAGCCTTGTTATCTTTATCCGTGCTGGCTTGAGCCTTGGCTCTTACCTGAGGCTTCTTGCACACTCCAGCGGGCCTGCGAGGCGCTCCCTCTAATGGATTTCTTGTAGGAACCGTTCTACGCTTGGAGCGCCTAAGAGGTTTTGATGCCGGCATGCTTGTCCAGAATTGAGGGATTGACAGTAGACAAAGTGACGGGCGGTCAATCCACGATTACAGTTCACTCATATTAGTTTAGAGGGTAAACCTTTGAAAGGTATTGTGCACGAGATGCCATTCTAAACTATGGATAACGTCTTCTTTGTTGGGGTAATGTTTGCGTTGTTAACAGTATTGACAAGTGGATGCAGGGACAAAGGGAAGAAGGATTTTGTACAGTGACTAGAACGATAATATGCACATCAATGATAGTAGTTTTCCAGTTTACTATGGGCTGCGAGGGCTACTCCACAGTTGTGGACTACAGTCATGTTTACCGGTAATTGAGAGGTAAAGCTCGGCATTGTGCGGTAATCACCCAGCATGCACCACAACACCCTCTATCAACAAGAATCAACAAGCGATGACAAGCATTCATATGTACATTCTATAAAAATCTCCAAACTACTTAGGTAAGGAATGAACGTACTTGACCCCTAATATTTCTGCCTGCTCTGGAGATCTTGTACCCTACCTTTATGACCCTATAGTAGATTCTTTATAGAAAATTCTAGAGATGCACATTTTGTAGGCGCAATTATAGGTTTCAAGTGGAACGACTCCATTCTTTTTTCGGTAGTTACAGGAGGGTTTCTTGTACAAAGGGATGGATATTGGACTACAACTTCGACGTCGCATCCGTGAGACTCTTCCTCCCGCCAAAACCGAACAGATACGCCGCCACCTTTCGCATCTGAATCTCCTCACTGCCCTCCGTGATCCTGTATCTCCTGTGATGTCTCCAGATGTGCTCAAACGGAAAGTGTCTGCTGTATCCATTCCCGCCGTGAACTTGTATAGCGCGATCTGCAGCCTCGCAACAGAGCCGGTTGGCCCAGTAATTGCACATGCTAACCTTATCGCCAATCTTCTTCTCGACTTCTACGTGCGGCATGCTGTCCATTTCGAGCGCGGTCTTGCGGATAAGTTGCCGCAGCATCTCGCACTGTGTGTGAAGTTCGACGAGCGGGAATTGTATGGCTTGGTTGTGGGAGAGGGGTGTGCCGAAGGGGGCGCGTCGGTTGGCGTACTCGACGGATTCGCGGACGCAGAAGACTGCTGCGCCGAGGGAGGAGGCGGCTTGTCGGATGCGGTTCTCGTGAACGAAGGCTTGGGCGACTCCTAGGCCGTTGTGGATGGGGCCGAGGACAGCGGTTGAGGGTACCCAGACGTTCTTGATGGAGACGGTGGCATGATCCGTGGGCATGTTCAGTGTCCTGTATGCATAGATCAGTATAACATTTCTGAGTCGAGAGTGTGCCAAACATACCACTCGTAGCTCTCAGCCTTAAGCCCTGGTGAGTCACTGGGAACAATGAAACAACTGATACCCTTTGCCTGGCCGTCCTTCCCTTGTGTTCTCGCGAAGATGAAGCAATGTGTCGCATGGTGCATACCAGTCTGCCACCTCTTCGCGCCGTTCAAAAGCCACCCATCAACGCCATTCCTCTTCTCCGGCCGTCCATGAGTCTCCATATGTGTAGCATCACTTCCATGACCCGGCTCCGTCAATCCAAATGTGATCCTGACCTTGCCCTTCAGCCGTCCCTGTATCAATTCCTCCTTTTGCTGCTCATTGCCATAGTTCATGAGCATGACTACGTCTGGGAAATTTCCGACCATACTGTGCTCGTTCTGGAGATCATTGAACAGGCCCAGGCCTTTGGACGCCAAATGCTCGCGGATCACGGCCATCCATAGGTTCGACCCTCGACCGTCTGCGGAATTCTGCCCGCCGTACTGCTTCGGAAGGGAAAGACGGAAGAAACCAGCCTCATCGGCGAGCCTCTTCGATTCTAAAAGAAGCTCTTCCCATTCTCGGCGTGGGAGACCGCCATTATCCCAGTCGGTTCGCGCGTGTTCGCGGCGGTGATCGAAGAATCGATTGTTGTCGTCCTTGTTCTGTAGGGGCTTGATCTTGGCGTCAATGAATGCATCAAGGTCAGCGAGATATTTCTGTAGATCCGGCGGGACGGAGAAGCTCATGTTCTCGGCAGCCATGACGTTGGCTATGGGAATTGCAGCTCGGTGGAGCTACAAAGGGTATCTAGAATTGGTGAGAAGATCGAATTGGAACGGCAACGAGCAAGAACAGCACCAGTGAATTGGGCGTAAATGACGGTATATATTTAATTGTAAATATCTACGGAAAGAGTTCGGTAGTGACATGGGGATGACTCGCAGCGGCTTGGTCGATGTAGGTAGATCAAATGGGGATTTGCGGAGGTTTGCGGGGAATCGAGCGCCAAGGTTAAAAGCCTCGGCCATAAATAAACACAAACATAGTGATCCGTTTACATACTCTCACATCGCAACTCGAGTAGTCAAAGGATGTCTCATATAGATGCTTCAAAATGTAATAGATACTGCCGAAGCGGGTAATAATCGCTGAATGGGTATGATATAGTACGAAAGGTATTGAAGTAACAACCGAAAATTACCTATACCCGTATAGCCTTTCTTATCTCGAAAACACCCACCGTGCCTTGTGAACCCTAGAAACAACAAATGATCGCGACAAGTGGTCTTATAGCCACTTCGTCGCATTTCCATCATGTATAACTTGAATGGATATAGCGCGCCTGATGCTGTACATCAACAAATAAACAGTTACACACCCAAATGATCCATGACTCCCGTTGAGTTTTCCGGTTGATGAAAGAGACACTCCTCGTAAATGCTGTAACGCCATCCCTAATGTCTCCCCTGAAAGAGCTCATCCCTGCATGTAGAAATCGCCGTTGCCGGTGTTGGCTTCCTGGAACCCAGTGTACCCGGCAATCTCATTCTTCATCGAGTCCGGTAAGTAGTCCCACAATTTCTGGAGTTCGATCTGGCAGGCAGTTGCGTCCTGCATGAATCCATGCCGTTGAAATGTGGGGATACACAAGCCTAGCGCAACTGCCCGCCATAGCGCATTGCGGTTGTGATTTGCCATCTGTCTGGCTGCCCGGACGCTCTTAACAGCCTGAGTATCCATACCATCGGCAAAGAAAAGTACAGCCATGTAGTTCAAGCACATCGTCACGAACTGGAAGTTGCGGAATTGTTGCAACTTTTGCGAGCTGACGATAGCGTTCGATACAAGCGTCTTTTGGCGATTGATGGATGTTTTTGTTGCTGATGTGAAAGCGCGGATGAGCTTAAACGCGGTACTGATATATAGGTGAGGATGGTTGGTGCAAAGAGGTTCAAGCTGGGCAAATAGAATGTCGGAAAGGTAGTGTTCTGGGTGTAGAGGATTCATAACAATCAAGATACGATTCATGGTGGCTAAAATTGCAAGGTCAGTCTTGAAGTCGGCATGAGCGCCAGCGGTCGGTAAAGCAAACACGGGGGAGCCCCAGGCTGCAAGTGCGGAATCGAAGGATCCCCTCAACTGGTCCTGCAAGCCAGACAGGTACTGTAGCATGATCGTATAGGGCTCGCCATTATTGAAAGGTGACTGGCCAAGGCGATTGCGGAGAGATATCACAGCTTCATTTGTGTGGCGCATGTCCTCCGTGTGGCAAGCAACGAGCCCTAGAGTGAAGCTCACATGCCAATCGAGAGTTGATAACCAGCTCCTTCGTTGCAAGCACGTCGAGAGAGGTAGGGGTGCATATGAGGGCCGCTGTAGAGCTTCTGTGCCGTAGTCAGTCAATGCGCAATTCTCATAGAGTAGATGAGACACAAACCTTGGGTAGTTTTAAGGCCCTCAGTCAAATAATCTGGACCTCTACTATCATGAGCCAGCGACACTACGCCACTGAGGTAGTACGCCAACTTCGTGAGATCATCCTTGGAAAGCCAGGAGAACACAAGCTCATCGCGACCATCGTTCGTCTTTCTGAAAATCCCTCCTGTCGTCATAGTCGAGCTCCCTCCCGAACTCCTCTCGATGAGAATGGGAAAGTATGGTGATTTAGCTTCTAGACTGGTATTCAGATTCGCCTGCAATGCAGCTACCTTATTCTTGTCAGGAGTTCCCTGTTGCAAGCTGCACGCAATCTCGACACAATCGACCAAGGCGGCTATTGACCCAAGTTGCTCAACGGAAGTCTGCAGTTGAAGACTTCTGGCGGAGGCAATGGCACGTTGCGCATGCTCCAGTCGATCCGGGGATGAAGTCTTTACGTGAATGAGAGCCTGTAGAACATTACTCGTGACATATACTGCTCGGTCACCCTCTCGCTCTGCGTGGCTGGAAATAGCATGTAGTTGCTGGAGCGCTGGGGCATATTCTGGTTTGCCAGGCCCCTGAAGTGCGAGAGAGACCTTGAGAAAGCGGAAAGCATAGACCCATGCTATATGTCTGAAAGTTTCCACTTCCGAGATGTGACCATCCAAAGTCTTGAAAGCTGCTCGGAGGTTCGTTTGGGCCTGGTATCGGACGGATAGGTGCTGCAAGCTATATTTTATGTCAAGAAGGCGGCATCTAGAACACAAAGCAATCTACGGCATTGTTAGCTGGAAATTACAAATCAAATCATGCTCAACTGACTCCTTTCGTTATGACATCTTCAATTTCCACATCATTGTCAGTTTCCTCCACTAGTAGGCTCGCAAATCTGAGCCTCAACTTCGCCTCGTCTCGCGGCGCATGGTTGTACCTTTTCAGCACAGCTTCCATGCATCCCAGTCCGGTTGCCATGAGTTTTTGATACTGCTCCAAATCCGCCGGTCTCTGCACCATTGCCGTGACTGATCCCAGTGCACGCGCAGCGTCAATGTACTCGTCGGCCGCCGCAAGAAGCAAAACATTAAGGTCCACCGGTAATGATTCATTGACTAGTGTGGGCGTTGACGAAGGTGTGACGGACGTAGATTTTCCCGGAATGACTACTTGTGGGTGTGAGCGATTTTGTGAAGATGGAGTCTGGGGCAGCGAGCTTCGATGCTGGCTGGACTGGTGCTGAGACGACGGCGTTCTCTGATAGGGACCCTGTTGTTGGTTCTGGAGCGGCGATCTATGTTGACTTGGATTTGAGGACGGGAGGCTGCCATTTCGCTGTTGGGGCCGAGGCATGTTCTCCTGGTGTGCTTGCAACCGTTGGGGCGGTTTCGATTCGGGATTCTCGTTCTGCGGCGGTCTTGCATGGCCTTGTCCTTCGCGTGATGGGGCTCCGCTATTAGGCTTATGCGACGGAACTTGAACCTGGCGTATCTTTGGATTTTGCGCCTGGCCCATAACGTTTGAACTCAGGTTTCTTGGTGGAATCACGACTTGCGGTTGTGAAGATCGTTGCTGTGGAGGGGGCCCTTGGAGGACTTGGGCATGGTTCGGATGGTACTGTTGTTGAGGGGAGGGTCGAGGAGGTATTATGACTTGCGGATGATTCGACATAGGCTGCTGGGGAGGATAGACGGGCATCATCTGCTGCTGAGGGTGAACTGGTTGAAATCCGTTTGCGGCGGGGGGGTAGCCGTTGGGATGCATAGGTTGCGCATATTGGCCGTTGGGGTAGCCCTGCTGAGGCCACTGGTATCGCGGGTCCATGGTAGATATCGAGATGTGGGCGACGTCCACCAGCAGCTCCTTCGTCGTCACTGCATGGCGTATTGAAGTTGAAGATGAACCGTAGAACAATAGCGCGACGTTGAGCGGCGCGAACGCGGCTGTCACACCTCCCGCCTAACGCGCTTACACAACCAATCGTTGTCCTCAAATTGACCGAGGCCTACGAGTACAACTAGGTGCACAGAGCGTCAATTTGGGATAGAAAGTTATTCAGATTTTTTTTGCCATTTTCCTGCTCGAATTAGGATTGACAAGCGGCATATTCTAGCTATCTTGTTCTCTTTTGCATAGCCTGGTCTTTTCAGCATTCGTTGTATGTGGAACACGGATACGTCTGATCTCAAGTCATCATACTGCGTACTTGGTCCTGAGTCCTGAGTCCCTCACCCCGATCGCCCTCTATATAGTTAGTATCTCCCTCCTTCTGATCCTTGAATCCCCAGACTATACTATTAGATGAAATACTAAATTGATCAAAATAGATTGCTCCACTACAATGTTCGACGTCACATGGCTCGCGGGCTATGCCAAGACATCATTCACCCATTCTAAGGACCCCATAACCCTCAGATTGAAGTCCGGAGGAAAGCAGTCCTTTAGCCAGTTTGTGGAAGATGTTATACCGCCATGTCGACTAAATCCCGCACTCTTCAATGGCCATCTTCAGACAATGTGGACTGCCATCAAGGACGCAGGACCCCCAGTTCGTAAGTGTAGAAAGATATCAAGACGTTGTTTATTGATATCGCTGTTTATCAAACTTGATTTTAATCCCATGCACATGTATTTGTGAGCTTTTTTATGAGTGTTGGACATCATAGAGTCTGTATAGGAGTCTTCGCCAGTTTAATTTCCAAATTATGTTGGTCTGGAGCATATAGTTTTAACGTTTGGATTACCATATCAGCGTTTGAGTAAATCTAAATGAAGATGTAAACTGACTCCAAACAGACTACAAACGCAACGTATTTCAATCAACCCATAGTCTATATGCTGGCCAATTTGCCGTCGACTTCGTAGTCCCGCCATCCGACTACGAACCCGACACCACCCTCCCGGAAAGAACCACATACTACAGCAAAGAGGACTTCGACAACATTTCCAGCGATGACGACAAGCCAATGCTAATCTGCCTCCACGGCCTCTCTGGCGGATCTCACGAGGTTTATCTCCGGCAGGTCGTCGCGCCGATCACAGCAGCAGGCTGGGAGGCATGCGTTGTGAATTCGCGGGGATGTGCCCTGTCGAAAATCACCACGCCTCAGCTTTTCAATGCTCGTACGACTTGGGATCTAAGGCAGACTGTTGAATTCTTACGGTCGGCTTTCCCTAATAGGCCGCTTTATGGAATTGGGTTCTCCCTGGGCGCGAACATTCTGACGAATTATGTCGCTGAAGAGGGTGAGGCGTGCGTTTTGAAGTCTGCGGTTGCTTGCTCGAATCCTTGGAATTTGGATGTTTCGCATCAGGGGCTGTTAAGGTCGTTTATCGGAATGCAGGTGTACAGCAGGACGATGGGAACCAATCTCAAGAAGCTGTACGCACTGCACAAAGATCAAATACTGCAAAACCCGAAGATTAAACACGAGGACGTCATGAATTGCCGGTATTTGTATGAATTCGATAGGTAAGTGGCCCTGTAAAGTTGACAGAATTTTCGACGCTGCTAATATACATTGAATAGAGTTATACAAGGTCCGACTTGGGGATATCCGACGGAGGGAGCTTATTACCGAGATTCATCATCGACCGATGCCGTCTCCGCCATCAGAATCCCATTTTTAGGTGTAAGCGCAGAAGATGATCCCGTGAGTGCCCCCAGTCTTTTATTCTCCCCACTGTAACTGTAGCTTACACCCAACAGATATCCCATATCGAAGCAATCCCCTTCGAAGAATTCAAACAAAATCCATATGCCGTATTGTGTACTACAAACTGGGGTGGCCATCTTAGCTGGTTCCAGGTCGGCGGTAAAAGATGGTTCGCAACGGCAGTTGTCGCTTTCCTCATGAAGATGCACGACAGCGTGGACCTAAACGCCTTGAACGAGGATAATGATGCAGTGGTGATTGGAAACGTGGAAGCAGGCAAAAACTACCCGAAGTGGGATCCGTCAAACAGGCGACTGACCGTGCCCTTGAGTTGATTTGTTGATGCATCGAGAAAGGGTATCATTAGACTTTTAGACATCATTCGTAGATAGTCCATAGACCACACCAATAATTTCCTGCTCCTGTTCACCTCCTCAACCAAAAGAGACCCTCTTCTTTGACTTCTTGTCCTTCTGCGGAGCCTCGTTTTCCACATCGTCAAACTCAGACTTGTCCGACTGCTTGCTCCTCTTTTTCTTGAGGCCCTGTTTCCTCTCCTCAAACTTCTTCTCCTTCTCTGCACTCCTCTTCTCTGCCTCCTTCCTCTTCGCCTCTCTGACCTCCTCCAATTGTCGCGCGCGCATGATCTTGCTCTCCACTTGTCCCTCCTTCTCAGCATTGACGACACTCATGATCGCAATCATGCTCTCAGCATCGTCGACGAAAATCTTTCCCTTCTTCTGGCCCTTTGGCTTTGCGATACCTGCAGGTATGATGCTGTTGAGCTTGGGGATGTCCAATTCTGCCTCTGTATAGACACGCTTCTTTTTCCTTCCATTATTGACAGGTTTAGACTTTGTCTTCTGTGCGCCGCCGGGCTTCAGCAGCGTTTGTGACTTTTGTTGTCGCTTCGAAATTCCGGTGGGCGCGCTTCCTTTGGGTTTGGAGCCAGAAGGCTTTTTGGCTGCGGATCCGAGCTTGCCGCCGGGTTTTCCCTTGTGGGAGGGTTTCGAAGGTGCCATGTCTGTTTGTGATGCGTGTGTTGTAGAGTGGAGGATCTGCGAGTGCGCGCAGCTCGAACTTTTTTTGTGAGCATTGGTCTAGGTCGGCGGTTGCTGATACCGATGGGTAGACTAGATGGGGTTAGTACGAGAGGCTGGGGCCGGCAACCGCGACCTTGGCCTTGCAAGCTGCAACTGCGACGACAACCTGCGCAACAACTGTAACTACATACCATCTATCAAGCAACGAGGCCTCGAGTCAACAACTACATATTCACCGACTCCTTCGAGCAATACGCAATTATCCGGATCCAGACTGCAATATGTCGGCCCACCATCCTTTCAGGTTCCCCAAGCCTGCCTGGTTGAACAGTGCCAACACCAGGACAGCCGGCGTCTATGCCGCAGGAGCTCTGGTAGGCAGCCCCGAACCCTCAGAGACCTCGGAATCGCGCGCATCAATGAATACTAACATGTCCCGCGCAGTTCTCGCTCGGCTTCTACTGCCTCATCGATATCGCTGTCTGGTCCAAATCCGCCCTTAACCCATCCGACCCTCCGGTGCACATTACATTCGTGGACTGGATCCCCGGAATCTGCAGCGCGCTCGGCATGCTTGTTATCAACAGCATCGACAAGTCCCGCCTTTCCGCGGACAGCTTCAGTTACAGCGGCAACGGCGTTGCGTGGAAGGCTAGATTGGTTCTGTTCTTGGGTTTTGCGCTGTTGGCTGGTGGATTGGCGGGTAGCGTCACTGTGCTTGTGCTGAAATACATCGTGCGAGAGTACATCTGGCCGACGCTTTGGCTGGGTGTTGGTAACGTCGTTGCTAATGGTTTGGTTATGCTCAGGTGAGTTTGCAAGAAGTAGCGCGATTCGCGACGTACAATGCTAACGAATACATAGCTCTGCTGTGCTCTGGGTTGCTCAGAATATGGAAGATGAATATACCTATAACCTTGCGTTGTAGATCATATAAGTGTAAATCGGTCAGCGTGTATGGCCTTGGAAGCAGCGAGGTTGTTGTTGGCACAATAGGCGGGTTGCGAATTGGCAATTACAACATGGCAGTCGAAATACCCTTGGATTGTCATATGGAAGTGTGGAATCATCGCTTGAATTTGAAGTGTACGATCATAGCATTAGGCGTTCAGGGCTGTCCGTTGAAATCGAAGGCGTCATTACATCACCAAGCTTCACTCAAGGTACTGTGCATGCGAATTATGTCATGAAAACCAGATGCCCAGAATGCAATATATCCAACATGATTGTACAAAAGCGCTTGATATTCGAAAGAAAAGGAACAATGTACCTGAACCTGAAAAGCCTCCGATCTCGGGTATTACTGCGCACCCCAGAGGCCCGTACGACTCTCGCGGATCCCGCTAAAATACAACATCCTCACATGCGATACAACATCAAATCTCTTCCTCGTCATCTATGCCTCATCCCGGCCTTGCAGTCAGAACTCTTGCTCCTCCTGGAAGAACAAAGTGAAACTCATGATGGTTCCGTAAATCAAAAGACCGCCAACAATGGACATGGCAGCAGCACCTCCAGCAATGGCCGCGGAGTGCCAAAGAAGGGAGGGGAGGGCTGTAGCAATAGTTAGCGCAAGTGTCCTGCTTTGAAAGGCCGTACCCGGATGGTATGTGACGGCGCATAGTTGTTCAAGTTTTGCCATGTTTCGACTTACCAATTCCCATAACGACGAAGAAACCGGTCAAGAAGCGTCCAAAGTCAATCACGCCAGATCCGGAGCTCTCCATGAAATCATCCGGGTTTGCTGCGCGACCGCATATCCAGTTCGGCAAAGGCGCGACGACGTAGGTTGCGACGACGAGGAGAGTGAGATAGCTCTTGAAGAGCGCGGCGGAGAGAATAACGAGCAGGAAGCCTATCGCCAAAACCTATGCGCTGGTTAGTACCTCAATGTGATGCTATTGTATAGACATGTCGTGAGGAGCATGCTATGGAGGCAGACGTACGAAGGATAGTCCGATGATGGTTTTGATTCCTGCCATGGCTGCGGTTCGTATAGATTCGGTGATATGCTCGCGAGCGGTATGTAATCTCTTCCCGAATATATGGATCGAATAGGTGGTTCTGGCGCAAGTTGGAGGTTGGTTGCTGGCTATTCCGGGAACTGGATCTTAAGGTGAGGTTGCGTAGCGCTGCCATGAGGCTGGGCCGGGAAGGCGTGAACCGTGCACTTCTTGGCAGTGTAGCTCCAGAGCTTCGTAACATCAGAGATGCCTTGACGTCCGTCTTGAACTACGACAATAAACCCCCGCATCAATTCAAGAACAAACTCCTTTACACCACTCATAGAGCCGATCAGAGAGTTGCCCGTGAGCCCTGTTTGCTGAAATTAGTCGAACTGCGAATCGTCGCCCCGCCATCGTCGACGGTCTACATCTCCCACCTTCACAATGTTTAGAAATAACTATGACAACGATTCGGTGACTTTGTCAGTATTCATTGGTCCCATAATTTGGATTCGCTGTTAACAAGTGTTCAGCTCGCCTCAAGGTCGTATCTTCCAGGTCGAATACGCCAACGAAGCCGTCAAGCAAGGTTCCGTTGTTGTTGGTATCGTCAGCAAGACCCACGCAGTCCTCGCCGCCATCAAGGTAACAGAGATTCATGCCAGAATGTGCTCCATGTGCTAAACCATAATAGCGTAATGCCGAAGAGCTATCATCATACCAAAAGAAGATAATACCCATCGACTCGCACTACGGTGTCGCACTCGCTGGACTTGCCTCAGACGCACGCGTCTTGTCGAACTTCATGAAGCAGCAGTCGCTTGCATCGCGCCTTACTTATGACCGCGCGATCCCCCTCTCCGAGATCACACTCCGCATCGCAGACCGAGCACAGACAAACACTCAGCAATACGGCAAGCGACCCTATGGCGTGGGACTGCTCATCGCAGGCGTGGACCAGAAGGGACCGCATCTATTCGAATTTCAGCCAAGTGGAGTTACCCAGGAGATGGTTGCGTGCGGCATCGGAGCTCGTTCCCAAATGGCAAGAACATACCTAGAGAGGCACTTGGACGAATTCGCGGACTCTGGCCGAGAGGAGTTGGTCAAGCACGCGTTGAGGGCTCTTAAGGAGTCATTAAGCCAGGATAAGGAGCTGACTGTGGACAACACCAGTGTTGGAGTGTCCGGTGTGGGGGAGAACTTTGCGTTGTATGAGGGCCAGGACATTGCGGAGTGGCTTGATGCAACGTTCGAGAACCAGCAGGGAGGAGACGAAGAGACAGAGGCTATGGAGACAGACTCATGAGGAACATGACACATATGAATGGCAGCAGATCCATCCACCTTCAAGACGACCGGGCACAGATGCTCGACGTAGTTACATGCAATGATGTAGCGGGGAACGACACGACCCTTTGAAAGCCGTTGTCATATCTCGGTTTGCGGCTCATGAGTATAGAAATGAAACCAAGTCATGAATATTACATTCAACCTCGTCAAAACTACTTGATCGTCATACCCTTTCCGTAGATGTTGCTTACCTGGGTTGGGCCCCTAGGTAGACATTGATCAACATTCAACCTTTCTGGGATAATCGATAGTTACTACCCAAGTTCTGGCATGACCATTTGACATGAGAGGTATATTTTCCAGTTCTTTGAAAAAAAAAATGGAGGTAATATTCGTTTAATTCGATTGTATTGCTATCTATTAAACATGTGGTACATTAGTTAAACGGTTGCGAAGGAAGTATATATGAATCACGTGATCATGAACTAGCGCATCGGAAGCTCTCGCGGCTCAAGATACCCAAGCTCATCGACTCTTCCATCCACCAAACCCTCCATCTCCTCCACCGAACGAATCCCCCGTTTCTCCAACTCCATACCGCCACAATGACAGCCGCGTGGAAAGCCGCAGGTCTCACGTACGCCCTCCATCCCGCCGCCGGTACCGCAATCGATCCATAGGACTTGTCGTTAACGATTTTTCTAGCTACAACCGCTACATCGCCGTCGCATCGCGCGTTGTCCGCCGCTCCCTCAAGGAGGATAAGAGAATCGCTGCCGAGAGGCGAGGCGAGAGCGAGCTCAGGTTCGCCAAGTGGCAGGTGAGTGTTGAAAGAGGACGCAATTGCGGATTCGGGGATTGGACACTGATGGAAGGACATCTAGAACGGCAAGCAGGGTGAGGTCAAGAACCTCGACGCTGCCAACGCTGCCAACGCTACCGAGGCCGCTGCTTCATCCTAGACGTGTGCAATTGGAGATATGAGATGATTGGTGATGGCAATGGCAATTGGCATTCGCGAATGATGCGGAGGTGCCTGTGAAGGACCAGCGGAAGGGGAAAATGGCAGTGCACCGGGCTCTGTATATTCTGTAACATCACCGAATCTAAATGCACGAAGGGTTCTGAGCCTCACGCTTACGTCCAATGATTGATTATTCATGTGTTCTGCCTGTGTTCTGTGGTGTCAATTGCAATGAGTTGACGATCCGTTGTTGGTCCACTTTACCAATCTTAAACCTGCAAACCTCACCAAAACCAAATCCAAGTTAACCACCCACCTACCAACGAGCCCGCGCTTCCCTTCTAGTCACATAATCTCTTCCGCATCGGAACCTCTAATTACTCCATCACCCAAACATGGCAGAGCATCCTTTGCGCAACAACACAGCCGCGCGAGAGGAAGCTGATGTCATTCTGCCTTTAATAAATCCTAGTTTGTGCTTGTAATTCTTGTAATTCGTAAACTCTTCATTGACGGGCGCTCAGGCCATCCCAACGACCACCGAGATTCGGATAAGCGACACAATGTTAGTCTGCCGCTGAGAAGAGCCATGCAGCAATCTACGAGACCCCCAGAACCGAAAGTACACGATATTACTGAGAAATTCACTCGCGCCTGCAACGGTATAGTCTCTCCTCTCAGTTCTGTCTTTCAGCTTTCGATGTTTCCCGGGTATATCAGGCACCCCACTGAGTTTGCTTGGCATTGATGCCCTTCAGCTACTGTTCATTATCAAAATCAAGTTACCCAGAATAGTCCGCTAATTACTTTGCATAGCTTTGGAGGTTGGCCAGCTTGTGAAAGATGATTTGTTCACATTGTTCGAGTCCATCGGGGCTCTGGAGGTATCGTTGCTCCCGTCCACTTCTGCATGCATGCACGCAGTAGCCTGACTGCCCAATACAGATCATGGACTCCAAAATGGACAGTGGATTCTTGAAACCTGGAGAAACTCTTGAACATGACTATGACGCCTTGAATTCCATATTGCCAGAAGAGCTGGTCGGTATAATGGACCAGCTTCTGTGTCACGAGATGGCATGGCACACTGGCTACCCTCTCTCACAAACTCTTTTCACTTCAGTCTACATCGACAATTTGCTGTGGCCCGAGCCTAAGACACTTGCCCAGGCCCAGTTCTATCGAGGGTCCATACCGGACGAAAGAAGGCCAGGGGTTTTGCTTGAAGCATTAAGAGCCTATTGTCTTGCGGTGATCAAGTGTTGCGACTACGTGATCGCCAAAGTCACGGGAAGGGATTACTTTGAAGAAGAAGACTTCTGCACACATACGTACAACCGGGTGTTGTTTGTTCAAATACCCTTGGATGTTTTCATGAGGGAACTGGACGCTGCCATTGAGAACATCGAGAGCGAGTAAGTCTACTCAAGCATTCCATTGGTATACTATTCTAACCAGCCTACCAGACCGGATCTCAGCGAAGATGTTCGCTCCGCAATTATTACTCGCCTTCAATTCCGCAAAGACTTCCTTATAGCCCTAGATCCCGATTGCCCCCTTTCTCAACTAGAGTCATATTGGCCACCCATCAGATCTAATCTTCAACCCATCAAAGACACCCAGCCACTTGGAAAACCAGTACCATCCTCCTTCACCACCAAGATCCAACGCAGACTAGCTTCCACTGTCCCACCACGGCCGATCGTGGAGTTCGAATTCAAAGATGCTTTTGAGAAGCTGCAACAAATTTGTACCGATTGCGAGCAAGCAACGAACTTCGTGGATCTCCCATCAGACCCCATCGAATTTCAATCATTTCTTTGGGCATACGCTGGCAGAAAGCCAGCGCCTTTAACGTACGCTAGATCCTACCTAGGCACAATCCTCTTCCACCCAGAAACTCTCAATACGGGAATGTCTTTACCTCTCCTAGATGTGAAGGGTCTCGTCTACCCACTGTCACCCGTCACAGACCAGTCAAACTGGGCACTTTCGCCTCCACGCAACCCACTCATGCCAAAATCGCCCCGACTCCAACTCTCCCTCCTCGTCGATGAGTTCATAGAACGAGCTAGCCAACCCTACCTCGACTTCTGGACCGCCCTCGGCCAGAACCGCTGCCGCCTGCGCCGTATGATGACGCACGTAATCATCGGCTGGGACAACCTGCAAGCCGACGCCGGCATCGTCGACGAGGACATCAACCGCGTGGTCGACGAAATGGGGATCCGCGAGCAAGTCCTCCACGACGCCCTCACAACCTGGACGTACCACAAAAAGCTCTGGATGGTCGAGCGAATCGTCCTTCTCGGCTTCGAACAGGACATCTACCTGCCCGACGAATACGCAAGCATGTACAACTTCCTCTCGATCATCGCCTCGCGACGTGCCCTCGTCCTCTCCCGCATCTCCGAGCACCACGCCCAGCGCATCGCCAGCGGCATTATCGACACAAGCGACCCCGAAAACGTAGAGTATGCATCCCACATCGAGTCCCTACAGTGCGAAGCAACCGCGCTCCAGGACCTCAGCGCCGCCATGGCGAAACTATACACCGTGCTGCTCTACCTGCGCCTGGTGCCCGTGCCCAAACGACCCTTCAGCACAGAGGAATTGCGCTACGAACTGCGCATGAAACCGTTCCTCGCCCTGCAGCCTCCAGAGGTGGAGCCCTTCGCGCAACACCAGGCGCTTCTCCAGCCGTTTGGACCGTACGAGAGGCCGAACGCGGCGTTCGCTGCGAGTATGTTGGATCCGAAGAGCGGGCTGTGGACAGACATGGAGGCCGCGCTACAGAACGCGAAGGGCAGGTTGCAGGGCATGAAGAAGCAAGGGGCAGCGGGCGCGAAAGCCAGCGGTGCAGAAACAGCGTGGAAGGAGGAGTTTAAGGGGTTGGTTGAGAGTGCGGTGCTGTTTGGAGTCGTCATCGCGCGCTTGAAGGGCGCGGTGAGGAAGGTTGAGGGGAGCGAGAGTGGGGTTGCTGTTGATGTTAAGGTGGAGATTCCGGCGATTGTGGTCGGGACGAAGTGTTCTGATCGGTGGATTGTGCCTACAGTTAGTCAGAAGTTGAAGTAGCGTTTCAAGCACACTCTGCATGTTGGATTTGTACGCAGGGTATTGCGACGAGGTCATCGTCACAGGTAGTACGAAGCCGTGGAAACATAAACAATTGATATTCCCCTCACTCATAAACCATTCATTGAGCTCTCGTTTCCTTCCCTAAAAAAATGCCATGGGGTATCATAACCACAACAAACAACCATAACGCCAAATCCATTATCCCCTATCCCTTCTCGTCCCGTATCCTGCAATCCCATCATACGACGCAGAGTCAGACCCTCAACCCTTGAACTTCCTCAAGCAGTTCTCCCGAACCTTCCTCACACTCCTCGCCGATACCCCCCTCTCCCCCGCCTTCTTTGACTCTATCCTCGCCTCCTTCATAACCCTAAAACACCCTCTCGTCAGCATTGCCATCCTTCCATTCAAACAACACCGCCGATGCGCTCTTCACTCGCAGCATTCAATTCCATTCCATTCGGGACGCGGAAGGGAGGGGGGAAACGTACTCTTGCAGGAAAAGCGTGTAATTTAGAAACACCTATCCCACATGTTAGCTTCAATCCTCGAGTCTGAGGAAGGGAAAGGGGACGTACGAGGATGTCCACGTTTTTGGCGAGCGGCTTGTTCGCGTGGGCTTTTAGGGTTTTCTTGAGTGTTGCGCGCGGGTAGAGCGTCGTTGGTGCCATTGTTCCTTGTATTATCGGGTTTTTGGGGTGTGGTGTGGAGGTGGTGTTGTGGTTGTGGAGGTTGTTTTGGGTGTTGTTTGGTGGTTGCGGTTGTGGAGGTTCGTTGGTGCGGGTGTGACGTGCTGATGCACGCACGCGTTGGCACGTGGGAGGGAGGGGAAAGAGAACGCCCCAAACTCCAGCTGTCTAGAAGCAATTACGAGGTTCTGTGCTCGAACGATTAGTTATATTAATAGATTTTGTATCAGTAGTTCTTGTCTTGATTATTAGTGAGTGAAACCAAAATCAATTTTCATGATTGAACGGAATGATTTGATTTTCATGATTTCTGTACCTAATTCAGACATGTAGGGGTAGTTGATAAAGACATGATCTTTAAATGCCAAAAAAAATCACAAGAAATCACCAGCAAGTCTAAAACATAAATTCGATGCGTAACAAAGAAAATTGCTCCATATAAGACACTTCTATCAGGGACTAATCACAGATTATGGTACACAAGCCCCCAAGCCCTACGGCGAGATTTTGCCATCTATCCTCCCAGCTACGTAATCTACTTTTACACCTTGAGACCCAACTCATCGGCGAATGGCAACACAAAGAGGTCACCAACTGATGAAACAGTAGCCTTGTTCTCGAGTAATGATGCGGCAGCCTGAGGATAAACATATTAGCAATGACGTCTTGTGAAAACTTTGGAATGGAGATAATTACCTTCTTGACAGCCTCCTCGCTGACGCCGTCGATGGCCTTGGCGACCTCGTCGATCTGGTAGGCCTGGTTGTTGTTGACAAGGCCAGATCCAGTGAGCTCAATGCCGGCCTTGGTGTCCTGGCCGTTCTCAAGCTCCTTGAACTTAGCTGCGGCCTTGGCCTTAGCGAACTGCTCCTTGCTGATCTCGCCAGCGGCGACCTTCTTGATGGCGTCGACGACAGCGTAAGCAGACTTCGCAACGTTCTGTGCGGATCCAACAATGCTAGTGTAGAGAAGACCGGCATCGGAGTAGATGGCGCTGGTGGTCTTGACGTAGGTGGAGGGGGAAGCCTTGGTGTTGCCGAGGATGGAGAAACCGGGAGACCACTTGACGTTGGACTGACCACCGAGAAGGGAACCGAGAACAGCGACCTCAGGCTTGTAGGACTTGCCAGTGAAAGAGCTGGAGCCGGGGAATGCGAGGACAACAGCGTTGCCACCAGCGTGTGCGATACGCTCCTCACCACCGAAGTACTTGGTTTGCTCAGCACCAACACCAGTCTGCTCAATTGGTGCAGCGGGGACTCCGTCGAAGAACTGGTTGACCCATTGGGAGAACTCGCCGTGCTCGGCACCGTTGGCTACAACGGCGAAGTTGGACTTGGCGTATGCAATCTTGGAGAAGTACTCGATCGCCTCGGCGTTGAGGTACTGCGTGTACGGGACGGAGGAGGCGGAGGCAGTGGGGTTTCCAAGACCACGGTGGAAAGCGAGGCTGTGGGCAGAGTTGACGGCCATCTCAGCGGGATTGGCGAGGAAACGCTTGTGGGCTGCGATGATGAGGGGAAGGACCTCCTCCTTGTAGACATATTCTAACTTCATCAGTATCTCATATTCCATCGTTCTGGGAAGCTCAGCGTACGGTCAAACTTGGACTGGGATGCTACCTCGCCCAAAAGCTCGACATAGTAGGGAAGGTCATCGCGGAGGAACTTGGCTTCGAGGACGAGGTTTTCGCGGGTATGGTAGGCGCGGACTTCGGCTCCAAGGAGCTCAGATTCGCGAACAATTCGCAACGTCGACCTTCGCTCGGTGTTCTGGAGGCCAATTGACCGTTAGTCAAGCAGTTCCATTGCGATTATCAATGTTAAATGGGCGTACCCGGAAAGCGAATGCTGCGAGACCCTCAGTCAACCCGGGAAGTGGCTGGTATCGGGTTCCAGCCTTCGAAACCAAAGCAAGAGTGGTGGTAGGTCCTGCGAAGTCTCTGCTGGCGAACTTGACGCCCTTTGCGTCGCCGGACTGGTACTGGAAAGATCCTGATGCAGGAGCAGCGAGGCCTCGGCGTTGGGCCGGGTGGACGGCTGAGCGGCGAACAGCACTTTGCGCGCCCCGGCAGACTGTCGAACGGGGGAACATTGTGAAGGAGAGCGCCGTGCTGCGGGGCAGGAGGTAGTGGGCGGAGGGCAATGGATGGATGGGATGGAGATGCAGTCGGCTGTCGTGATGAAGTTTAGAGTTGAGAATCGTCGTTCTGATCATCGATGCTCTGATTGGTCGAGGGCCCGGTGATATGATTTTCCATGACCCGCCCAATAGTTTCGTAGCTGCGACTCCCAGCCAGAGCTTCGATGAACTTTTTCTTTGCTCGTAATTAGAAACGAATCTTCGAATTGAATTTTCTCCGCCTTTCTCATAGAACCGGGAATTCGTACACACTTCAGAATATGCTGTGACTTCTTGCGACCCGCTTTGTGCCATTCGAGAGGCATGCTTTTCTTTCACCTTTGACTTCAACTTCATACATTTTATCCGGTAAGGCCTCGGTCCCGCCGCTGCCGCAAGTTTATTTCGAAGGGATGAATCATAACGGGCAGAATAATAGTAATAGAGCGGCGTAAGAGGCTGCCTTGAGCCACTGCGCTGAAGCAGAAACATCCACCCATCTCGACATCCGTTTCCATCCTCCGTAAAGGCCTGTCGCATTGAACCTATACCCCCACTATGTCGTACGCTCAGCGCGACACGCCCATCCTTGCGAAACTCTGCACGTTGCTTGTGGAAGACCAATACGGCGAACTTGCTTCACGAATCTTTACCGTTCTCGCTCGTCACGGTCGCCAGACTCTACCCTCCATCGTCCGAGCATCCTACCTCAACAGCAGGCAGATCAAGTATGGACTCATCGTACTGATCCAGCAGCACCTCGTCTTCCACTCTTCATTCCTCGATCCGACCACGACGTACTACGAGATAGATTGGCAGCAGGCATATTCGCTCGTGCGGTATGGCAAAATTCTGAAGGCGGTCGAAGATCGGTTCGGTGGCAAGGCCGCGAACGTGATGTCTAATCTGATTGCGCTCGGCCATACTCGAATCCAAGATTTACGGGAAGCATACTTTCCTCCGTCAGACAACAACAGCGATGCAGGCTCCGACAGCGGACGAGTGAACGGAAAGGTGAATGGCCACAAACCTAATGGCACCGCGAATGGAGCAAATGGGCATAACAACGGTCACAGTAATGGTCACGGAGAGGGAGAGGAAGATGTTAATGATCTCACAATCCAATCCGAAGAAGAGCTAGATGCTATCATACATCATCTCATGCTGGAAGGATGGATAATAAGAGTTGACGAGATCCAATACCTCTCTCCAGGAGATATCCAGGGCATGGTGCAACGAGAAGTCCTCGGTGAACAACACGACGGCAAGATGCCCAGTGGCGTCAAAGCAAAAGAGCAAATGGTCTTTGAAATCAACTCACGGAAACGAGCCATGCGGGACGACTGGTGTCGAGTGCCCAAATGCAACTCTCGAAAGCGATTAGCATCCGATCCCGACTTCAGCAGGACCACAAAACGCCTGAAACAAGGCGCGCTCGAATGGCAGCCACGAGACGCAAACAACATCGTCATGCTAGAAAGCGGCCTCGTCATCCGCACGAATCCAGAGAAGATCTCCGTCGCCCTCCGCACCGAGCAGCTCGTCCACCTCGTAGAGCAACGCCTTGGCCCCGTCACAGCCAAAATCTACGAAGTCATGCTCCGCCTCATGGAAACAACCATAGCCCGCGCCTACGAACCCTACGCCGATCCACCCCCCTCCGACCCGGACGCAATGGGACCCGAAGTCCAAGACAAGCACCTCGTAACCGCGCAAGACGTCGCGAAGAAACTCGACAAAGACCTCGACATCCTCGACGGCCTAGACCCCTACCACGTCGTCCGACTCGTCGAAGCCGACACGCGCGTTCGCTACGACACCACGAACCGGCAAATCAACCCGCCCGTCGATCCCACAACCCTCAGCTACCAAACCCGCACCAAAGTCATCGACTGCCACATCCGCCGCCTCGCCGACGACCCCTTCCACTTCACGACCTGGCATTCCCGCGCCGGCTTCTCACAGTGGCACGTCGAGTTCGACGAGCTCTCCAAATCCCTCATCCAGCACGAAATCGAAACAACCATCCAATCCCGCGGCGGCGACCGCGGCCCCCTCGGCGTCAAACTCATCCGCGCCCTCAAAAAGAAAGGCAAACTCGACGAGCGCCAAACCTGCAACACGATGATGATGCCCGCCGGCGAGATCCGCCAGATCGCCAACGAAATGGCAGTCCAGGGCTTCGTGCAAACACAAGAGATCCCGAAAGTCGAGCGCCGCGAGGCGAAGCACTCCATCCACCTCATATGGTACGACCGGCAGCGCGCGCGCGAGAAGCTGCTGCACGACACGTACAAAGGCATGATACGGATCCTGCAGCGCATCGCGTTCGAGAAGGAGAAGGTGCGGGAGCTGCTGAATAAGGCCGAGAGGAGCGATGTCGTGGGGAATGAGGAGAAGTGGCTGAGTCAGGACGAGTTGAGCGTGCTGAGGAAGTGGAAGGAGGTGCAGGATAAATTGCTGCTGCAGTTGCTCAGGGAGGACGATCTCGTGGCGACGTTGAGGGATCATACCGGGCCGTTGACGTCGCCTTGATGGACGGACGCGACCTCAGTAGTAAGATTATTCGAGATTCCCACATCACGAAAGATACAAATACACGTATGTACATATGGTATGTAGCATGCAGAAGAACCCAAATCAAAAGTATACCAACCACCCTTTGGCCCCCTGACACATCCCTCATTCAATATCATGTTCACATATCAAAAGAAACAAAAAGTCAAACAATCAAAAACATCAAGATTTTTCCATACCCTAATACTCTGTACAAACCCCCACCACTTCCCCCCTTCCCACCCCCTTTCCATCCTCCCAACCATCCAACATAAAACCCCAAAACCACCAACACCAACACCAACAATAAGGACCAACGAAAACCAGTGCTTCCTCCATCCACGATCCTCTGCCCTGTATCCAAAGACAGAACCAAGTGTCTCACTTACAAACAATGCGCCGTGTGGCGCCGGTAAAATGCATATGTAGTCCTCCCCCTGCTTTGTGGGTCTCTACTTCTGCGCCATAACGTCGACGTACCTTCCGCCCCTCTTCTTCCCCTTCTTGGGTCCCTTGTTCGCGGTCGCGGCGCCGAGGAGGTCGTCGATGGAACTCGCGTTGCTGAGGCCTGTGCTAGGTCTGGACGGGGGGCCACTGGCAAGGAGACCCGGGTTGACGAGCGGAGGGGCTTTGTTGCCGCCGCCCTCAGAGTCGGACATGAGGCCTGGTGTTGAGGAGCGGGAGGGCGGGCCGCCGAGGGGCAACATGGGCGGTGGCATGCTGGAGCTGCGCTGGGGGTTCGAAGTTGGTGGTCCGCCTGCCATCATGGAGGTCGGGGGAAGGCTTGAGGGGGTGCTGCCGCCGAGGGCGTGCTGTGCGGCGACGGTGTTGCCAGAGACGTTGCGGGACGGGGGTCCTGATCGCGGGGGTGGAGGCGTGGCCATGGGCTTCGAGGCTTCGGCTGCGCCGCCCTTTTTGTTGACCCATTTCTTGAGCTCCGGGTCGTAGTAGAAGCTGTTCTCCTCGCCGAGCTTGGCTTTGATCGGTCCTGGGCCTGCGTTCGGGTCCTTCTTAAACCAGCCTCCGAACCAGCCGCCTCCGGCCTTCTTTGCGGCTGCTTCCTTGTCTCGCTGGGCGTCGGCTTCCGCGGCCTTGCGGAATGCTTCGTCTGCTTTGCGGTCGGCGTCGGACTTGGAGCTGATCTTGAGGGATGCGGCTCGTTTGGCGAGATCATCGTCGTCGTCATCGTCCATGAAGGACTTCTTCTTGGGCTTCTCTTCTTCCTCCTCCTCCGGCTTTGTCTCCTCATCAGGCTCATATGGCTGGTAAGAGGGAGGTTCATATGAGGTTGTGGGAGGCTCGTACCCGCCCGATGACTGGGTGGTCTCCTCAGGTACCGATGGCTGCGAAGCCTCGAAGCTTGCCCGTGGAGGCTCATAGCTACTACCATAAGATATCGATCGGTCTTCGAGTGGTGGGGTTGGTTGATACGAAGAGCCCTGCGTGGGGGCAAGCGGCGATTTAAGAGGTGCATAGGAATTTGTCTTGGACGTATCGCTTCTAGGACTGAATTGCGCTTGCGACGGAGTGTATGGCGCTCCCAGAGACGGCGAAGGCATGTATGCGTTGGAAGGCTGCGAATCGAAAGACGATCGACCCTGAGGCTCATATGTCGGCCGGACCTGCTCTGACGAAGACCTGGGCGCATATGCATTGCTTGAGGGAGCATAGCGAGAAGAAGTCGCAGTCGAAGGCGCGGCAGGGGCAGGAGGAGTGGCACTGTAGCCTGAGTATGCACCGTACAGATCGACGTTTGACTGAGTCGGGCTGAGGTTAGGCGTGCTTCCAGCAATCTTTGCGAATGGACCAGCCTCTGCCCCTCCAACACCGACGGAAGCTGCATCGTCCTCATCACCAGCAATGAAGCTGTTGAACTTGGACATGAACGAGCTTGAGACCTTGTCCATGCTGGGCCGGGAAATCCAGGAAGAAGAACTATCTTTAGGAGATTGAGATAGGCGCTTCGTTAGATCATCTAGGGTAGAGATGAAGCTTGCATTGTAATATGGCGAGATCCTCGTAGTAGATTTCATTGCAATGGCAATAGCATCACAGTAAGCCTGGGCATCTGTCATGAAGCCATGCTCGGCGAGAGTGTATGCATGAGCAAGCTTGTAGTTTTGCAGATGGGGGATAACGTGTGACCCAGTAGTCGCGGCCAACGAGAGTGCAAACTCGTAGATTTCAGTCAACAAGATTGGTTCGACATCGATGCCGACATCTAAAGGATAGGCACGATGGTCAGCACCAACAAGGACGATATCCGATTGCTGGTCATCAACACCTCCAAGATAGGCCATGGAGCGTCCAAAAATGAAGCAAATATGTGCAGCCTCAACTCGGCCGTAACCCGCCAAGAGCCTACCAAGTGACAAGAGTGCCGCATTGTCACCCTCACTTCGATTTTTCAAGATCAAAGAAAGTGTCTCTCGCCACTTGTCAAGGCCTTGTAAGGCATCCTGGTTAGAACCAGCTCCATCCGTACTGATCATCTGGAAGCCGGCACGTGCTGAAGCAGGAACAAGCTCGTCAATGCAATCGTCCCAGTTGCCGGCAAAGACTTCATAGAGAGCTGCAAGCGCCTGGTTGTTTCGACCAGTCTTCTTCACCTCCTGGCGAACGAACTCCTGAACGACTTGTTTCCACACATCCTTGCTCAGGGTGGAAGACAAGAGCATGGCATGGCCCCAAAGACGCTGATCGACGGCGTGCCAAACTGCCTTTTCCCGGTCACCCTTGGTGAGAAGTTTCCGGAGTTCTTCTACGGCTTTGGGATCGAGGGGCTCTGCTTGAGCCAGAGTGTTCGACCTGCTTAGACCGACAAGATCGGCGCCAGTCGAGAATGAACCATCATTTCCTGGAGCATCTTCTGCCCCTTCAGGAGAAAATATCCTTCGTACAGCTGCTTCCACAGTGGGATTGCCCTCGAGATGGCCGTCATTATCCACCAATGTCTGCAGGACCTTCCAAAGCAATGCTTTTTCCTCCAGTCGCTTGAAGTCGGCTGGGTTCATGGAGTTCTCAATACCAGGATCCTCAACCTTGCTGGTAAGGGATTCAATGCCCCGACCCAACCATGTCGAAACTTCCTTCTTCTTACTCTTTGCTTTGAGAGGCCCGGGGAACTTGGAGATCTCTTCTGACAAAGGAAGTATATCTTTCACGCTTTGAATTTTCACCTCGCCAGGGCTACACTTCATCATTGGCATGGATGCCCCTCCGCCATAGCGAGGAATCTGCTTCGGAAAGCTGGTAATGACAGTGCCACCAAGACCCCAATGGAAGATGGGATATCCCTTCCATCGCTCGAGCGGATCGGATACCCGCTCGTCTGTAGGTGCGATGTACTGGAAGTCGTGTGAGATTTGTCGCTTGTGTGGAATGATATTTGCAGTAGGCGGCGTGCTCTGCACTCCGTATGGGGCAGGAGGCGACGCAATGCCGTAAGCTGAAGGAGGATGTTCATTGGAGATCTGGCGATAGTGGGGCTGCTTAGTTGTTGTCTCTGGTGATTGAGTCAACGAACGAACAGGAGAAAGTACTCCTGGCTGAGAGACCGGCTGGAATTGAGGAGTGTAGCTAGAGGTCTTTCTCGGTGATCCAACGGTAGAAGAAGGACTGCTTCTCATAGGCGGGGTCTGGGACCTAGCGGTCGAAGGTCGCCCTGTCGGAGGAGCGCTTCTCTGTTCCTCCGTCTCATTCACTCCCTCCAGGGGATTTCTGAATGGCATGCGAGGAACACTATCCGCAGAATGCATTGTATGATGGCCTGGCGCATGAACATGTGGGTCATGCGGCTGAGAGACAGATCGCTGGTCGTCCAAGGCGGGATTGTAAGCAAGCGGACTCGAAGTCCTTGGAGCATAAGGTTGCGCCGGCGACCTGGAAAGCCCTAGCGGGTCTGACACGTTACGATTATGAGGAACTGCCTGGGGAGGAGCTGGTGAGTATCTCGAGGTAGCTGCTGGCGGTGCCGGAGGCGCTGGAGAGAAGCGGCTTGTGGATGGCAATGAAGATGGTGGCGCAGGAGAGTATCTGCTGGTAGAAGGAGGGGCAGAAACAGGCTGAGGCACTGGGAGACTGTTGCTAGAAACGGGGACAGACGGGTGATCGGGAAAGACTGGCAATCGGTCGGGTTGGCGAAGCTGAGCATTATGGCTGTTGTCATCCGGAAGTATTTCGTTGCGCAGAGAAGACCAAGAACTGGTTCGTTCCTTTGGAAGTATATGGGGAGGTGGGTGAAGCGGTGGAGATTGCTGCGGTACGTGTGGTTGAGGTGTATAACGCCCTGTTGGTTTCGGCTTCGATGTGACAGGGAGTTCGGCGAAGAAGTCGTTCGATGGCGTTCTCGAAGAAGCTGGCTTTGGTGGTGGTGGCATTCCAGACATTTCGGCCTGGTTGGAATGACCTGACGTGGGAGGAGAAAGGCTTGACGTTGACATGCTTGAAGCTGGGGGTGGACGAGGGGGTGCAACGCCTGTGCTCGAAGACAGACTGCTGCTTCTTGGAGGAGGCGGCACAGACTGGGTTGTAGACCCCAGAGGACGAGGTGCTGGTCGCCTTCGTGTGGTCACAACATCTTCAGGTAGGTCATATGGCGAAGCATATCCTCCTTTGGCCTTGTCCGCAAAGCTTTGAGCCGAGCTTGTCATCGCAGGGCGGGCTGGCTGTTGGTATGGGGATGCCTGACCGTATGCGCCGTAGCTTGGAGTAACTGCGGGTTTCGGCTGTTGAGCCTTCGACAGATCCGTGAATTGAGGTCCTGGAACAGTATATGGACTAGCCGCGGGTTGTGGTGCTGGTGTGCTCTGCGGTGCATAGCGATTAGAGATGCTGGAGACGGATCGCGATGGCGCAGCAGGTTGTACAGGCTGCTCTACGGCTGCAGGAGGTGCATCATCCAGGAAGCCGTCATCGTCTAGGTCAAAAGGTGCCGCAGGCTCGTCTGCATCTGGAAGAAACTCATCGTCCAAGTCGAGCTCCAGGTCCCACATAGCGTCGCTCCCCGGTCCGCTCTTAGCTGGGGCATCCTTCGCTGCGGTTGCGTTACTGAAGAAATCCTGATCATCGCCAGCACCCCAATCTATCCCATCACCAGTGTTACCACCCACTTTGGTATTACCAATGACGTCGTCGCCGACTGTGGTTCCGACAGCTTCTGCGTGAGGTGTTTCGAGAAGGGGATCCTGGGATTTGGGTCCAAAGTCGAATTCCTCATCAGCAGCTCCCCAATCGTCCGTCGTCGGCTGCGAATCGGCAACGAGTGGTGCCTTCTCGCTCTCTACGACCGCATCCTCCAGAAGTGTGGTTTCCCCTTGGTGCTCGTAATTATGCGCGGGCTTCTCTTCGAGTGTTGAGACATTGTTGTGGATAGGTTCTACTTCTTGGGACGGTTCGGATTTGGACACATCTCCGTTTGTGAGGTCCCGCGCTGCCTCGGTTTTAGCGACGTCTTGCGCACCATCTGTGGTAGAGTCTTCGTCAGATTCATCCTCCGAGGACTCCTCTGGCTCGTTCGTTGCTTGTTGCGGCGCAGGTTGGTTCGGTAGAGCAGCTGGTTGTTGATCGAGCTTGTTGATGTCGGCGGTGGGTTCAGGTTCGAGTGGACTTTTGGTTGGGTGTGCGGTAGCCTGAGGTGCAGGCGCAATTGCCGCACGCTCAGGTACCGTCTCAGCCTTATCATCGTCGCTTTCCTCGTCCTCGTCCTCTTCTTCGTCTTCCTCCTCTTCTTCCTCCTCGTCCTCCTCTTCCTCTTCACTTTCTGAGCTGTCCTCGGCAGCTACAGGTGCTTTTGGTGGTGGATTTGCAACCACTACAGGTTTCGCAGCTGGTGCAGGATTACTGGTAATCTCCTCGCTGGATTCGCTGGCCGCGCTCGATGTTTCGTCGTGGTCGGGCCTCAATGCGGGATTCCACGATGGTCTGGCAGGAGATTCCGAGCCATTGTTTCCAGCACCACCATACGCATAACCAAAATTGGGGCCGTCGTCGTGGTCCATTATAGCAATTATCGTCTAATGTAAAAAAGGGTATATGTAAAACTGAAGCAATATTAATTAACGTTGAATTGGAGGCGTAGTACGCCGTTGGGTCGGGCTAGGGCGGGAGCGCGCGCAGTGTGAATCCCGAACATTCGTCCCGCGCTGAAGGGAGTCGCGTTGAGGATTGAAAGGAATCGGGCGCGGAGAATATATAAGGCGAAATATGAGGCGCGGAGAATTGTCTGATATAAGAAGGGGCCAAAGGTGTAAGATTTGTGGGTGGCAGATGGGGGGATAGGGGAATGAAACTATCCCTTTCCACTCGACGTCACGAGCGGAATACATACCTGTACAAGGAGAACAGAAGCTCTTTGCTCTGCCGCGGCAATGCTAGGCTGCTGGCGGAGGAGACAAGAAGCTCGGAATCGGACGATGCGAGAGAATGCGCGAAAGGATTGCTACAGAAAGGACACGATGCGGGGCGGCATGGTCGAAGTATATGAGGCGGAGGTGGGTATGTTGTAGGTGTGTGGTGAGAGTGAGTGAGGAGGTACGAGTTAGTAGCTAGTAATTAGTATGTAGCGGACTGGTAGTTACCTCTTGGTACGAGGTGCGAGGTAGACTAGAGAAGTGGCCATGTGTTCGGGAGGACGTGCAGGTTAGACTACGACTGCATCTACCTAGGTACATTACTCCAAAGGGACACATCCGACGTAAGCAATTAATGTACTTGATGATTACTCTTAAAGACAACGATTGAGGATATAGTTAAACATAATAGATGAACGGAGAGAATCCTATTCAATTTACATCATTACTCAGTTAATCTACTAGACATGTACAGTGATTGATGGTTCGGGTCTTTAATCGTTCCTTCCCTTCTCGAACGCGTGTGGCTTAGCGCCTTCCCTACGCCACACGCCACATCTCCTCGTACATCGTAACCTCATCCCCGTTTCCGTAACCTTTTACTGAGACAGTGACAATCCACCAATCTTCAACCCACTTCTCATACCATACTAATAACCTTTATTCGAAACAAGGATACCTCTTCGCTCGATTCACAATATCATCCTCGTACTTCTACTCTCTCTCTATAATATCTGTAATACTGCTTCAGCTCTAGCCTTCCAAGCTATTGCCTAGACTCGAAACAGGCTATCTGGCCGCCCTGCAACATCGCATCTCACCATTACCTCAACAATCCGCCCTCTCGGACCCCCGGTTCTACCTCCAAAAGTTGCCAAAGTACCCTCACAGCAGTCGCCTATGTCGTGTATATAAGTCTCAACTCTCTAAACCCACTTCCGCCGCCGCATCGTGCTTCCATGATAGATGGCCGCTCCTCATCAATATCACAGGCCTAACTCGCCCGACGAAAGCGACTCAGACCTCGATCTCGACCTTAACGAACTCGATCCCGTCTCCTCCTCACACAACAATGCCTCTCCGCCTCGCCGTCAATCTAGAGAACAACACCGCAAGCCATACCATGAGCTCGGTGCGAGGATACCGCTTCAGAATCTAAGGGTTGGGAGACTGAGGGCGTCGCGGAAGAGAAATGAACCGGAAGAGGAGGATCTCAGAGGACTGATGGATGACGAAGATCGGGATAACAGAAACTCGACTGGTAGCTTTGGCCAACCCGCCGACGACGATGCCCCTCTGTTACCATCAGGCAATGCGCGAAGAAGGGGGCATGAACGAAAACCGAGCGCACTGTCGCGACTCCAATCTGGCATACGACTCCCAAGCTTCCTCTCTTCTTCGCGCCAGGAAAATTCTGGCATTGCGCTTCCCGATCAAGGCGGTGACGGGGAAGACTTGGAGGAGGTACATGACCCTACCACCCAACGCAGCATCTCCGTCGGCCATTTGCAGACTGCCCGCTTCCCAGCCAATGCGGTATCTAACGCGAAATATACACCCTGGAGCTTTTTACCACGGACCCTGTATAATGAATTCTCCTACTTCATCAATATGTACTTCTTGCTCGTCGCTTTATCGCAGATTATACCCCCGTTGCGCATCGGATATCTCTCAACATACATTGCGCCTTTGGCGTTTGTCATTACCATCACCCTAGGGAAGGAAGCTCTGGACGATATTGCTCGACGCCGAAGAGATGCGGAGGCGAATTCGGAACCGTACACAGTGCTAAAGTTTGAGGAAAACAGCGTAGGAAATGGGCTGGCTCCCGGACAGAGTTCAAACAAGAAACGACGTGTGAGAAGAGCAAGAGAAGGCGAAAGTAGCCGGATGACCGACATTGAAGATGAGGAGGCCGCCATATCAACCACGAAAGGACTTGCGACGTCGTCATTTTATGAGATCACGAAACCATCCCGTAATCTGAAAGTAGGAGATATAGTCAAATTGGGGAAAGACCAGCGTGTGCCTGCAGATATGGTCATATTGAAGAGCTATTCCCAGGAAACGACTCTGCCTGCTCCAGCAAACCCAGCCGCAAATGCGTCCTCCAATCTCATCGAGGGTGAGTCGGAGGAGAATCCCATGCAGACCGAGAACGCGGCAACCGCAGGCAGTTCTGGAGAAGCTTTCATTCGAACGGATCAACTAGACGGTGAGACGGATTGGAAGTTGCGTCTTACCTCGCCCTTGACTCAAAACCTGGAAGTTGGAGAATATACTAGATTGCGAGTAATTGCAGGTAAACCAGACAAGAAAGTCAATGAGTTCTACGGCACTGTCGAGCTACAACCGAAGAAGCAGCGACAATACGATCCACATGAACAGGATGCCGAAGCTTCGTCCGCTGATCAAACTCAATCATCACCTCTCAGTATCGACAACACTGTCTGGGCCAACACAGTGCTTGCTTCCAGCTGCAACGTTCTTGCGGTGGTAGTATACACCGGGCCCCAAACCCGCCAGGCTCTTTCGACCTCGCCATCTCGATCCAAGACTGGTCTGCTCGAGCTAGAGATCAATGCCTTGACCAAATTCTTATGTATATTCACCCTCTCACTATCTTTCATCCTCGTTGCATTGGCACGTTTCAAGGTCATCGACGGTCTTCCGTGGTACGTGTCGATGATGCGATTCTTGATTCTCTTCTCCACCATTGTACCAGTGGGTCTCCGTGTCAATCTTGACATGGGGAAGTCGGTCTATGCTTGGTTTATCGAGCATGATCAGAGCATTCCTGGCACAGTAGTACGAACAAGCACAATCCCAGAAGATCTAGGCCGCATCGAGTACCTCTTGAGCGACAAGACGGGCACGCTCACCCAGAATGGTATGTATGGTTGTGTGTTTGGGATGATTCTAGCTGATCCAAAGCAGAGATGGAGATGAAGAAGATCCACGTCGGAACTGTCTCCTACGCCAACGAAGCGATGGACGAGGTCTCGTCATATGTGAAGCAAAGTTTTATGCCTCCCGCTGGCGAACCATCCACTCTCGTAACGCCATCTTCCGCATTCACTGCATCGCTCACATCTGGAACTCGCACACGACGCGAGATTGGTTCACGTGTCCGTGATGTTGTCCTGGCTTTAGCCCTCTGCCACAATGTTACACCAACTACCGAAGAAGAAAATGGAGAAACAGTCACTACATACCAAGCCTCCTCGCCGGATGAGATCGCGATCGTCCGCTGGACAGAGAACGTCGGCCTTCGATTATTGCAGCGTGACCGCGAATCGATGTCCCTCCAATCTTGCGATGATGGCAATACCGTCGTGCGTGTGCGTATCCTCAATGTCTTCCCCTTCACCTCAGAAGGAAAGAGGATGGGTATTGTGGTGCGCTTCTACCATGGACCAGCATCTTCCGCAACAGACGAGGACGGAGAGATATGGTTCTACCAAAAGGGTGCTGATACTGTGATGATGTCGATTGTTGCGGCGAACGACTGGCTCGAGGAAGAGACAGCCAACATGGCCCGTGAAGGTCTCAGAACCCTCGTGGTGGGCCGCAAAAAGCTTACGGAGCAAACGTACCAGGAGTTCACCACAAAGCACAATCAGGCTTCGCTTGCTCTACACAATCGTGACAACGCGGTTGCAGACGTCGTCAAGGAATATCTTGAACATGATCTCGAGCTTCTCGGTGTCACTGGAGTCGAAGACAAACTGCAGAAAGATGTCAAGCCCTCGTTGGAACTGCTCCGCAATGCCGGTATCAAGATTTGGATGTTGACAGGTGACAAGGTCGAAACTGCCCGTTGTGTAGCAGTCAGCTCGAAGCTGGTAGCACGAGGGCAGTATGTGCATACCATCGCAAAGAGTAAGTCACACTGTCACTCGCGAAATCTTCTCCCATTAACCCAGCATAGTGAAACGCAAAGACCTCGCACACGATTCCCTCGACTTTCTGCGCGGCAAAACAGACGCATGTCTTCTGATCGACGGTGAATCGCTCGCATTGATGCTAACCCACTATCGAGAGCAATTCATCTCCATCGCAGTCCTTCTCCCTACCGTCGTTGCTTGCCGATGCTCTCCTACCCAGAAGGCGGACGTCGCAAAACTAATCCGCGAATACACCAAGAAGCGCGTCTGCTGCATCGGCGACGGAGGAAACGACGTCTCAATGATCCAAGCCGCGGACGTCGGCGTAGGCATTGTTGGCAAGGAAGGACGACAAGCCTCCCTCGCCGCCGACTTCTCCATCGAGCAGTTCTGCTACCTCGTCAAGCTCCTCGTCTGGCACGGCCGCAACAGCTACAAGCGCAGCGCCAAACTCAGCCAATTCGTCATCCACCGCGGCCTCATCATCTCCATCTGCCAAACCGTCTACAGCATCGCCACGAAATTCGCCCCGATGGCCCTCTACAAAGACTGGCTCCTCGTCGGCTACTCGACCGTCTACACCATGGCACCCGTCTTCTCCCTCGTCCTCGACCGCGACGTCGACGAATCCGTCGCCAACCTGTACCCCGAGCTCTACGCGGAGCTCAAGACCGGCCGCTCCCTCTCCTACAAATCCTTCCTCATCTGGGTCCTCGTCTCCATCTACCAAGGCTCCATGATCCAAGGCCTCTCCCAGCTCCTCGTCGGCGTCGCCTCCTCCGCAGACGACACCCCGCTCTTCACGAAAATGGTCGCCGTCTCCTTTACCGTCCTCGTCCTCAACGAACTCGTCATGGTCGCCATGGAGGTCGTCACCTGGCATTGGATCATGATCGCGTCCATCGTCGGAACCGCGGGTATCTACTTTGGCTCTGTGCCGTTTTTGGATGGGTATTTTGATCTGGAGTATGTCAAAAGCGTCGAGTTTTGGTGGAAGTTGGCGGTCGTCGCGGCGATTAGTCTCGTGCCGCCGTATGCGGCGAAGATTCTGGGCAGGACGCTGAGGCCGCCGAGTTATAGGAAGGTTAGAGGTGTGTGAAAGGGAGGTCTGGGAAGAGTTGGACATAGTCGGTTGGATTAGGTTTTCTTTTTACTGTCGGGTGGATACATTTTTTGGTGCATAGCGTATTTTTTCCATCTATCGCTTTCTATAAACATCAAGAATTAAGCATTTATTCTCTCTCTATCAAACCCGATGTGTTTGCTTTGTGCAGTGTCCTGCTTGCTGTGATGGATGAGACATGACTGGAATGTTGTCGATGGTGCAGGATACATGCGTTCGTTCATTGGGCTGCGTGAATATCTAGGTTTATATATGTAGGTATGTACAACATGTTGAGTAACGAGTACTCTCATTCAACTCTGCGAATCATACAGGCTCCGAATGCTACATGTGAAGATAGACTTTGCCTCGAATCGCTTCTATCTTCAAAGTTCATAGCGACTCTTTTCGAATGAGGGCTGTGGTGATCAGCCTGGTTTCTTTCCTTTCAAGCTAGGCAGTGCTATCTTGCCCACGCCTACTTTCTGGACCTGGGCCACAGCGTCTCCTAACAGCACTCTCACCGCACCTTCGAGACGTGTGTCCTTCCTCCGCCGTAGATATAGCAAGACGATGCCTAACACGAGGATGTCTATCGCGGCGTGTTTCAAAGTCCCCCAGACGACTCTCCAGATGAAGCGGAAGAACGTGTATTTCCGGCTATGACTAAAGAGCCGCCGAGACTCGAGCTGTTCGCGCAGAGCCGCGACTTCGGCCGTCATCTTGACGAGCGCTTGCTCGACTCTCTTCCTCCACTTCTGGTCTGCGGGGCTTTCGGGTTGGGCTGCGGCTTTGTGGGAGGGCCGGCGGATGAGGGCTTTCGATTTGGAGATCGGGACCGGGGGTTCCTGTCTGAGATCGGTCTGGACGCCTGCGTCTTCGTTGTCGGTCTCGCCGTCGTTGTCCGGCTCCGTGTTGGGGTTGTACTGGGAGTCCGGTGCGTCGACGAATTCTTCGGCTTCTATGTCGTCTTCCATTTGCTCTTCTTCGGATTGCGACATCGGGCTGCGGATCTGTAGCCTTTCATCCTCTGGGTCTCGGCCTTCCTTTCCTCCGATTCGAGAGTAGTTGGGTGGCATATGTAGTCCAACGCTGTCTAATGTCTGAAGTGGTGATGATGACGAGGAGGAAGGCACGTTTGATTTCACTTGATCCCACACGAATTCGAGTTCGGCGACAAGTTCGCGGGAGTCTGGCGACGGGGAGGCATATTTGTGCATTGTGTCAATCAGGGTGGTGATGTAGCGCCGCTTTGCTTCTGTTCGTGAGAGGTTGTTCTGCTGTTTCCATGCATCCCTAGGCTTGTGTTAGCTTCGACTTCAAGATTCATGATATGGTCGCGTGCGCGTTGATAAGGAAGAATTACCATTTCTCTTGCGCGCGCTTGACGTCTTCCCCATTCCCCGAAGGACGATCCATTATCCCGTCCACATCGCCCTCTGTACCATAGTCAATTAGCGATGTCCCGGGTCGCGGGACGCAGGTGGCGAGGACATACCCATAGCCTGTTTGTACAAGCCATAGAGCTTCAATCGAGTGGCAGATGGCGGTTTCTGAGACCCGGTACGGATCTTGTTGACTGTATTGAGGGCATGGCTAAACACCCTGTCTGTACGAGGCACTCGTTGTTAGCAAAATGCCGTTATCAACGAACTATGGCGCAATGCCACCTCCACCCCAGCGCGGGACGCATACCGACTGAGTCTGACATCACTGGCAATTAAATTGCGGCCCAGCTCTCGCCGGGCGCTTCATCCAGAGACTTCGCAAAGGGAGCGAAAGCCGCAGAGATTGAAGGAAAAGAGAGAGAAGAGAAAAATGTTATGAGAGCGATTGTAGATGTCGTGCATGGCGGAACTGGATGCGGGAGCCGTGGGTGGGAGGTAAGATGGGGGGATGGCTAATCGAGCGAGGAGGAGGCGCCTCGGCTTCGGAGATGCGCCGGAACACGTGCGAGTCATTCATTCCTCGACCAACATGTGTAATTTCATGGACCAGCAGACAGATTAATGCAAAATAATTATTAGGTAGTTGTAGGACTTAATTGCCTATTTCGGATACACTTACGCTTTTCTATCGACAAGGAACATCCAGACCCCCTTTAGTCGACGTTGAACTCTTTTACAGTTAAGTTCTTAACCAGCCCAGCCCTACAGGGACATCCTTAGGATAAGCTGTTCCAATCGAACCTTGCCACACCTGCATTCCAATTCGATAAGAGGCTGATATCTCCATTTGCATCCTCGGTGAACCGAACGCACTGCATTCTCTTCTTCGGCCCGGTAAAGTCGCTCGAGAACTGTTTGATCATTTTCCCCGTGTACAAGCTGTATATGTTTAACCGGGCGTCTTCATCAGCTGCAGCAACGAGTCCTAGCCGTGGGTTGACGTCGAGACCCAAGTAGGTTGTATTCTCGTTAGCATACTCAAATTGTGTGATGCAAGAGTTCGTCGTGCGAAATGGAAATCGATTGTTCCCACGTTTCCGCCATTGCGTTTTACTGACTTGCTCGGTCTTCGTCATTCGCATATCGTACGTCATTAAAGTATTGCGCAAACCAGCTACCACTATCCTTGTGAAATCATCCGCTGGACGAATCTGGTTTATCGGCGTTGGATGTCTGAGCAGGGTGTGCGAAGTCCCCTTGGATCTTGTATCGTAGAGTCGAATCGTGCCATCTCGTCCACCTAGACAAACGGTGGTGGACGACAGCCAGGATAGTGCGAGGACGTCGGACTCGGTATTGAGGGCTGTCTCGCAGTCCCATGTACCACCTTGCGATGTTCGAGTAAAGATCAGTAATGCTCTGGAAGCACCTACTGCCACAGCTTCTGTGTCTGCTGATGCTATCGTATTAGTTGAGGTTGGCATGAAAGGACGTGGCAAAGATGTCCAGACAGTGCTGCAATTGCGAGGTGTGAATTGTTCTCCAATGAATGGGCCGTCTATCTCAGGAGTCGTGAAGTAGATGACAGGAGGCCTGTCAGATCCGAAGGTAGTAACGACGAGTGATCCCGAGCCGCGAATATAATTGAGTGAGGAGATCTCAGATGTCATCCTGATGAAACGTTCATGGTCCCTCATATAATCGCCATATGGATTGCCACGTATTGGGCGTGATCTATCCACATTGACATCGGTGGAAGCCACAAAGATGTCGCCGGTACCTGGATTCCGGTCGAAATGGGAAACAAATCTTGTGACATCAAGCTCCGTAGGAGAGTATCCTGCTACCGATGCAGCTGCCCACAGGTCTTGTGAGTAGAAGGACTTCCGTCTGTCTCCAATTTCGCGCTGCGATAGCTGGAATAGTAGCTTATGTTGATGCGCAGCTACTACCGTTTCCGTCCTTCTCTTCTGAATACGTTCCACGGAGGCCTTTTCATCCTTGTGCCTCTGCTGCAGTTTGGCAACGTTGCCACGGGAATATTTGTGGTCTTTGGCATTCTGTACTTTGAAGTATTTGCCCTTTTCAGGATCTAACCATGATCAGGATTATAAAATAAGAATAGAGCGGTATTGGACAAACCAAAATAGAAGCCTGGTATCTCCCGCCCATTCATCTCTGCTCATCAGGCACGTAATGTCCTACAAGAAATGTCGCACGTGAAAGTTCTTCACCGCATTTCGTTGAGAACCCCTATGAGAAGTGTACCCCAGATAAAGGAATGAATAGATTGAGAACTTCAGATCAAGAACTTCTAGTTGTGGATGTTGTGAATTGCTGCTGTAGCAAGTCTGGAAGTATGTAAGGAGTTGAAAGTACAGGCCTGTGAATGAAGGAGGTAACGCGAGTCAGTTGCTACAATAAATTCTTATCGATAGCGGGTTTAACGGTGGGACAAGCTCGCCGAGGTATGACCTCAGTCATACATTTCACCATCATGACAAAACAGCCATCTCTAGAATTGTCCTTTTGCCCCTCATTCGCAATTTCTTCTTCCTTCCATTTAGTTCTTTCATAAACCTACGGCTTCTTCAGTTTAGCCATTAGGGTTCGAATATATTTGCTTTATGCTTCGACGAGCCATCCCCAGACTGAAACCATCACAACTCAAGATTCAGCAACCAAATTCCTCACTGCGCCTTTCGCAGACCATGGCGCATCTCAACGGCAACGTAGACGGCAAGAGAGCCTCCCACACTCTATCGTCGCTCCCGAAATCCAATGTCTTCACATCGAGTCTCCCCACCGACGCCGCATTCCCTACCCCCGCAGATTCGCACTCCGCCCCGCGGGAGACCCTAGGCCCACGCATGATTAAAGAAGCACTCTTCACCTACGTCCGACCTGAAATCACACACTCGCCAGAGCTCCTCGCAGTAAGCGATCGCGCCGTACAAGACCTCGGCCTGGACCCAAAAGAGACGGAAACAGAAGAATTCAACCAAGTATTCGCAGGCAACAAACTCCTCACCTGGGACGAGGAGACGAAAGAAGGGATATACCCCTGGGCGCAATGCTACGGCGGCTACCAATTCGGACAATGGGCAGGCCAACTCGGTGACGGACGCGCGATATCCCTCTTCGAGACCACGAATCCAGAAGGCGTACGTTACGAAATCCAACTCAAAGGCGCAGGCCGGACCCCATACTCTCGATTCGCAGACGGGAAGGCCGTCCTTCGCAGCAGCATCCGCGAGTTCGTCGTCAGCGAATACCTCAACGCCATCGGGATCCCGACTACACGCGCGCTCGCCCTAACCCTCGCCCGCAAATCCAGAGTGATGCGCGAGCGGATGGAGCCCGGCGCCATCGTCACCCGCTTCGCACAATCCTGGGTCCGCCTGGGTACCTTCGACCTCCCCCGCATGCGCGGCGACCGCGCCACCCTCCGCAAACTCGCAGACTACACCGCCGAATCCATCTACGGCGGCTGGGACAAGCTGCCCTCGGCCCTCACTGCAGGCCAGGACCCTAGCACCACCCTCCCGACCTCGATCCCAAAACTCGACGTCCAAGGCCCCGCCGGCTCAGAAGAAAACCGCTACGTGCGCCTATACCGGGCGATCGTGCGCGCCAACGCCCGCACCGTCGCCGCCTGGCAAGCCTACGGCTTCATGAACGGCGTGCTGAACACGGACAACACGTCCATCCTCGGGCTCTCCATGGACTACGGGCCCTTCGCCTTCCTCGACACCTTCGACCCGACATACACGCCCAACCACGACGACCACATGCTGCGGTACTCCTACCGTAACCAGCCCACCATCATATGGTGGAACCTCGTGCGTCTCGGCGAAGCCCTCGGCGAACTCATGGGCGCCGCCGACTTCGTCGACGACGCGGTCTTCGTGGCCAGCGGCGTCACGGAGGCGCAGGCAGACGGCCTCGTCAAGCGTGCGGAGGGCATCATCGACCGCGCGGGCGACGAGTACAAGGCTGTCTTCATGGCGCACTACAAGTCTCTCATGACGGCGCGGTTGGGACTCAAGCAGTGCAAGGACGGCGACTTCGAGGAGTTGTACTCCGAGCTCCTTGACTTCCTCGAGGCGCACGAATTGGACTTCCACCATGCGTTCCGACGGCTCGGGTATGTGAGGTTGGAGGAGCTGGAGACGGAGCAGGCAAGGAGGGATGTCGCGGGAAGGTTCTTCCGGAGTGGTGAGGCGCCGAGGCAGGAGGATGCGTCGAGGGAGAGGATCGCAAAGTGGCTTGATAAATGGGCTGCTCGTGTGCGGGAGGACTGGGGTAGCGCTGGTGAGGAGGAGAGGATGGCTGCGATGGCGAAGACGAATCCGAAGTTCGTGCCGAGGTCGTGGGTGCTCGACGAGCTTATCGATCGTGTTGAGAAGAAGAACGAGCGTGATGTACTGAAGGACATCATGAAGATGAACCTGAGTCCCTTTGAGGAGAAGTGGGGTGGGAATGAGGGTGAAGAGGAGAGGTTCTGCGGCGATGTGCCGAAGTATAAGGGTATGATGCAGTGTAGTTGTAGCTCTTGAGGGGTGCTTTACGATACACTGGGAGGAAATGATAACGACATTAAAAGGAAGATAGTAGAAGTATTTGGCCACAGAGCAGGATATACATACATACATAGGGCGAACATTTATATATATAGCATATTTGAAATGATATATCATGAGCACATACCGTCGCCCTGATCCATATAATCTACCTACATACCAAGAAGAAACTCCCAACCTCATTCTTCATACCATCAAGCCAAGTCAAGCCTCGGTCAAGCCAGCCTCACTCCAAACTAAGACATCTACCAAAACATCTACTAACTCCCAATTCGAAAGTCTGGGGACACGCATTGAGCCCCCTAACCCACGACACTTCCAACGCGATACTCAAACGCGTCTTTCCATTCTCCAAGCTCACAAACCCCAAATATGGAAACATATCCTACAGAAGGCACGACTGGCGACAGAAAGCGCGGGGCGCAACTTTCCCCAGCCGTTCGCGCACAGTTGATACAGCGTCGAGAAGCCGGCGCGACGCTCAAGGAGCTCATGGATGAGTTTAGCTGCAGCAAGAACGCGATCTACGAGACTATGAAGCGGTACAAGGAAAACGGAACGTTCGAGGCGCTGCCGCGGTCGGGGCGGCCGAAGATGCTGAGCGCGCGGGACGAACGCGTGCTGCTTCGCTCGGTGAAGAAGCAGCGGAGGATTGACTATGCTGGGCTTGCGGTTGAGGCTGCAGGTGCCTCTACAGGGAGTGAGAAGAGAACGACGCCTTCGAAGGCAACCATTTATCGAACTCTGAAGAGAATGGAATTGAAGAGGCAAAGATGCGGATCGAAGCCTGATCTACCCGTCAACACCACCAACGAGATACTCCCCGACTTCGATTCCAACGCCCCTACCCAATCCCCTAACCCACTCCCATCCGAAATTGACCCTCCACCTCGCACCCGCGTCCAACGGGTCAACACCAGGCCCGGAGCCACCGATCTTGACGAGTAGCCTTATGCTCGTGAGCGTGGCGATTTGGGTGTAGATATCGGCGATTTGTGGCACGTCACCATCGACCAGGCCGCGGAAGATGGCAAGGAGGCGGTCCGCTGTGAAGGGAGAGGGTGTTAGGAGATGGCGGGAGATGCGGCGATGCTTGGACTTTGTCACGCCGGCGTCGGTGCGAACTTTTCGCTTGTTCTTGCGCTTGTCGGTATGCTTCATGAAGTACGTTGTGTCGGTTCGGGCAGGGTTGTATGAGGCGAGGTACGCGGAGATTAAGAGGTACGTTGTGTAGTAGGGTAGATCGTGCTGGATAGTTCGCCGCTTGAGAAGAGCTTTTGCGCTCGGCGGCGGGGGTGCAGTAGTGCCATTGGTGGTTGCTGCTCCTGATGATGTGGGCTGCTGCGAGATGATGCGATCAAGGACGGAATCTTCGAGCTGGAAGAGGTGTCTTCGGTTCACCATCAATCGGGAGAAATCTCGGGTACCAAAGCTGCCGTCTACGATTGGGGCCACAAATTCGCGCCAGATTCTCATGCTGGTGTTGCGGAAGCTTGTTAGGTCTCTTCCCGTGTGCCTGGAGAGTGACTCCCATACTGCGCCCAAGAACCGGTTCCAGAGCCAACTGTCATCTTCTGCGGCGAGATCATGGGTATAATCGGGATACACGTCGGCGGATGGGGTCTGGAGGAAGATCCTTGGGGGCGATCGCGAGAGAATGGTCAGAAGAGAATTGCGTGGATACGTTGGAAAATGGAGATGGGGTACTCCAGGCTTGTGGAGCTGCGTGGAAAGTGGCAATGTTGTTATGAAGAGGATTGAGAGATTTGGAATCTGTATTTATGTTAGCATCAGCATTTTCCCCTTTTATATCAACAATATCTGCCATACCGTCTCGCTGAAGCGCGCAAGGGCTGGCAGTAACGTCGGCGGTGCTTCCCGTTGCTTATCAATGCCGTCGAATACCAGTACAAATTGCCCTCGTCCATCTAGCATTTTCTGCAAGTGAACTATCAAAGAGTTCAGGTTCTCAGTCCGCGCATATGGTCGTCGATCTATCCGCTCATCGTTGAACTCGTCCAGCGCATCCAAACTCGCGAACGTTGTGCGCTCCAGCAGATGTCTTCCTGTGATGCATTCGCGCGATGTGATGATTGCATGAGGAATTTTTGAGAGTTGGAAAAACTGCCTGATGATCGATGTCTTTCCGGTTGCTGTGAGGCCGTGTGCGACCAACAAAGGAGGAGACGGTAGGCCGGGCTATACAGTGTCAAAGACATGCTTGATGGACACAAGGCAGTGTTCTTACTTGGAAGAGGGAGGATAGCTGGTGCATCTGTTCCTCTCGGCAGGGATACTCGCGATTGAGTAGCTCAAGAAGCTCGTCTGGTAACATGGCGGGTTGTGTTGATTACTGGCCAAGGAACGATCTGAAGATTGACGTTGAGGAGAGACGCGCTAGGGCTACGCCAAACACGGCGTCACGTGAGGGCATTGCATCTACAATGAAATCCATGGCTCGGATATCTTACCGATCCTATTCACAGGAGAATCGTCATGCACATATTTTGTTCTTGATGATTATACGAGGTAGGTGAGGCTCGTTTGAATTTATTTTCCTTTCCTAGTAACTATTGGGGTATTCTCTGGCGTATTCACTGGCGTTTCCTGGCGTTATCCCTATTTCCAAAATCCAATACAAATACAATGTCTAAATATACTTATGCATTCGCCAGTCGCCTTTTCCCTTTTCCCTTTTTGCCAATTGCATTCGCCATTCGCCATTACCAACCCGGTTGATGTTCGTGGGTCCGTGTCGGGACTTTATGCCTGCAGGGTATTGGGGGTGTGGTCCGAAATCTTTCCGTTCTCCTTGTCCTCTTCATTCGTGAACTCCCAAGCCAGCAGCTTCCAGTTGAGCTCCGATGGGCGCCAGAAGATACCATGTCCGAGACCATCACCCAGTTTGGGCTTCTCTTCCATCTTTCCTTCAGCATTGTCTGCCGTCAATCCACCAGTGTACGGCATGCGGCGGCCAAAGATGCACCTCTTGAAGCGTGAATGCAAGATTGCCATGGAGCACATGACGCAAGGCTCGTGGGTGACGTAAATATCCAACTCGACGCAAAGGTAACCGTTGGAAGGCAAGTTGTCGAGTTCATAGTAGCGACGCTCCATATCGGTGAGGGGCGAGTCGCAGAAGAGCTTTCGATCAAGCGTGTCGGGATCCTTGCCTACAGCGCGCAGTCGCTTCTTGCCTACCATGGCGATAGCACGTTCGACAGCGTGAGCCATAACATTTCCTGGACCGTCGTTCTTGGTTTCCGGCTCACCGGTCGGGTTTCGCCAGCGAGAATCGGCAGCGACAGCAACGATCTCCGGGCGGCCTTTGCTATTATCGACGATGACGCAGCCAACACGTTCACCGAGATTCTGGGAGTAGACCTGTTCGGCAGCTTTCTCGGCCAGGGCAAGCCACTTGCCGGCGTCCTTTTCGATTTCGGCGACGTTCCGGGCGACCAGGCTGGGATGTGGGCCGTAAGGGTTCGTATTCTTGTAGGTGATGGGCCAGTATTCGACACTCCACTGGGCGGCCTGTTCAGAGGAAGTTGGGGAAAAGGTGGGTACAGTCACATAGAAGATGCGGGGGGAAGCTTTCGACTCGCACCAGGGCGGGTTCTGTCGAAACGCATCAACAAGGGCTGCATGTTGAATGGCCTTTGAAGGCGAAACGAGGAAGTACCGCACTGTATCATCTTGTTCAGCTACATCTTCTTCAGAGGGATCTTCGGTCAGAACGACACCACCTTTGGAAGACCTAAAAGTCTTCTGTAAATGAGGCGGCAAGAACTTGAACTGTACTACACGACGAAGATGCTGGAAGTCATTCGTCTTGAGATCTGGGATTGCCTTTGAAATCACGCTATTGAAAAGTTTAGCACAACGAAAGAGAAAGGGTTGATCAACGATGAGATGCTCACTCCTTGATGGCAGCGGCATGGCGCGCAGGCAGTTCGACAACATATGCCTGGAAGGTCTCGAGGGAAGCGCGAACCTCGTCTTTGGTTCGGAGAGCCTTGAGTCGACCGAGGCGGGGGACAATGTCAAGGTGGACATCACAACTACCGAGAGTCTCAGGGTCTGCGTCGCCCTCACCGCGTGACGCCATGAGAAGCTATGTTTACACTAAAGGTGTATACCTTGGGGATGGCTATTGAATTGGCGAAAGGTGGCGGCGGCGGAAGCGGCTCAAGACGAGAAAGTCTAAGTGATATTGTTGTTTGGGTGTTGACTCAGGTTGATCAAGTCAAGGTCAAGGGGATTGGGAGTCTAGAGAAGAAAGATTAGTGTGTGTGTTCTTCTTTTTCAGTTTGAGTGAGAAGAACGACGATGGCGGAAGGTGGGAATTGGTTGTAGCGACGAAGAGGGAGAAGGTGAGTTTGTGCTTGGCGAATAATTTTGGTGGGGGAGGAGGGAGGGATGGAGCTTGCTACTGGATTGGGGATAGTGCAGATACCGTAATGGGACTAGCGGAAGGAAGTCACGACAACACAAACAAGACAAACAATTCGGCAGTTGAAGGTTCGAGTCCATAACCGACGCCATCAACGAACTAAACATGACTACGACCGCTACGAAGATACCATGAGTCCAGACTAAACATCATTCTATCATAGTCCCCAGGTATTTTCGAAACTTGATGCCTTTTCCCCTTCATTTACCCCAGTTATCCTAGCCTCTTCTCCCCAGAAGACAGGCATTCTCCGCTTACACCACTCCTCCCCCTAGCTCTCGCTCCCGCACTTCACTCATGAGTCGTGACCCCTTCCAACTTCCCAGCAGGCTTACTCTTACCCCAGTTCCTTCAACGATCCAATGATGCTTCGACACTTGCAGCTTTCATGAACTCCCGGGTATCTGTTTCCCAGGCTATCGTCTAGTCCCTCCACTAGACCCCAATCTGTCATCCATCGCTTGGAGATTCTACGCTTGTGGCGGCGTATTGCTTGCCGACAGGACTCTCCAATTTTCGGTGCTGATGCCGGAAAAGATCAGCGTGGGGAAGCTCAAATAGCTCCCTGTAGCCCTTCAGAATTTCGTTTCCATAGATCGTGGCAATTGCATTCTTTGCTCCAGTTCCTCTCATCTCCTGGCCTGCATTGTGCTGTTCTCTTACTGTGCTGTTGTTGTTTGTCATTATAAGGGGCTTCGCAGCTATCACGAAAGTGTTCGCCTTTCCCCAATAATCCATCGGCCCTTTGAGTCATCAATCCCATTGAAGACGCACATAATTCTTTCGGACCCATCCCGCCGAGATGGACGAGAAGAAGGAGGATGTCCACCATGTGGACGCTGTCAAACGTGAAGATGACGGCCATGTCCAGACTTTGGAAGAAGAAGCCGTCGACAATGCAAAGCACATCAATTTGTCTTGGAGATCATGGGTTGTGGTCTTCTTCTGCTGTTTCGCGTATGTTCCTTCGGTCCACTCGCGATTGCATTTGCATTTGCTAATCTCGCCATAGCATCATGTCCCAGGTTTTCGTTGTCGTTGCTGCAGGAAGTGTTCTAGCATTCATTATCCGAGACATTGGCGAGCCAGCTTTGGCTTCATGGATCATTCAGGTACTTGCCTCCTCGACTTCGGAAAACCAAACAATGTTTCGCAATTGGACTCTAACAGCATCCAGGGCCCCCTCCTCATGCAAAGTGTTCTGTCCCCCCTTGTCGGACGTCTATCCGATGTTTTGGACCGCAAATACATGGCCTCAATCCCTCCTCTCATCGCCGCCGGCGGATCAATTATGTGTGCGAAGGCCACCTCCATGAACATGTTGATTGGTGGTGGCATTCTCATCGGCGTGACGCTTGCAACCATTGCTATCGTTCAATCCATCCCGTCTGAGATCCTTCCCCTGAAATTCCGCCCTCTCGCCAATGGCTTTGCTTTCATTGGTGGTGCTATGGGCAGCTTGTAAGTAGCATTCTACCCATTCTGTGTGTATGAATCTCTTATCTTACTCGTATCTAGGGCGGGTGGTCTCTCAGCCGGAGCCGTGACCAACATCAGCGCAGACGGCTGGCGTAACATCTTCTGGATCCTCGCCGGTCTTCACGGCGCAACCTCAATCGGCCTCCTCGCCTTCTACTGGCCCAAGAAGCGCGTCCGAACCCACAAAATGTCCTTCAAGGAGTACGTCTGGGCCTGCGACCCCATCGGATGCACTCTCTTCACCGCATCCTCTCTCTTGATGTTGCTGGCCCTCAACTGGGCAGGCGGTACCTACAAGTGGTCAAATCCCCATGTTGCTGCGAACCTGGGAATTGGAATGGCATTGTTGGTCGCCTTCTGTCTCTATGGTACGTCCCTTCTCGCATTAACCCTTTCCACTCAACCCAAAACCCCCCTCAAGGATTCCAACACTAACACATCATCTCAATCAGAGTGGAAAGGACGTACCGATGGCATCGTTGCCCACGTCTTCTTCAAGAACGGACCCAACTTCTGGCTATCGACCTTCGCCTTCGCCGTCGAAGGCTGGATCTACTACTCTGCCGTCAACTCCGTGACCCCGCAGATCATCCTCAACCTTGGCTTCGAGTCCAACTCCTGGGACATCGCCATCCGACAGCTCTCCTACAAGATCCCCTCCCTCGTCTGCTGCCTCCCCATCACCCTCTACTCCACCTACATGAAGGACATGCGAACCCCCCTCGTTGTCACCTACGCCATCTTCCTTGCCGCGACCATCGGATACGCTTGCATCAAGCCGACCTGGGACGTAGGCCAGATCGCACTCACTGTGTTGACCGGTATCGGCACGAGCGGTCCGTTGACATTGCTTGTCGCCTGCATCCAGTTCAGCACGCCGCATCAGTACCTCTCCACCGCCACGGGCCTTGCCTTCTCCGCGCGAGCCATCGGCGGCGCCTTCGGCACAGCCGTTATCACCGCCGTCATCCGATCGAGCCTAAACACACATTACGCAGGCGACGTCGGCAGCGCGGCGCTCAAGGCGGGTCTACCGGCCGATAAGGTCACCGCGCTCGTGACGGCGATGCGGGCGGGTAAAAAGACGATCACCGTGGAGGGTGCGACGCCCGAGATCATGAAGGCGGCGTGGAATGCGAGCCATTGGAGCTATGCGAGGGCTTACCGGCTGGGATGGTGGAGCGTGTTTCCGTTCGTATTGCTCGCGACGGTTTCGGTGGCGTGTTTGAGGGGTATCAGCCATTTGATGACGGAGAAGGTGGAGGCGACTGTCGAGAGGGAGAGTGATGACGAGGAGAGGAATACCAAGGTTGTTGATTGAGTAAATCATTCATCTAATCGTTCTCCATAATCTACACTAGCTAGCATGCACTTCAACGCGCTTTACGGCTCCCCAACTAAACCATAAATGAAACTCATCTTGACATTTCACAACTATGTACCTCATCCGCGTACACACACATGAACCTATCTCCCCACACCCCTACCCACCCTCCTTCTCCCTAGCAGCCCGTTCCTTAAGCCTAGCATGCGTCGCAAACAGCAAATCCTTCACGCCCCTACACCCCCTCTCCGCCATCCAACCCAGCACATGCAACCTATACGCCTCCCACCCGACCGTCACCCCCCTATTAACCCTCAACACATCCAACGCCCTCGCCGTCACAGGCCCCTTATGCCAATTAACACTCTCCCTATCCCAGCCCTCCCTCTCCACCTGCTCGTCCTCCAGCACGCGCCACGCGATCGCCGCAATGCTCGCCACCACGCCGTTGTACGACAGCCCAAACGCGTGGCCGATCGGGTAGTCGCGGTCGAGCGACGTGAGGTATGCGTGGAATGCGTCGCGGACGGCCGGGTGCACGAAGAACCCGGAGGACTGGCCCGGGGACGCGAAGAGCGCTTTCGAGCCCCAGAGGAGGTTGTACAGGTCGCGGAGGCAGGAGTTGAAGGAGTTGAGCGTGGCTTGCGTGTAGTATGTTGATATCGGGTGTGGGTGCCGGTCGAAGGAGGTTTTGTAGGCGGCGTAGATGCCGGAGAGGCGGGAGAGGGTGGGGAGGGAGGGGGATTGCGCGAGGAGGTAGGAGAGGTGGGGGGAGGGGAGGATGATGGGGATGAGGGTTGGGGAGGAGGAGGACGAGAGGGTTTCGTAGAAGGTTAGGATGGAGGCGGTTAGGGGGGTGTTGGAGGAGGAGGGGACGGAGAGGAGGAGGGAGGTCGAGAGGAAGGAGACGTGGGTTTCGAGGGAGCGGAGGGAGGTTTGGCCTGGTGTTGGGGATTGAGATTCGGGGAGGCGGTTTAGTTCGGAGATCCAGTGGCGTAACAGGTCGGTGTAGAGATGGAATATCTTGTCGATAGATCCGAGGTTCTTGGTGAGCAGAGCGGTCTCAGCTGGCTTGAGATATGATGTATATGCATCTATATGGGGTTAGAGTTCGCTACAGCATATCACACAGAGACGTTTGCATCACCCACCTTGAAAGTCCTGTATGGGGAGATAGGAGAGAAGACCAAAAATAGCGTCAACAGCTGTGATACCATCCCATAGGAGAAGGTAGTCATTAAGAAAAGTCAGAACAATGGGCAAGATTTTCTTGTCGTACTGAGTTTGCCTTAGGAGACCCTCAAAGACTTCGGGGAAGTCGACCGAAGGCGGTGAGCCTCCCTGCAGCAATGCAAACTCCTCCTCTAGGCATACCGACAACCACAGATTGATGCGCTTCGAAAGGATAGGTGAGGGGCGCAGAGCAACGAACTTCTGCAGCAATGGGTCGTTGAGATAAGAAATGATTTGCCCGGGCGGCTCGATCTTGTCTAGGTTCTCCACGAACGCTTCCGCGTTGTCGATCCCCTCGAGTGTGACAGACGTCTGTTGTCCAACGTGAGTATAACTAGCCTCGAGGGAACTGCGGGACTCTTACCTCATTAGCCCTGAAGGTGTGCACATCAGGCACTACCGATATCTTGCCCCTCTTTGGTCCTTTTCTTAGAACGCGGAAGCCGTTATGTGCATCCGAACCTGCTTTCCTCGACGCTGTGTTCGCATCTTGTATGGCTTGCAGCTTTGTTTGCCATTCCGGATCAGGCCGCTGTAGGTGTTAGTAGGGTCCGAGATCCAGGAGACATGTAGTATAGATGTCAGAACTAACCGGCGGGAAGGAGCTCCGGGTAGTTGCAGTGCTCCCAAGGATGATATCTGGGTAGTAGTCTTTGAAAATGCGAAGAAGTCCTTGTAGTGCAGGCTCGTTGCTGAGACCACGAGAAAGCTCAAGTCTAGACTACAATCAGCATACCATGCCTACACGGTGACGAAGTGGGTGTGGCTATAATTACAATTGTTGGATACGGAACGGCTTCACATGTTTCCGGCGAGTAATTATAGAGAGCAAATGACACAAGGGGGTCCTGAAATAGTGAGCGACAGGGTTCGAGAAAAGATATAGGCGATCTCCACCTTATGCTAATCATATCAAGCATCCCAAATAGAACGCCGTACAGACGTGATAATGTTGACTGCTCTTCGATGATCTCGTGCACAATGACCAGCCATCTTACGAGACTATTCTGGGTGCCCGGTGCAGGCTTCCCTTTGCCCTGGCCAAGAGCGCCAACAACGGTGATGATCACGTCGGATGGCACAAAGTGAGCAGGATAGAGGTTCTTCACCAAAGTGGTTACACTGGACTGGTCTAACTCGGTCTTCCTTGAGACGGTTCGTACAACCCTCCTTAGCGACTCTGCATCAAGACCTTGGGCGAACGCATGGTCGCAGATGGAAGACACAATGCCGGACACTTTGACCGATCGTTGCTTTGCCGGCAACTGGGAAGCTGCATGTCATCGATCAGTACGAGATCAGATGAGGGGGCAGAGAATGAGATAGATCAGAGCTATCGCTTTCGCATGCGTGCATGCATTTTGGGGAGGACTAACCTCTCTCCAGAGCATCCAGCGCGTCGTTGATGCTCGCGGCTGGCTCGCCTACCAACTACATTAGCGTAAGATGAGGGAATGGGGGTGGAGGGAGGTCATGCTCTCACGTTCACCGACAGAAGAAGGCATCACGTTGTTTTTAGACCCATGCAGGTAGTAAGACAGATGGTCAGCAAATATTGGAGTTGAAGAATATGGCGAGAATAGACGATGAATGCATTCAATAAGGACAGTCAAGCAAGCAGTTAGCCCGTCATTCAGTCGCGTCGAAGAGGAAAGCCAGTAGTCGCCCGTCGTTGTACTGTTTAGATGCATAACCGCGCTATACCCATTGTGGCCTATTAACCGAACATTACCCCCCCGTCGACATGTCCTTTGTGGCTTGATTCACTCTCTCGTCCCCTTCCACCCATCCACACCCCCAAACAGTTTAACACCTCCAAACACGTTCTGCTCTCTTGTCTGTACTCTCGAGCTACTCTGGATTCTGTTGACTGTGTCTGTGTACCGTCTATCATCTACTTTGTACTCCCACATCTCCCAAACGTCTATCCCAAACTTTCTTTCCACATCTACTAACCCATGCACACCCTCCCCCTCTCGGCCTACTCAATGGCAAAACACTCCTCCATCAGGTACCCCCCGCCCACTGTCCGGTGAGAGAGAGTAGAAGGGGAGACACAGAGAGAGCGAGAGCTAGCCAGCCAGCCCGCCAGCTAGAGACGTGCAGGCAGACAGAGGCAGAACAAGACAACGGATTGCGTATCATTGTTTTCGCCCCGCGGCTGGCCGAGCCGCCCATTTGCTGCACTCTATCTTGCAGCTGTCACTTGCATTGTCGGTCGGTCACTGGGCGCCATTCGCAGGTTTTGCTGGTCCGCCTACAGTTCCCATGAACCGTGTCGATTATCCGTTGTTACACAGCAAGCATCAATTGATAGTTTCTTCTCCTCGGCTCGCCCGCACTTGCTTGGTCCATCTCCTGTCCCGCGCACTGACTGGCCCCATGCTTCTTGTGCTCAGCAGCGATTAACTTGCAACGGCTTTTACCCATGTCCTGCGAGTCCTTCTCGAACCGTCTTGACCCCCGTGCATCGTACATATGGACGATAGTGTACATATGGCGGATCCTTTGCATCAGCTCTTTTCCCCGGTTACTGGCCGTCACCTTCGCCTTTACTGGTCTGATTTCTAGTCCACGGCAAGGTTTATCGTCGTCCTCTCGTGCCGTTGCGCGTCGGCCAAGGGGGCCCTGCTTCGGTCCTGAGGATCACCATAGTCGTCTGGAATCACACCAGCATCCACGGCCCTCCTCAACCTACGTATTCTCTACTCCGTATTGACTCTATTGACTCAATGGGTCTGACCCTGACTTTGCATGTGAATTGGCAGAATTGCCACTTTGTGAATGGCCAGTCTCGGATCATGGCTCGCCAACAGTGGTTTGCTACCCGACATCCACCTCTCATCGTCTCCAACCGGTCCGTTGTCCGCTGTCCGCTGAGCTCGAATCCTTTCGGTGTAACGACGCCGCACTGTAGCATTCATGCTGTGTGTCAGCGATCCTCTCAGACACTGGCAGAATGATTCTATCGGCTAGCGGTATCCTGGCCGTGGGATGGCTCTCTTACTATTTTCTTTTTTTGTTTGCATGCCATACATATGTGCCCAAAAGAATCTCGTGCTACATCTCACTCTTTGGTCATGCTGTAGCACCCATAAGATCACCTCCAATATTATTGCCAGTATATTTGGGGACGTCCACTCTTATATTAAGTTACAGATCGAAGGATATCGAAGACCCATCTACGAGGCCACGGATCAGTTTGCGACCCGCCAACCTTTAATACATCAACTTTGCCCAACAGGCCCTTGGATTAAGGCTGATCTCTTTGGGTGGTTGAATCCTCTTACTCTTTTCTTGATTGTATGTGAAACACATCACATTGTCACTTTGCTTCATCCTCTGTCGGCGATACCTGTTTGGGCTCGGTGGTCGTTTGGGAAAGCTCATCGAGGTAGTAACCTGCCCAACCCACCTCATCCAGACACTGGTCCCATAGATCTCATCGAGCAGTTACGAGCCGGAGCAGTGTTCGTTGAGACAATTCCCTGTCTGACACAATCTGGTCAAAAGGGATTTCAAATCTGGTGGAGTACGCCGCTTCTTCGCTGTCATCTATTATCATAGTTACTGGTTCTGCGCGGATTTGCTCAGGTATAACTTGATACAACAACAACGCGCAGTGATTACAAAAACATTTTTTTTGTGGCCTTAAAAGCAAGGCATCTGCTGCCAATACCATGGGCGAAAGCAGAGTTCTGCCTGCTCCCAAGTTTATGTCCAGTTCCAAGACTCAATCATCATTCCATCAAAAGATGACCTCCCAAACACCCACGAAATCGAATCTCACTGCTCTCCTCGCGAGCACATCAGGGGGAAATGCTACCCTTGTGAGATGTCCAACAGATATGCTGCAGCGACTACGAAATCTTCACGAAGCGGAATGGATTACACTCTTCACACCAGTTGTTCCTCATCCTCCTTCGACCGCGCTGGAGAGAAACATGGACCCCTTCGAACCACTTGGAAGGGCCCTGGCTCGACAGGTTCGACATGTCCCTTACCGCCTAGATTACGGCATGACGGAAACTCACGTCGACTTCATTCCCTCAGCCGGGGCGATCCTAATCGTGATCTGTACCACGGAGAACATCATGTCCCACAACAGCCGGGCCTTCGAACAGCAGAGGAAGTTCGCTCGGGACATCCAGAAGAAGGTCGAAGACAAGAGTGGTCGGAGTATCACGCCCATGATCCTCCTTCTCTGCACCAACGGCGCCAACAAGCAGACTCACCAGGACGGGTTGAGCGAGTTTCCGGCTCTGCTCACTTGCACGGACTACAACACGCTCGCCCTCTCGAACGCTGTACGCGTTTTGTTCGACAACTGAAGTGGAGGAGACGTATTAGACATCTCAATATAGTCTATAACGAAGTCACCTTGTGGGCCTGGTGCCCCCTGGACGAGACGACATGGACGGACAAAACACTCAAGCGAAAGGTTTTCATCTGTAGGAATATTTATCGGACGCTCATTTAATTCTCCTTGTGAATTCTCTATATTTTCATGATCAATTTCCTTCTTTCTGTTCTTCCTCAACACGATTTGTAGGATATTCGTGAGCTCACTCACCATGTATGATATCTCCCTCTCTCTCTCTCTTCGTAGGAAATTCGTCCAATCAATAGTACATATCCCTAACCTATCCACCCTCCTCTACTCCCCATCATTGACTGTTGCTTGACGTTTCAAGTGTGGGGACTTCGACGCCTCTTACTTACGACCTCACCACATATCGAATACCCCAGGCCTGACATATACCATCGCGATAATCTCGGCAAGGGCAAGGAGATCCCCGCGGGGCCCGCGTAACCCGGGACCCTCGTCCTGGTGAATATCTTGCTTTCTGCTATACATATGGGCCTAGGGGAGAGGAGAATTTGATATTTGATAAATTTGCGGTTTGAAGAATCAGAAGGAAATCTTGGCATTCAATGAATAGAGGCATGGATAGATGTATGCATGGAATGCTAAGGAGCATATGGTGGATTCATTGATTGATTATTTGGCACACAGATGGTTGGGTGGGTATATGAGTAACAGATCATATCCCATTGTTGTTCGATGCCCTTGACTACGCTAATTGAGGACTCCGTGATTACCATTACATTTTCCATATCATCTCCAAATCGACCAAAAAATGATCATAGATGGTGTACACATAGTCCCAAGACAATTATGAGCGGGATGCTGGTGGGCATTACTTAAAAGTGCGGTCGGTATTGTGAAAAAAGGGGTCTATAGACAAGAAGAAATATATAAAATATGGGTTTCATGAAAGAATAAATGTATGAAGAGTAAAAAGATTAAAAAGGTATTATAGAAGGGTAGTACTACAGAATTAAGGAACACAAAGCACGTACGCGAGCCGGGGGGTTTTTGCGGGGGGAGAGGATGATCTTGTGCCTGGAAAGCATAGCTCGCTTGTGAAGGTTTTTGATATGCCGTTCGCTGGCCTGATTTCCTTGTAATGTTGCGGGTATGGGTGCGTGGTGGTACATCCGTAGCCCCGGAGACGAGACAGATGCGGGTTTAGGGGTACGCAGTTGGTTGTATGGAAGTTTACAATAACTCCCAGCGTGCATCATTGCTATTATATTCCCTGGCTTCGATTTTTCCGATTTGCGTGCGTTGCGTGATCCTCATTTCCATGAATTCTTAATATTAAAACAGTGCCTGAAGGAAGAAGAGAACGGCGGTAGTCATGGTCTATATCTCGTATACAAGTATCTTTTCTGAGCACAGGTTTAAGTTGAAATCGAACTATCCCTGCTGAGCAGAGATGAGGCGGCGTCGTTGATAATTTGCGAGGAAGTTGTCAGCACATGCTGAGCGGCCTTGTTCGCGTGCTCGTTCGCGTGGTGGAGGGTTTCTTCGTCACCGGAAAAGTAGTAGAACATTCGGTTGGCCATGATGTAAATGTGCTCCGGGAGGTAGAGGGAGGCGGCTATTATGAGGAGGGAGAGGAGGAGGAATAGTATGGAATCTGTACGGAAAAAAGGTTAGTATGACATGTCTAGCAGAGGAAGCATGAGGTAGGGCTTGGTGAGACATACTGAAGATGAACTTTTCGGTCGAAGTCAACATGTAAAGCGAGAATGTGACTTCATACTGGTATCGCTTTCGCTGAAACCAGCGTAGAAGGGAGGACGGGTATAGTATTGCTGCTAGGAGGAGGCCCGAGGCGGCGGATAGGAGGACGACTGTCGAGACAGAGGCAGAGTCGGGCATTGTGTCGTTTGAAATCGGTCAAGTTGCGGTGCTTAATAGGTGGGTGAATGAAGGGTTCGAATATGCGACAAGTATACTTGGCTAAAGCGAGCGGCAGAGAGTTTGGTGTGCGTGTAATTGTGTGTCGTGTGTTGTGAACAAGATTATGTCTCGGGAACGGAAGGATGCTGAAGGGGCTGATGAGGCGCGCGGAGATTTGGCCCGCTCCGAATCCGAGAATTCCGCACCACTTTGCCAGGTACCGCCCGCTCCCGATCAATACAATTGTTAGCTGGGGGTGAATTATTGTTTGATGGCGGCATGGAGCAAGTTCGGCTTTCATGCATAAAGAGTACCCCAGAATTAAGAGTGTATCCATCGTAATTGTAGGATTAACCTAAGACTTACTGCCGGCTATCATGCTATCATGAGGCCTCGTCAATACATCATCTCTTGATCACGCCCATTCAATGCCTCCTCTACCATACCTCCTACGGCTCCGGCTCGCCCGTTATGCTCGAACCTCTCTCTGCTCTAATAGCTGCCTCTACAATGCCCTTCCTCCAGTCCGTACGCTTTTCGCGACGCCTCCGTCCCTAGCAAAGCAACTACCGCCCCGGCGCGTGGTCCTAGACTCCGAGATTGAAGAGAACTTCCTCAAGGGCTCCGGCCCGGGCGGGCAGAAGATCAACAAGACTTCCTCCGCCGTACAACTAAAACATCTCCCAACGGGAATCGTAGTAAAATGTCAAGAAACGCGGTCACGCACGCAGAACCGAAAGCTTGCTAGGCAGATATTGGGGGAGCGGATAGAGGAGCTCGAGTTGGGTGAGCAGAGCAGGACACATATCAAGGCACGGGAGAAGAGCAAGAAGAAGTCCAGCGCAGACAAGAAGAAGCGAAGAAAGTACAGAGCCCTGGAAGAGGACCGGAAAGCGATGGAGGGTGAAGTCGATGACAACGAACCCATCGAGGAGGGAGAGTCACAAATCATGAAAGGCGAGCACATTGGTGAAGGCAAAATCCATGCACCAGGATGAAAGGTGGGTGGGATCGGTCGAAAGACAGCATATAGACACTCGACGTTCTGATCACGGAGGAAAGCAACTGTTGTATCGCACAATACTGGGAATATCATGACATGACTGGGTTTCTGAAGCCTTATCTGTGACGAGATTTTGAGCATCGCGATTCGGACTGCATTGTGGGGTGCCCTGGAAATGACAGGTTGGTGCCTATTCCACTGTCTGGGTAACCTTGCGAAAAGCGCAATAGGTGCGCAGGTCGGTTCATGCTATTTCAAGTAGATACACACCGATCATTAATAGGGCGAGAGAACCAGAAACCCAAGTAACGGATAATAAGAGCGACTATCTATTGCGTATAATGAATAACCAAGTTGTGCGATTGTACCAAGCTTACTCCGAGTCGTTTCTGCGGTTGCAAAGGCTACCTTCAGTTCGGGATTCAACACTTTGTATTTCGACACCTCTGCTAACACATTCAATCTAACATTTCATTCCTACGGGAAGGCTGTGGTTTAGCCTCACTCAACCAAGCCTGTAACTCTTCTTCAACACTGTCCACCAGGGACAAGCATCAACGAAAAGGAGAAAAGAAACCAAAGGTTTCGCCAGAAAAAATTACGCCACCGAAGCCCCCGAAGGAGATTCGAACCAGAACCGCTCCGCTCTGTGCAATGCAGGCGATTCCGATTGATCAACTGAATTCTTGAGCTCAGCGATCGCAACAAGGTAAGTATGAAGAAACAAGAAGGGGACGGGGGAAAGGCACTCTTTTATAGACCGCTCTGCTGGTCCGTGTGTAATAAGCGAGCGAGATTTGGTTGCCTAGGGTTACCTAGAGCGTTGTTCTCGGAGACAATACGAGGCGGTGGCTGGGAGACTGTCCTAGTGTAACTCATGGTGAAGGTAGGTTCTGGGTGGACCAATCTGTACAAGCGCCCTCCAGGCAGAAGACAGAGCAGAAATCGGACCAGAATGCTAGCTCTCTGAACAAATGTGTCCTCGTTTCATGAGGTCCGATGATGTTTTCTTTGTTGTGGTGTTGACGCCGGTCCGATTACTTGCACACACCAAGTCCTCTGGATCACTGAGCCGGATTTCATCAACGCTGCCTTCCGAACAATCGATCAAAAATTTGTTCTGTCTTTCTCATGTTAACGAAGATATTCAATTTTGCAACCAGAAATTCCGGCTCACAGAATTCTCATACGTGTTCGGCCAATTTATCCGATCTCGTTGGGAATGCGGGTGGTAGCAAACGGTACGGTACCACGGGTTAAGTTAGAAGTCCGACTGTACTCGGTTTTTTTGTTCCGCATTTTCTCTTTTGCTGCGCATAACAATCATCCCTGTAGTCCTTCCAGCCTCACTGCTAGCATCGAGAGATTCTTCTCTTTACCTAGGTTGGAGGTTCAATTTAGAAGAAAATGCACGTGGAGAGTAGCAGTTTTGGGCTTAGCGTGATTCTTTTCTCAACGTCGAGGCTTGTGTCACCATACTGTGTCCATCGCTCAATACGAAATATTGAGTTGTTCTTCATTGTAATCGGTAATCCATGAATGATACTATCTCCTCGAGATATGGATGAAGGCGCCGGGTGCTGGATGCAGATTCTTGCACCCTAATGCCACGCAAGACTGAAGTATTGTCCGTGATCTTTTGGCAGCTGGTCAACCATGGATCCAGGTCGACTACAACACATTTGGGTATTATCTGAGCGGCGCAACACTACTAGAGGTTCGGAGACATTTCAAATTGCTATAGATGAATCAGATATGAGACTACACCTGCATGGCTATGGGTCTCCATCGAAACAGTAGGTACACAATGTCGGTGTGGACGCATCAGACATGCCCGAGATCATGTGAAATGTACAATAACAACTTCTTCTCTTCTCTGGTACATGGTGAACTCTAGAAAGAAAGAGTTCGCTAACTATACCACAGCTGGGAAAGTCAACCTGTATGACTCCTACAATGTAGGCCCTAGCCCAACCATTAGGTCGACTGAACCGCTTACCTTAGTCTCAACAGCCAAACTCTCATGCCGGCTCCAACATACGCGATAAAATAAGAATAAAAGCGGGGAATCGTAGGACTTTTCTTTCTTTTCTTCTGCGTATTGTTAGGCGACATTGACACCTATAGGAGATTTTGCGAAGACTCCCTGTTGCCTAGTACGGAAGAGGAAATTTCCTACAATGACTTGTTGGGCTTGCAGTAGATACAAATACTAACAAGATACTCCGTACCTTTCGTGGGAATTTCTCTTTCGTCAACTCACTCCAAGGTGGTTTCCCGTTGTTCATAGTTGATTTGGCTGGGCACGAACAACACAGATTCTGAATACGTCATTAACTGGACTCGATGAACCCAACACATATCAAGTATTACCTTGACCATCAGGCTTCGGATACAAAGGGCAAATACCCAGGTCTTGGGTTGGTCCTTCGGTATATGGACGAACATATGTTTCAAAAACTATTTCTTTACCAGTATCCTATCGGCGCACACCCAAGCCGCCCCGGGGCCCAAAGCCGTATGATCATGATTCGCGAGCTTGCAATGATGGATATCATGGAAAAGCTGACCGATGAGAAGCATTGGCATGAAGACGTGTTTAAGGAGTAAGTGAGATTTGATGAATTGATTTGAAAATCATTTTTGCTAAATGCAACGTGATTCTAGTGATATTGTAGCTAAATGGCGGGACCGTATTCTCGCGATCCCAGATAAAAGCTTTTGTAGATTGGCTGTAAAAGGTCTCCAAGGCGGCCTTAACGATGACCGGTACATTGAGCCGGAACTTCTGGGTGTCGTATCAGAGACTGTTTTTGACTACGTGAGTTGTTTAGTTGAGATAACGATTGTGGGATACATCAAGCTGAATCCATCAATAGTGCATTGAAGAGCTTAGACAGAAAGCTAAATACTTCGCACAGTCGGGTATCGTGCCGACGCTTGATGCGTGCGCGTCGGTAGTGAAATCGGATTCACTAGTCAACCCTGAGCTCCACGAGATGCTCAGGAATGCATTTCAGAAACTCAAAGCTGACCAGGCGTCTTCGCCAGATTGGCACCCTGGATCAAATGGCATGGTTCAAAATCTGGTGTAAGCTACATAACATTGTTGAAGCCTAATTTTGCAGACTGACCCGGGAATTTAGCGATCCATTGATGTATCCCTTGGTCTACGATCGCAGCCGAGTTTACCAGGACGAGGTGGTAGGTGTTGCCGATGCAATCACATCGTGGGCAGGCAAAGGTAGTGTCATTGCCAGAGCTAGAGGGTATCTCGAGGATCAGAGATGCGGCCCATGCGACAGTGAAAGAAGGGAACACGAACTCTTGATCTCACGCGAAGCCTGGTCCGAAGTGTATCAAGGGTTGCCATCTAATGTTGCTTTCACAGAGGACGGGAGCGTACGGTTCACAAGCTACATCAACAACCTTCATCCTAATCGCTATGGGGACATATACCGTACTGTAGAGAAGCTAGTGCAAGCATCGATTCCAATGTGGGACCAATGTTTACTTTTATTTAACAGCCGACATCTAGAATCCGGCCCTAGTAGAAAGGAGCCTCGTTTGTCTACGAATAAGCGTCGGTCTGTAACCTATGCCTCCTAAAAATCTCGATGCTTACCCAAACAGTGACCATCACCCCGGTAATTGGAATCCATCGGATTCTGATGAACTTTCCGACGATATGAGTGGTATTGATCTGGATGGTTTCTTCGACTTCGAAGATGAATATGACCGTAAATATGAAAGAGAGGACATGAACATTTCAGAATTCGCTGAGAAAATGAAACGATACAAATGGGAAAAACTGCGAAAACCGGTAATGCCAGAGCCGGTTTCATCGGAGCTGAAGGTCGACTATATGCCAAAGGAGGGCGCGGGTCTCATCGATCTTTTCTCCGTGGGAGGCCTTCAAGTCATTGTCAAGATGGTCTCGATAGAACTCACGCCCGAAAAGCCGCCCTTCCCGGCAGATGAGTGGCACATTGAAGGGACAATGAATGAGTGCATTTGCGCTACTTCGCTCTACTACCTCGACAGCGAAAATATAACGATTTCGGACCACTCATTCCGTATGCACGTCGACGATTTGGTGGAATACGAGACGGGATACCTCAATGTCGGCTATGGAAACCATCATTGGTTGCAACAAGTCTACGGTTCCAAATTTTACACCGATGAATCTATCGGATCCCATGAGTTTCGCCACCAATACTACGGCGCGGTTGAGACAAGAGAGGGTAGACTTCTCGCTTTCCCCAATGTGTTCCACAATCGAGGCTCTGGCTTTCAACTCGACGATCCCTCCAAACCTGGGCATCAGCGGTTTATTGCGCTTTTTCTTGTCGATCCAACAAGGCGAATCATCTCCACTGCGAATGTCCCGCCGCAGCAAATGGATTGGTGGGTCGAATCTATCTTCGATACATCGTCAGTAGCTCATAACGGGACGGCTTCAAGTACGTCAAACGATATAGTAGATTGTTTGGCAGAAAACGGATATCTCGCTACCAAGCGTGCTGGTGGTGTAAGCCTGCCGCCTGAGCTGACGGATATGATCAAGGGGTTTTATCACGATGGCGAGTCAATTCCGATGCAGGTCAAGGAAGCTCAAGAGCATCGGCTCAAAGCAATTCGGAAACGAAGAATCATTTCACAAGATGCCGATGAGAGTGGAACAATGTATTCATACAGCCTCTGAAAGTACTGGTGCATATGAGTCGCTGTCTGGTGGTAATAACGATGACAGTAGAGGGAGCAGCAACCAGTAATCACAGAGTGAAACAGGGGTGTAATGGACAAAACATACTTTTACAATGCTTATCAAACTCCTTCAAGATCTGCCGTATACTCTCCAACTGCACTCACCTGTATAACACTAAGTCCGCCGTACTGGCCGCCGACGTTTACGACAAAACGCAATACACATCACAGCGAGGCCAACCAAGGATAATCAAAACTTACATCAGAGGTCATCTGGTGATCATCTACTGTAGTCGACCTCTGGATGAGAATAGTAGACGTAGGCGCGCGGATGTTTGATTTGTGCAACGGGGATCAAATTCTTATTAGACACTACCTCTTCATTGTTCTGGCTAGATATGGCGGTTCTATAACTGAAAGAAAAACTAGCACATTCAAATGGGAACGCTATACATTTTTCCAACGTCTATTCTGGTTCTTATCATTTGGAGCAATTCATCACTAATGGAGGAACTAACCTGGGAATGGCGAGTTTGAAAGCCTGACGGTTTACTGAAAAGCCCGCGGAGATACATCACTGGAGTACAACTAGTGGCAACACTTTACTTGTCTATAGGACGAGTCGTAACTTGGTAGTATATTTGAAGATTTACATTGTTTTGCGAACCCAAGTCAAGGGAACCATTCGGATAGATTTGTTAGGATTGGCTTCCTGATTAGGTTGAACACGTTGAAGGCGAATAAAGTTCTTCAGGATTGGCATAAGAAGGCACCGATGAACCTACAGAAGAAACCTTGAATGGCTATGGAATAGCTGGGGCGGTCTGATCGAGAGAGAATCTCAATGCCGACTGATATTTCATCCAAGATGCGACTCACTATTCTCTATCTTGAGATTAAAGGTGGTATTTCCTTTTTGCGGATTGTTTGTGTTCCCGTAATTATCTTTCCCGTACTTCTTATACAATGTCGACATGAAAGTAGCTGTGCGTATGACAGCTCATATAGATCATGACTTCACATGAACAAAATACACCATCGATATTCATTTGCTTCAATACTCCTCTAAAATAGGAGGCTACATACATACGTGTCGTTCTTACCGGGTATTTGCACCATGTCTCATCTGTCCCCAATCTATCTACCTACTATATTCTGCGACAAGGGTGTATATTTCCAGATGCCAAGACGAGATAAGCTCGCGAAGCCTTCCATGGCAAAGCAACTTTTGTTAATTTGTACTGGGGACACGTGTTGTTTGATAGGTCGGGTCGACGATGCAGATACGGATACGAGTGTGAGATCAGATGAGATGAGATGGGCATGAGACGGGTTTATGGAACTATGTTATTTTGATAGGGTATTCCGTGGAGTAGGGAGAGGGAAGGTTGATTCTAGGATTCTAGACTCTGGGTAATGGATGGAAAAGGATATGAATCTGCTTTTACAGAGTACTTTCCATACTATCTGGAGCGGAATCTGGTTCTAGATTTGGTCGGTCAGCTTGAATTCGTGACCCAACCGCATGTCGTATATCATAATACACATTCAGACATGCACGCAGGAACATACGAATGATGATGGACCGGAATTGAAAGAACGACAGCCGTAATGCAAAGCCTATTGTGAGCGCACTAGAGGAAGGTACGCCAAATGGAAATAGACTATGACAAGCACGGGAGACTATGGTCTGCAGGAACTGTCAGAAGGTAGCATACGGAATAGTACTCCGTAGACGCAGTTGAATTACTGAACTAGGAAAACAGTTCTGTTTTTTGTGTGTATACATTGTGACTAGTGTTCGTAGTGTACCAATGGAAGTTTTGTCTGATCGCGGGCCGACATGGAGGATCGGAGATGCCGCAGCAATGATAATTGGAAATCGTATGTTACGGTGGATATTGATCAGGTTTCTGACGTTCGTGATTTCGAAAAAAAAGACTACAGAGTGTATGCGCTCGTACGAGGGCAATCAGGCAAGACGCGTGAAGCGCAAGTCTACTCAGATCATTGAGCGGCGTTGTCTCTGTTCATGCGCGGTCGCCAGAACAACCAACCACCACGTTACAACGACACCAACCACCTGCCACCATCGTCCGAAGCATTATCGCGATGATTATCGTGGTTCCTCGTTGTCAACGCAAGGGATGCGTCTGCATACCCACGCATGCGAGTGACGATGCGGTCGTACTACATTGCTAAAGGGGGAGCCACCGCGTGGGTTTGGCGCCGCACACAAGAACAGCAAGCAAACAAAAGACGCAGTCAATGAACGCACTTGAGCCGGGACGCAAAGACAGTCCGTGATATCGTTGTCGTCGTACAGAACACCTGAGATACCGTATGGTACGTTTTGGGTACTCGGGTCGAATCTAGTTGTTAAAGTTCGAGTTGCGATGTCACGTAGAATTACCTAGACGGGGCACCAATAACTGGAAGAGACATACGAGTAACAACAACGACATGACTGGCGCCATTAATTATGTGTCAAAAGACCTTGATACCTCTGGGCGTCCGTCATAACGAGAACCATTCCCCACGCGAAAGCCACCTGTGTGGCCGTTTAGTTCACGCGCGATGATGGTGAACCACAGTTCGATGGCGTTGGCGGTGGCGGCGATGGTGGGAGCGACAAGCCTCTTGAGGTCTGCAGCCACAACGTCTATGCGTATGCATATTCGTGTGGTTACTATTCTGTGCAACTCAAGAACCCTACTCTCGAACTAGAGTTTGCTGTCGATGGAACTTGAGTATCGTTGGTTGCACGGTAGCTTTTTTCCCGAAGCCGAAGCCGAAGCAGACGGGAGAGAGGGAAGAGAAGAAAAATTTTGATCACCAAAGTCTCGAAGATCGCGACGTCGCAGTCATTGTCAAGCGGGTAAAAGTACTCGGCACAGAGTGATGGATAGAATGGTGGTATCCTACATGGTACTCTAAAGGGGACGAAAGTCATTAGATGGTTTAGGAACACCCGAGAGAGGTAAGGGAATCTACATGCTGTGTCCAGAAGCGGGAAGAAGAAAAGGCCCATTCAGGGGCCTTGTGTTCATGCTCTTATGTTCATAGGGTACCGCTTGGGTATGTATTCAGGAATCTCTCAGCCGTTGCGTACGTTGGACAGCATGTTCAATCTTCTAGGTAACGAGTAGGGCCGCGGTAGCAACGGTGATGGTGATCATGAGGAGCGCTGGTCGTGCATCCGGGTATTTTTCATCGCTCATGTTCACGCGCATGTTTGTGCCCATGTCTATCCTCATCACCCAGCACGTCCTGCATGATCCAGCGATCTGCACAGCTGGTGTCTCTACTGAAACATCGCCAAGACGCTGCCAGAGCGACGCGAATTGTTTTTCTTTGGTGTAGCCGTGCCAGCCGTGAATCCGTAAGACCCGAAGAACCCGCAGGAACCCGTCCATTCGACCTCATCATCGCACACATAGACTACCTACAGTATCAATGAGCGTAGGCAGCGTCTAACAAGAAACCAGTCCATCAGTCAGGCGGGCAAGCAGGCGGGCAGTCAACAGATGCCCTGCCACACCGTAAATAGATGGTGGGTAGAGGGATTCTCCACCCGCCCCGTCCAGGACTCCAGCCATGACATGCCAACAAAGCAGATCAGATCAGATATTCATTAGCAAGTGTCAGTCAAAGTGTCGTCGTAGTGTGAAAGTGTCAAAGCACCCACTCAATTGCAAACACCCGCTTACGATCGTCCAATCTAATCGAAAGCAATGCTATCCATTATTTTCATTATTGCACGGACTTGATCGTAGCAAATCCGCTTGCCTCAACTTCATGGGCATTTATTGTATTGCTGTGCTGTACTCCGTACTCCGTACCTACGGTTCCTTGACCTTGCATGGACCCAAGCGGTCCCTTGTGTAACTGTTCCCCATTTCCAATTGCATAGTCTACCGCGCGTTATGTCCTTGTCTTGTCTCGCCAGTCCAGTCTAGTCGACGCCACTCCACTTTACTCGCATGAGCAAGCCTTGGATTGATTAGGTTCCCAAAATGTCGTCTATTGTCACTAGGTGCTTGCTAGATGCCCCAAGACACGCAGTCTCAAATCCCTCCAAAAAGCTGTCAGTTGACCCAAATAGTCTACTCCATAGCCTTGTGGGTCCCCTTCGCCCCAATGTTCGGTAAAATGGACATGGTTAATGAACACTATGGAACAATTGTCCATCCAATTGCCTAATCGTGTTTACCGTATCCTGCCTCATCCTGCCCTATCCAGTCCTGCCTTTACCCTCTCCAGTAGTAGTGTACTGCTGTGATTGGTGTTACTCGAGCAAACAATCGCATGTCATGTTATCCCAGCAGCCTGAAAAGCTCTCCTCTGATTAGCGCATGGACGTTAAATGGGGCTCAACAGTGGTCCCTCATTGGGATCCACAGACCTTTCTCCAGTCTCCTCCGTTTCGTTTCCTGAACAACATATCCGCGCGCCGCGCTGGGCTCGGGGGAGGGTTGCTAGGGGATGGGTCGTCGATCCACCTCTCTCTGAGGATATCTGAACCGCCTCTACCCACCAAGTAGGTCTATGTACTTGTACGTGCTAGCCTAGTGAATTGATCTAAAATGTCTGATCAGCCTGAGCGTGGTTCCATTGTACAGGGACACAGCACAGTGCGTGTACAGTGTACCCGCCCTTAGTACCATGTTGCGTCACTATCGTCAAGGTACTGGCGCTGCTGTACAGAGTATCTCCTGTGCGTATGTGCGATGTACGCCTTCGCTGTTGCACCCCAACCCCCCTTTCAGCCTACTCTTTTTTTAAGTTCATAAACCACAACCATCCCCAGATTCTCAACTGGTCCCGTTACTTACACCAAATCTTCGACGTTCCCCTTTTCTGTACCTCGTTTCTCTCCGGCTAGGACATCCGTCGCAATTTAAAGGGATACACAGAGCACGGGAACACTTAATTGGTGAGAGGTTCGGTGTGGAAGAAGTTGGGTTGATCGTTTGTCGTCACCTTCACTGTCCTTCGTTGCGTCCGTGCACGTGACATCAGAGCCTTCCACCTTCCATCACTCTATCTTAATTAAGACTGCAGTCGTTGCCGCTTGTCTCTTCTTCTTTCCTCCTCTACCATCCTCTTTCTTTCTATCCTCCCTCTCACACACACTTTTTTTTGTGTCGGAGCCACGGGCAATCTAATCCATTTCCCTTCGTTAAGAATTGATTCGTGGGTGACACCGTCAATCAATTGCTGTCTGTCGTCGTCTTTTCTCGATACACTCGTTTGTGTCCGGATTTTGATAACTTCACTCAAACTTCACATACAAACAATGAAGTCTTCCACATTTCTAGCCGTGACAGGCTTGGCTGCCATCGCCACTGCTACACCAGTTGCGCCACCCCAGCCTCAGATTGAACGGATTCAACTTCGCCAGGAAAATGGCGTCAATGCCACCAGTCCATGTGCCCAAGCTTCTCAGGCCATTTGGGCAGACGAGAAGAGGGCCAACACAATGATCCCCGCCAAGATCGCGTACGATTGTCTGAACTCCATTCCACTCAACGTCACTTCCGCCAAAAGATTGTTGGATGCTTTGCCTGTATACATCCAATGGCAAAGCACTTTGGTAGCACTGAAGAATCCTCCCTCTGAGTACTCGGAGAAGGTTCAGCCTCCAATTGACATCCTCGGTGGACTTGACAAGATCTCTTCTGACATCGATGCTGGAAAGTTCAAAAATGAATACCAATTCGGTTGGGCCCTGTACACCCTGATCCAGTCTGCTCACGACGGCCACTTCGGGTACATTCCTGACTCCGTCGGTGGAGTCTTCTCTTTCGGTCGCACGGTACCTCTGGTGTCCGTATCGGAAGATGGTAAGAAGCTACCCTCCGTTTTCGCCTTCCATGATGTTCTCGGAATGCAGTACAAGAACATCTCATACACTCCTTCCGCCATCACGAAAATCGACGGCCAGGATGTTTCCGACTACCTCGAGGCGCTCAGTCAATACGGCTCTCTCCAGGATCGCGATGCGTTGTACAACAACGTCTTTTACGAATTGGCCCAGATTAGCCTCGGATCATCTGGTAGTGGTACGGGAATGTTCACCGGTGGTGGACGTGGCCGTTTCGTCTATCCTGGGCCAACAACCACCCTCAAGTTTGAGAATGGATCCTCGTATACCATGCAGAACTTCGCCCGACCTCTCCTTTCTTTCCGCAACATTACCAGTGGCGAAGATGTCGCGAAGAGGTACTTCTACTTCGGCGCTTCGAGCGGTGAGGCTTCGACTCTAGGCGAAGCTCCGGAGCAGAACTTTGCAGAAGTTGCTGCCACTCCCCCTGGCTACCCAGAGCCAATTCAGGCTGGCCCGGGAAATCTGATCAATGGATTCTTCATCGATGCCCCTGGATATGAAGATGTTGCGGTCCTGCAGGTACCCAACTTCGTTGGTAGTGAAAGCGCCGAGATTGGCTTCCAAAGGACTACGAAGGAGTTCTTGCCGAAGGCTCTTGCTGCAGGAAAGACTAAGTTGATCATTGATCTTCAAGCAAACGGCGGAGGTACTATTCTGCAGGGCTATGATCTTTTCCGTCAGCTTTTCCCATCAATTGAACCTGTCGGAGTTGATCGTTTCCGCGCTACAGAGTCTCTGGACCTTATTGGACAAAGCTACAGTAGCTGGGCCAGTAAAATCCCCCGTGTCCCAACCACCAACGGCTCCGTCAAGCAGATCCAGTCCTCTTATTTCGATTATCACTCGGATTTGACTGTTGATGGTGAGAACTTCCAGTCGTGGGATGAGAAATTCGGACCTCAAGAGGTCAATGGAGGTAAGTCCGCAGAGAAGTCACCTTACAAGCCCATACTAACTGCTTTTTAGACGCATACACTACCCCCTCTCGATGGAATGTCTCAGATGTACATATTACCTGGAATTCCGGCGGCATCAACATTACTGGATATGGCCCGCTTGCGAACGAATCCTCTAAGCCTACACCTTTCGAGCCCGAAAACGTTGTCATTCTCACAGACGGTTACTGCGCTTCTACATGCACGATTTTCAGCGAATTTATGACGAAGCAAGCAGGTGTGAAAACCATTGCACTTGGAGGCCGCAGCAACAAGAATCAAATCCAAGCCATTGGAGGTGTCAAGGGAACTAACAACTATCAATTCGCATACATCCAGAATTTGGCCAAGACCGCTATTTCACTTGGATCTCCTGAAGAGAAAGCGGCACTAAATAGCTCGGTTCTCCGTACGGATTACTACAACGAGATTGTCTTCAACCGCGTGGCCAGCCCTCCAGGTGTGAACGTACGCGATGGACTCCAATATGAGGATGATTCCGGCGTTGCGCTTCAGTTCATCTACGAAGAGGCTGACTGCCGACTTTACTACACACCTGAGATGACGGTTGATATCACGGCTGTCTGGCGTGCAGCGGCGGATGCACAGTGGGGAGAAGAGAACAACTGCGTGAGCAGCAACTATGGCAAGCGAACCACTGGAGAGGCCACGAAGAAACTCCAGCAGCGTCGCGTGAAGGTCTCTTCGGCCGTCGCAATGCAGAAGGTAAAGGCATTCGAGGACACTTTCGGTTTGAGCACACAATGCCACATGAAGGGAGACGGCTTTATGCATCCTTGAAGGATGATATGGCGTCAACACTTCGTCTTCGTTTAACCAATGGATTTGCTGGTGGATCTGGCGAAAGGTACCGGTCTCGCTTGAAGAGACCCAATGGGATTTTAATGAATAGGAGTAACGGTAGGAAAGGACATGTCACAATAATGTACAAGGTTAGAGACTCAAAGGGATACTGTCTCACGCATAATGATATAGATAGATATATATACATAACCGCAATGGTGAATCGCAATAGCGATTTGTAATGCAAAAAGCATCAATAAATCTGAACCCATTTCAAGCCCACATCTAGAATTGTACCTTTCCGGCTTCTCGATTTGCTGCTACCGCTACATGTACCCCTATTGGACGCACGCTGTGACGTCGTTCTTTCTCGCTCTCTCTCCCTCCATTCATCCCGTTCACGCCCCGTCGACTATTCAGTCAACTTACGCACGCCTCAACCTCAAACCGATCTACAAAACTCCAAGACGGCCCATCCCCTCTCCCAATCTACAATTCCTTACCAGATCAGTTCAATTCCATGCCTTTGCATCTACCCCTCTACTTATGTACTTCTTTCCACTACACCATGCAGATAACCTGGAAACGTACTACCGCATCGCGCTTCCTCGCAAATAGTGAGTGGGGGATAAAGGTGTCTGGAAGCCTTCCACACTCTTGAACTTAATCACTTCGAGGAGAAGTCTAGGAGAAGACCACCGGCACTGATTGGTAGATCTTCAATGCAATAGCAGGGAAAGTGATCGATCACTGCGTACGAGCCTATAGGGGCAAGCTGAGCCTAGTGAGGGGGGATATGGGACTGTGCCAGTTGCTCTAGTGGCGATTACGATGGGCTTTGGGCAAACATATGTATTTACATATATGTACGTACAACTGGTATGAGGTGCACAAGGCTGAGACCTCTGAACACTCGTCCTCATGCATAATCGAAGAAAAGCAAATACGAGCGCTTATACCCCGGCCAATGGCACAGTTTGCTACCGAGGGTCGATTAACTAAAAATATCTACTCTGCAAATGGAGTTGAGATTTTCTGCCATCTACTGCCAGAGGCGTCTCAAATAAGCGCCCATGAGTTGTGCGTAAGCATGTGGCGCTGGCCATATAAAGCCGGAAGAATGGCACGCAACTTCGAATCACCCTTCGCAACCCTCAGTCGTGTACAATGAGTGTACCGAAGCAGCCTCGGTATGAGGCCGTCCCGTCGACAACAGAATACGACACCGAAGCGGATGAACTATCGGTCACCGAGCAGTACGTCGTAGATTCGAACTCTAATGGCGAACGACACGGCAAGGCTGCAACAGTAGCCCTACCGCCACCGCAACCTCTCAGTATCTCTTGGGTTCACCGATGCGCGAGGCTGGTGCTAGACCTGGTTGTCGCGTTGCTGGCGCTGCTATTCACATACTTTGGACTCATGGTGCGTGTTTACGACAGGAGTCTGGCAGAGCATGGCTCAGTAGGATACCAGCTGTTCCAAATTTCGCAATATGTGAGTTAATTCGTATAGCTCTGTCGTATCTCTCCAGGGAATAACTAAATGAAATGTCCGTACAGGGACCTACCTTCTTTCCAGTTCTGTTCGCGGCCATCGCAAGTACTAGCTTGAAGAGCATCGCTACCTGGCATGTCCAAGGTAGCAAAGGTGCTTCGATCGGATTCCTCGAGCAATGTCTCGGGAGCCAAACTATCTCACGCGCCTTCACGACACAGATTAACCTCCGGGCATTCAATCTTCTGGCAGTCGTGATTGTCGTGATATGGTGCATATCTCCATTGGGAAGTCAAGCATCGTTGCGAGTCATCTTCATAGCACCCACTTATCTCGGTAAGGAGATAACTCTGACGGCATTAAAGACCTTCCCGCCGAGTCTCTACAGTATGTACGATGGAGTGACATCGACTTTTACCCCGATTTCTAGCAGTCTGATTGCCTCAATAATGGCGACCAGACTCCTAGACACGCGGAACCAAGACATATGGGGAAATTTGCGGTTTCCTGCCATTGAATTCTTTGAAACAATGGGAGGTACTGACTGGATCGACATTCAGAATGGACAAAATGTGACGTACCCATCTCTCGCAGGTATGCCAGTAGGCGATCTACCTTCACTAGGCAACACATCGTTCACTCTCTCGGGCTCCTACCTCTCTGTCTCCTGTCCTATATTTGGGCCAACAGACCAATACAGAAATTTCACCAAAGACCTCCCTTCGAAGCTAAAGTCCCCCTCTGACGATCCGATGTGTGCCTACCAAGTCGCCGAAATAGCCATGAATGCTCAGCTGGCGATATCAAATCGGTGTTACGCCGCAACGGTCCCTCAGGGACAGTCTCTTGAAGCGAGGAGACTCCTGTGGATATCCTTCAGTAAGACTAGCGGTGGCTATAGCAAATCAACGCGAGCAGAATGTATACTCACAACGACATACGTCGACACAAACATGACTTGCACAGGGTCTCAGTTCGGAGAAGCATCTGGAAGCACTTGTAACCCTTTCGCGGTGCGCCGAACACCCGATCCCCCAGCGGATAGGAACATCACCGTCTTCGACGAGGAGGACTTGTACGCCGATGTGGGACTTCTCGGCCTGATGACCATGCTGGAAACGGTATTTACTGAACTTGATGGCAAGGAGAACCCACTGCTGGTTTACTTTACGAATCCGTACAATGCTATCGGCAGCGGAGTCACGGGACCAATCCACGAGGTGACGGACCGCGCAACGTTCGAGCTCCGTATGGCACAACTGTTGAACACGATCGCGTACATTAGTGTCAACTCCACGGCAGTGACGGGCAATTTTGATGCCACAGAGAGAGGGCTCGGAACTTTGTTCAATATCACAGGATTTACAATTGAAGAGAGGGAGGTCATTCGATGCAACGTTGTCTGGCTGTGGTTGCTCACTTTCGCGTCCCTGTTTGCGTTCGTCTTCGCGGTTGCGGGCGCAGTCCTTCGTCTCTTCACTCTCACGCCCGACATGTTGGGGTCAACTGCAATCGCCTTTCTGGATCATAGATTGGGGGAGGTGAAAGGTTCCTCTACATGGTCGTCTGATGAGTGGGTACGATATCACAGGAACGCAAAGATTCGTTTTGGAGATGTCGAGCCGGAGGCTGAGGTCGGAAGGATTGCTCTAGCTGCAGTCAAAGGAGAGGCAGTTAGGTCGGTTGAGAAGAGAAGGTATTATGCATGAGGCCTTCGGTAGCTACTTCGATGAGTTGTGAGATCCGCAACGATTTAGACTCTACTCTGTTTTATTGATACAAAAAGATGCCGTCATATCCCCAACAATCGAACCTCATTTGCAGACTGCTGGACTACTGGGTCAATCCTCTATAGCACAAGCTCCGAACAAGCCATCGCCCTTTTAACGTACCAACTGAAATGAGCCCAATCCCTCCCCAACGATCCTTAGGACTAACATGCTTGCTTATACAACACGACGGGACTACGTCGTATCCTCAGGCCTTGAATACCTCGTATACCGCCGGTAATGACCATGCTGTACTCCCACAAATATTAAACTACATGAATATAAATATAACTATATTTACTAAAGCGCACGTGCGGGTTGGTAGTACACATGAAGTGGCGCAATCGCGCGTAGCTCCGAAGAAGAACAATCGCCGCGGTGGCGTTGGAGGATGTTCCGGGACCCGATTGATTCCCAGGGTTTGTGTATGTAACATTCATTCGGGGCATTGAATTACCTCATATGCCGCTTTTTACTCTTTTGGATGCCGGCGATAGTGATGGTCATGGTGCGAATGGGGTGTGTAGGAGATGGGGGATACCGTATCTGGTTTTGTAGCAACACTGAAGCGGGTAGTGCATTTTCCATTCGATTTTATTTACTTCTTCCGATTTCAATTCACGGGGCATTTTAGAAATAGAGCTTCCTTTGATTTCAATTTAGACACTAGCAATTCCATCAGATGCATATCAAGCTCTTGCATAGTGCGGGAGTTTCGAGAACACGTGGCGACCTGGATCCTATGTTGTACAACCTGGTGGATGTGGTGCTGTCGTGCTCACGGGGTGTAGATGTATACGAAGTGTTGATCCATAGTGCATATTGAAATTGAGAAAGAAAGGAAGGTGTTGTTGTGTATTTACAGTCTGTGGACGGCGATTCGCGGCTGAATAGTATTACACGGGAGGTAAACCTCTGGAGGATTGTGTGGGGCACAACGTGGCGTTGGAAGGTTACAAAAGATGCGGAACAAAACACTTCAATCATTTTTGGGTCAAAGAATTATGACATAGGATATTTCGAAGGCACACGCCCATGGTGGAGCATAAGACAAGACGAGAAAAGGGATAGCATGACAATGGGACATTGGAATGCTAATGCTAAGTGCAGCCGAACCCCCTAAGTAGCCTTTGTCAGACACAACTTAACATCCCATTTCCAATCCCAATCCCAACTCATTTTCGCATCCCTCGAATTAAGTTCGAACTGTACCCTTCCTCTCGTTCAGGCACACGGCACGCTGCATACTGCACACACTCCTGTCCCTGCCTCCAGTCTCTGCAGTCCCTCGTGCCCCGGTACGTCGCAGCCAATCTCATAATCTATACCACCCTTCTGCAGAATCCCATATGGCTCATCTGACAATTCCAACCAACCATTTCCCCATCCGACTCGGGGTTTCTATGTGTGCTTACATTTTCGGCATGGGCGGGCGTATATTTGCACAACGTGGGCGTCATCCCGCCTGAGACATCCCCAATAATTCTAGTAGGTCAACCCGGCCGTTCCCAGATCTCCTTGCGAGGACTGCATCAATGAAATTTGATGGGGATAACGGCTGATGGAACGCGGCGCAATAATGGTGGGCTTGATGACGACCTACACTCTACTTGGACGCCTGTCATCACCCTCCTCCATCAAGGATCAGCGTCCCATCACATACGTTTACTATCGGGACGGTGTATGCACCAATTTCGCACCTGAAGCTTCGAAGTAAGACCGCTGTTCTTGTTCCTATTCTGGGAGATGGGAGCACTCAACGCTACGAAGTCGTACCTCATAGTAGATGTTCGCTATCTCGCCGGTTGGTGGGGTCATCAATGGTCGATCCACTTGCGATGATCAATGCCACTCTGGGTTTGGGTGCTTCCTGGAGCAGAGGGGAGTGGAGTATTGGGGTTGAGCAAAGCAATGAAGCGTTACTGGGATGATTCCTGCTCCTCGCAAGTCGATCTTAAACTCTCTTCTCGAATGCGAGATCCTTTCTCTTCACCTACCAACACTCCACTGCTAATTTGCACCGTACGAGTGGTGAACTGATACTCGGGATTACTTTGTCCTTCCTGCACGTCCATATTATCGGTTTCCCCATTTCTGTATCCCGGCACCCTTTCGAATATCGCGTCCCTGCAGTTGAATTGCATAGCCTAGAAGCTTGAATACTCTTCATCACTCATCCGTCTTCCGATATCCCCAACTTGCTCCAATCATTAATTCTACAATGTCTCTAGCTCGGTCAGGGTGAGACTCAGGACCAGGCGCACGGTTCCTTTGCCATATTCGTCTACCCGGCCGTCCACGAGGTCGAGTTGCCTTATTCACATACACCCTTGAATGTTGGTCAAGCGCGTCGGGTGCCTTGAGGAAGAAGAAATTCAATACGCGGCTACTCGAAAAGTGCATAACGTTGCATCACTCCATCTTACACGTTGCATGCCCGCCTAGGACCGTCCGTTCACTCCCAGCCTTCTTCTCGTTGCTATTTGCCGGAGTGGCCAAAGACTCAATTGAAGCATCAGCTGCACGCCCTTCTCCAGCCCCAGTGGGTGTGTCTCGTACCAATCCATGACATTGAACTCTGTGGCGATCTAATACAACTGCTTCTTGCCTTGTCAATCAATAATAAACACATTCACGCATTGCGCATACGTACCAACTGCAGATACATATATCCGACTATCCCCTCAATATATTTCAACTTCATCGAGCCTTCTCTTCCATCCAACGAAAGGTCACTCTGTTTTTGCCTGAAATTCCGTCACTCGTTGCGCTTCGGAATCGCTCTTCACTATGAGGACCTCTGCTGTCGTAGCAAGCCTTCTCTCCATTGGCCTGACCAATGCCTTGTCAGTCCGTGCCACTGTTACCAGTTGCTTGAACTCGAAGAATGTTCCCTACCTCATGGCAAGCTCGCCAGGCTATGCCGACTATGCCGAGCCTTTCAACCTTGCTCTTCCATACAAACCTATCGCCATTGTCCTACCTAACACCAGCAAACACGTGCAGGATGCGGTGAAATGTGCTTCCAACAGCAATGTGAAGGTACGTGAAGCTTCTGCCTAGTCATATCAAATCCTTCTGCTATACTGCATCCATACCACAGTCCTCCTATATACCTTGTCCACCGCCTCACGTCAGCCTCACACATTAACACTATGTCTAGGTCCAAGCCAAGAGCGGCGGCCATTCATATGCCTCGTTCAGTTCTGGCGGCAAGGATGGCTCCCTTGTAATCAACCTCGAGCCATTCCAGAAGGTTGAGCTTGATAAGTCAACCAAAATCGCCAAGGTTGGGGGTGGCGTCCGTCTTGGGAACCTTGCTCAAGGTATCTGGGATCAGGGTAAACGTGCCCTTCCCCACGGGACCTGCCCTGGTGTGGGTATTGGAGGTCACTTCACCCATGGTGGATACGGCCATACTTCTCGTCACTGGGGTGTTGCGCTCGACACCATTGTCGGTCTCGATGTCGTCCTTGCAGATGGGCGCCTCGTCCATGCCACCAAGTCTGAGAATGCTGAGATCTTCTGGGCTCTACGCGGTGCTGCCGACTCCTTTGGTGTGATCACCAACTTCTACCTCCAGACCAATGCCGCTCCTGATAGCATCACTTACTGGTCATTTGCATTTGCTTCGGGAATCTATGAGCAGAAGTCGAACTTCGTCAACACATGGCTCCACATTCAGGACTTCGCTCGTAATGCCTCCATTATCGACGACCGAATCTCTTTCGGCAACTACCTTGATGGAACAGGCTTCAGTGTAAGCGGTGCCTTCTTCGGATCCGTTGATGAGTTCAACACCAAGATCAAGCCCGAGTTCCTCCGCACTCTTGCTACCCCATCCAGCACCACCGTTAAGTCCTACCAATGGATTGACTACCTCACTCTCGTCTCCGACAAGACCACCATCGTCACTCCCCCTACCGGCTACGACGACCATGACGATTTCTTCGCTAAGTCCATCACTGTCCCAGAGAAGAGCGGCTGGTCCAAAGCCTCCCTCGAGGCATGGTATGGTATGTATCTGTCACTCCCCCCTTGATTCTCGCCACTAACATCCACCCTACAGACACCATGAAGGCCGGCTCACCAACCCCCTACTTTGTCATCACCAACCTCTACGGTGGCCCAGGCTCAAAGATCAATAACAAAGACACCACCTTCGCCGCCTACTCCGAGCGCGATTCCATCTTCGTCTCGCAGCTTTATGGCTCTGACACCGGCGCCGAGGCCAGACCCTTCATCAACAAACTGCACAGCGCCATCGTTTCCGCTGCTCCCAGCACCGAGTTTGGCGCTTACCTCAACTACGTTGATCCCTCGCTCGACCCTGCTACTGCGCATCAGTTGTACTACGGCGAACCGCTGTATCAGAAGCTTCTCGCGCTGAAGAAGAAGTACGATCCTAAGAGCGTTTTCTGGAACCCTCAGGCTATCGGTACTTAGATTCTCTCTGCTGTTCAAAATGCCTCGTAGCGCCTAGCTTAGACCATCTTGTCTTCGCATTTTCTCATTTCATAATTTACATTTTCCTTTCCCCACTGCGACATGACATATGGAAGGGGAGCGTAGGGATCACGACTACACATTCCGTTTCTTGGTTTTACCTGTCCAAAGCTAGCTTCGGCGAAAGAGGGGGTTGGTTGGTACATAATCGTTTCGTTGGTTTCGCTACTTTATTTGCGATGAAGTCACGCTTAGTGTTTAACTGTCTATAACAAAACAAAAAACGTACAAAACAACAATATAAATATAAATATAAATTGAGAAAGAAATTCAAGAAAAGTGTATTCATTTTCCCACGCTAAGAACGTATCTCAACTTTTGATGCCCGAATGGACTTTCACTAACACGAGCAAGTTTCCATTCTCATAAAACACTGACAGATACGATTAGATTTGATCCCAATCACCATCCCAATGTTTCCTTCTTAAGAACTTCTTCCAGCGGAGTAATATGGGAACTGCACTGCTTTAGGGACTCAGTATCAACGTTGTAGCCGACTGCTTTGTCAGGTGCACTCCCTGCGCTGACAACCATTCGCGGTGCTTTACGTTTGAGCATTCTGTGCATGATAACTTTGTCTTTGATAATGTATACTGGCGATAGAGCCAATAGGTAGTCTCCAGAATTACGGCCTAGAATCGATGTGTTTCGGACGGCGATTGTAGCTATGGTTTGTTCTACATGAACGAGGACGGAAACGCCGTGTTATGGCGTCAAAGTGCAGCGCCATGCCTTCTAAACTTTCTGCCATCGAAATTATAGTGGAGAGGAGGAAGATATTATATGGAGGCGGATGTGGTCGATGGTGTATTGGCGGAAGTTTCCGCGTCCACGGGGAGTGAGGGTTGCTATGACAGATGATCAAAACCGCAATGCATTACGAGCTCTTGATGTGTCAGTGCTTAAAGCAATCAATTCTTTGGGTCGGGCCGGAGAAAGGTTAAGCCCTAGGAAACAAACACTGAAGATTAGTAGCGCTTCTCAACGAACAGGTTTGGGACATTTGGCACGACACAAGTGAAGACCCAATAAGCGAAGGGCATAGAAGGTTCAACGTTTTCAACCAGGTTCTGGTGCCGAGCATTCTCATGTAAGTTCCTCTACCCTTACACGCCTTACATGAAGTAACCATTGCGGTGCTCTTAGCGGCTCGTTTGTGCAGTATTGGCTCTGGTGAAGTCAATACCCAGTCCAGTCTCTTCCCAAACCCACGGCAAGAGGGGGCATATAGAGGCAACAGCACGTAGCTGGTAGCCACTACAATGACCGAATTGCAACACAGAGTTATAACGGACCTCCTTTTTCCTGGTTGGGTGCTGTCATTGAAAAACGGCATTGGTGATGAGGGCCAAGGCACCAATCCGCTGACGTTCGATCGTGTCAACGAGGGCCGACCTTGGTCATGCGATTGTCTTCTGTCGCGTCTACCTATCGAGATCCTTTGGCGGGTAGTCAAATTCTTACCTAATGACGCTCTACAAAGCCTTGCATTGGTGAACCGAGATTGCCGGCAAATGGCTCGTTCCCGCCAGTTTGCTCATACTCAACTTTACTACAGCAAAGCTGCTTTCGATATCATAAGCATGCTCCGAGAAGAGGGCGTCGAGAGGTTGCAAAACAGTGGCAGAACGAAATCACCGTCCCTGGGCGCGTGCATTCGCAAAATCACGTTTGGTACGCACCCAAAATGTCTTGCAGCTGCCTTTGGGATCGCAGTCCCCAAAGGACTCTTGGAGCTAGATGTTGATGAACAACGACGACGCCGCGACCATGTGTGCGAATCATACTTGGATACGTACATACCATCTTTTATCCCGGTCCTCTCTTCTCAACCAACTATTTTACCTCGACTAGAAACTCTCGTACTAGCTAATACGGGACCGATCCAGAGAGACATGGCGGAAGCAATCGTTTCTTCTACTTTGCAGCATCTCACTCTCAAACGCGTGCAAGTTGATAGAGGCACGCGTCTTGCCCCTGATATTTGCAAATGGCGTTTGAAGTCTTTGTACCTGGATTTAGACTTGATTCTATCGGAGAGCAATCGCGCTCGCATTGACAAGCCTGCATCGCCACTGATAGGCGAATTGTTGAGCCTTGCAGCTCCAACTCTCGAACGTTTGGCATGGATAGACATTCCAAATCCGGGCATTCCTGTGGTACTGGCCGACGCGCAGCATAAACAGCACATTTTCGGTCAACTCAAGGAGTTGATGTTCCGCGACCCGTGGAAGCAGGATCATGGCTGGCTGGAGTTGCTCATCCAACCACAACGATGCAGCCTTATCCGTTTCGTAGACATCTCCATTGACAACTACGCGATAGCTGATTTCCTTGGTCGATGCGGCCATCTACCCAAGTTGGAAATCTTCGTCTGCAACGGTTCGCCATGGCATTATCTCGATCTGTCTTTTTTCGATCTGTCTTTTTTTAGAGCCAATACGCACATCCAAAAATTGAAGGTCGAATACATGGAGCCCTCGTACCTAGGAGAACTTCTTCCGCTGTTGAGTAAGGAGTTTTTAAACCTCACTTCGCTCAGCTTGTCGTGGCCCATGAAGTCCAATCACATCCCACAAAGAGACTTGGATCACATCGCCGCGATACAGAGTCTAAAGCAGCTTGAGCTCAAAGGAGGCCTGCCCCCCGGATCTACCTGGCTGATTGATCATAACGCCATACTGGATTGCGTTCAGAAATTACCCAACCTCCAGAGGCTCGCTTTCTCCCGAGATTCTTATTCAGGTGAAGACCCCGGACTTGAAAGACCTTCGGAGGGACATTGGGTGGAAATGGTGGTAATTGCTGCGGGATACGCCAGAAAGGTTCCTCTGTTGGAATGGATCTTTGTCGGACAACTTCTCATAAGCATTCATCGACAACCTAGATGCTTAGGTATCGAATATTTACCACCCAATGAACTCAGTTACTTCACCTATCTCAACCGAGTTTTTGGAGAAGATTCCGAGTTCTTTTACCGCGAATGGTGAAATTCCAAGCAAGTCGCCCGTCCACGACGCTTGTTGGTGGACGCTCTGGGCCGCGTCTCCGTATAGATGCTTGGAAACTTTGGAGCTACTTCGAACCGATGATCATACGCTGATAGAGAATATTTAAGTGAGGATTGCAGGAATTAGTGCTTTATCAATACATGTTATCGGAGACAGGGTCTGTATGTTAGAGTATTTTCCTTTCGAATGCATCAATTTCATCGTATGAACAAGGATTCAAGCAACCAAATGGATATTTTCATGATCCCAATCATTATAGTACGATAGTACAAAACAAGGCCTGCTAATTCAAAATCGATGAAGATGGAGTCAATGAGAAGTTCCATATTTTCTCATACCATGGTCTAGATTCTAGAGAACGCTCGTATCTCCGGAACAGAGGCTTATGAACGTATGTGGAGACGACCTTCGGCTTTTGGCATAAATGCTATCTTCTCTAGTGGATAGGCACGTTCTCAGAGGATATGGAAGTAGGTGTTCAGAAACGGAGCTCAACTTAGATAGAACACCTGCACCGCATGTCAGTGTCTTCTGCCAGAGGATCTTGATTTACGCGGCGGTTATATTGTCATCTATGAATAGATGACCCTCAGTAATAACTTTATGACTAATTTGATACAGATACATGATATATTCCTATCTCCTTGTCTAGTCCTACTTCAATCCTCTTACACAAGATCCTCTCTTTCTTAACGACTTCCTTACACAGCAAAGGCCTCCCCTTTCTCTGAACCGAAGCCTTCGAGCTCCACATCCTCAACACTGACTTCAACATTCCTTTCTCTCGAATTTCCAACACATAGCTGGAGGTTAGTACAACTGTCGGATAGGCAAGTTGTGCCGAGCGTCCAGCCACACCACGAGATCATCTTCAACAGACTGACGTGGTACGAGTCGCGGCCTGTACGTATGCACATTGATCGATGCTGTGAAAAGCCATTTCTGTCGAAGCGGTCAAGTTTCAGCGCAGTCGCTCTGGTCCGTCGGCCTCGTCTTTACGTATCCCTATGAGGGCTCTGTTTTGGCTCTCGACTAACCATTCAAAACGGGGTGATGTGCATATCATTCCTCTCGAATAGTAACAAACTACGGGTAGTAGCAAGCTGAAGCCGCTGAAAGTGTACCGATGACTCTGAGATGAAGATCACAAGAAGATCAATACCTGAAAAGTCAGTCAGTTTCGTAGCTCCTCCCAGTTGTCACGAAACCCACCGAAGACACACCATTGAATGACAACAACCATTTTGATCTTTCAGACATGCAACGGCACTCTAGCTCTGGCACTTGATAGCAGATCCCGAGCAATCAGTGCACCTACACGCCGAGCTGCTAGCATTCGCAAAAGACGCACAGCCCATGCACGAAGAGCACTGCCATGTCGAATTGCCTTCGAAGACGAAGTCGAGACTAGTTCTACCAATATCAATCAGCATCTTCATGTTCGACGTGGAGGGGTATGGGGAGGTATCGCAGGCTTACTGATTATCAATCGGATCCTTGTACCACTGGAACGATGCCATATTGTTCGCGAAGTTCCAATCGAAGTCGAGGATCGGGTCGCCGGGATAGCTGTGGATGTACGAGCCGGTGTTATTCGTGGGCCCGCGGTCGTAGGCGACGGAGCCGTCTGAGCGGAGGACGACCCAGTGTGCCAACCAATGGGGATCGCCGTTGTCGATGGGGGTGTTGATGTCGTAGTGGGCGGTGGCTTGGAGCTCGAAGCAGGAGCCGTTGTTTGTTGGGAAGGTTGGGGCGGCGGTGGTGAGGGATGCTGATGCTGCGAGGAGGAGGGCGGATAGGATGGCGGATTTGCAAGGTGACATAGTGAACGAATGTGTGGTTGGTAGCGATGGTACCTAAAGAGTGAATTGAAATGAGTGAGTGACAGAAAGGAAATGATCAACGAAAGTGATGTAATGAGAGTGGCTTGCGAGGTCTTTGGGAGTATTTATTTTCCAGAGGTATTCGGCACTCAGGTGTGGAGAAATGTTGCTAGATCGATTTGGTCGTGTGCGCATATAGCGATCATACTGGTCTCATAGATCCGTGGGTTTCACAATGCAGTATGTATACTCAGGTATGTATATTTAGGATAGAGGGATATGGAACAGGTTTGGCGGAGAGCTTAATCATCGCTTTGAAGTCCGATGTCCTCGTCCGGAACAAAGCGATTGGCTGCAACACGAGGAGCAACAAATCCGAGAATATCTTCATACAATTAAGAATTAATCATTTGTGGTTAAGGTGATACAATCGAGTGTGGCGATCGTGGCTGGGCCTTCCGGTCTGGCATATGTGCTTCCGGTTATGGTAGTGAATTGGCTCCGTTGCAACCATTAGGGAATACAGACCACCAAAGCTGATGCACATTCTACACAGTAAGCGACTCTACATATGAATGTATAGATTAATTGGTTCTCATTTATCAGATATATCATTTTATCGTTATTGCTGATGCAAGATTGGTGTTGACAGACTGGCCGTGAGAGGAGTTGCTCCATTCTGATTCCGGCCAAGTAAGATCGCTCTTTCACAATGACATCTTAGTATCCTCGTTATCATGAGCCTGAGATGACGCCGAGTCCTGAATCTCTACAAAATTGATGGGATGCCGCCGAGTACGATCCACCTTAAGATCAAACACATCCAATCGTTGATACCCTCCAACAACATCATGGTACTGCTTCCCCTCGATGCAATCGTCAAGATCAATATCAGCATACAAGATCCCTTCTTCGTTCTGTAGCAGATCCTTCGGCACAGCCGTTCCGTCCTCGAATATGAATCCCCGCAGTGGCGCACCAGTCGGGTCAAGGAACATCGTCGCGCCCTGCTGAGCTTGTTCCAATGTCTGCAGAACGATGGGGCTGGCATCTGATGATATCGCATCGATAGCGTCCTGGCCCAGCTTTCCAGCACACATGACGCCGAAGCATTTAGCCTCGAAGCAGTGTGCTGCAGCGCGAACACGATTCGCGGCTACGTTGTCGTAATCCGCACCCTGAGCAACGGTTGATGTTCCTGATGTTTCCGCTGCTGATTCGGTCTGAGGCTTGGAAGTCCTAGTCGGCCAGATGGCAGGCCAGGTTGAGATGTGGAGTTGTTCTCCCTGGGCCATGAGAGTGTAGCGAGCAAGCGGATTTGTGTTCTCTCCGCATATAAGGTTTCCAATCTTTCCAAACGGCGTGTCGGCTGTGCGGAGGCCATGTCCATCTCCAGGCGACCAGGTCAATTTCTCAAAGAACGTCGGCATGAGTTTTCTATGGTGTACGAGGACATCACCATTGCCGCTGATGATCATGTTGGAATTGTACAGCGTCGCGCTGCTGAATCGGACTTTTTCAGAGAACCCTATGCTGACTATGATGTTGAGCTGCTTGGCCAATCTGCGGATGGATTTCATCTCGGGCCCGTCGGCGTAGATGGATTCCAGGGCCATGTCTTTGAAGAATTCATGATTGTCGGTTGGTGGGCGTAGAGCGCTCCAGATTGGGAATGCGGGGATGTATGTTTCGGGGAAGATGACTACGTTGGCTTTGTAGTGTGCGGCCTCTTCAATTAATTTCAATACTTTGTAGGTTGTCGCTATTGCTGAGAGGAATATTGGTGATACATGGCATGCTGCCACTCGCACGTTGGGAGCCATATCCACTTCGTTGTTTGGGTTTGTCACACGGTATAGGGACGCTTAGGGATCGTGGTTTGACAATGCGATGGTCTTGGTACCAAGGCTCACGTAACGGACTACATACTGTTATGCGGGAGCAATTCGTATTTCTAAAGTCCATGGTATTACTTTTGACGCCGATTCCCCTCTTTTTTTCCAAAACGATGAACTTCAATCGGAAAAGTTTCCGCTGCCTGCTTCCTATGAGGCACAGAGGGTCGGCACGTCGGGCTGATAAATACCTAAAGTGTCTACTTAAGAATGCACTGTAGCCAGTAAATAATCTTAAGCGCTTGCGATAAACCTCGCTAAGACACTGTTGTAGGCATAAAATACTAGCATGGGTGTACATGTGCATTTTCATCAAGTTATATCAGTGACATAATTGATTCAATGCTCGCATTTCATTCCCCTGTCCAACGACTCTTCACCTCTAGCTCAATAGACTTGATCACTCCCGTTTCGGGCAGACAGTTAATATACTCAAAGACTGCATCTCCCTCCTCCAGAACAGAAACCTCGTGCCAAGTTCTCAAACGCCTATAATCCCCAAACTGTTTGTAGTGTGCCAGTGCTCCACGATATATCGCCAAATGCGATCGATGAGTCTTCGCCCACCGTTCCAGCATATCCAGACTACTGAAGAACGCCGCCCCACACGTTTCTTTGCGAAGTCGTCCACTCTGCAACTCGTCTTCTTCTGCTTCGTTCCTAAGGTAGCGAACACTTAAAGCTTCCGTCTCCTCAGGATGTTCCCAGAGATACCGGAGGCCCTCGTGAAGCGTAGGCTCGAGTTTCTTCTCATACGCATCGGCTTCCTGCTGTCCGCAGTTCTTCCAAAATTGACCTGAGCGAATGTGGACGATATTCTGGAAATTGGTACCTAGTAGATGCTGTCCTATCCCCCTAGGCGCTGCATCGCTGGGTAAATGGGCGGGGACGCCAGCTGCCCTGGGGAAGAGATCGTGTGCGGAATTGGGAATGCGGTCGCGGGCTGCACCCCAATATGCGGATCGGTCATGCTCTGGAAACTGTGCACCGGGTAGACGTGCTAGTCCGGGCAAGTAGTCGAGACCTGAGTAGTTGGTTTCGAGTCTGGGAATTGCGGTTTTGAATGTTTCTCGCCAGATGCCAATGGAAGCCCGGCTCTCTTGATCCAGTGTGGAGTAAAGGGTTGGCAGGGAGAGTTGATCGGAAGCGAGGCGGTGCTTTGTAGCATCAAGCCAGTAGCAGACCCATATTCGAGTAGTGGTTGTTGAGTTGACATGTTCACCGCCATCTATCAAAGTGAACGGTTCGGATGTATCTGGGCCAGATTCATCTTTCAGCCAAATGTCGATCGCAGACGAAAGTTGAGTCTGCGCTTGCGTTGCTGTCCCATCATCTGAGCGATTCTGTATCCCAAGGTATGTTGTAAATATGTGAGTAGCGCTTTCAGGAAGTTTCAAGTTCCACCTTGGGATTGGAAGTGTGTGGTTCTTTGGTTTGTGAAGAGGATATAAGCGGACGGGACAAGACATATTGGAGGACTATTCGGTTTGAAATGTGGATGTATCTTCAACGAAAATTTGAAGAAGTTAAGCACAATATTAATAGAATATTCCCTTGGATATTTCAATGTCTTGGTCGTGTTATCATGACGATCAAAGAAGGTGAATACATGCTGATCCTCGGCTGTAGTTTTGAGCTCCGGAAAAGCAATTGGTCAGCTGGAGCAGTCCAAAAGATATCTTTTATGTAATGTGCAACTCTGATGCTCTCTCAGTAAAGGACGAGGTTAACTCAAATGTAGGACTGTAGCATTTCACATGTCACTCATGGGAGTAAAAGGTTTGTATAAAGTTGCTGCACTGTTCACCCTCTCAGCCTAAGGGGGAAGCCAGAAATAGTCCTAGGAAGGCTCGTGAGGCTATTTAATTGACTACAGAGACACTTTAGAGGGCAGAATAACATTATATTAAAAATACTTCTTAAGGCTTTACAATATTACTATTAAATTTAAATTCTAAATACTATAGTATTATTTACTAGATACAACGGTGCTTGGGTGGTGATCATAACAATGGGTGGCCAGGACTATTTCCGACTTCCCCCTTCGGTTGAGAGCATACCCACGCTTTGAGGGTGAATGGGAAAGAAATCGCCGCCACCAATCAAATGTAAGATAATCAATCCATCAGCCTTACCTGCCGAGGCTACTCGAGATGGAATGTTCCTTTTGAGGATTGGTCTGGCGCATGAGTGGACGGAGAATAACTAGGGTGGGATAATTGGAGATGGAAGAATGGAGAATGGAGAGAAAGGAAGAAATTATGACGGATGAGGGGCAAACTGAGCTCATCCACACTAAAACCCACTAAACCCACAATTGCCCCCCTCCTCCGCTCCAAATCCGCCTACTATCTTTCTATTCATACTTTCTATTATCTACCACCTTTACCTTTTAGTTAATTATCTCTCCTCTACCCTCCAGCTACTTATCTTCACCTCCGGGGCTATAATGCTACACCATCTTCATCCTCACTGTGCATGCCTTTGGTGAAATTCCATACTCGTGGATCTTGCTCCAGTGCTAAACGTCTTCCTCCCTTTGCTGCAACCGGAAGAGCTCCCATCTTACAACGTCCGCGACATCCGCAACAGCTTCCACAGCACCCTGCTGAGCTTCAGAATACTCTATCGCCGAATTACGCTCTTCGACTTCATACTCAGGTCCTAAAGATGGACGTCCACGACCTGTCACAGAATGCGCGCGCCGCACCAGGGGACGGATTGGAGCTCAAAAATAGGCTGGCTGAGAGCAGGAGTCCTTATGTACGCAGTCCCATATCACCGGTTACCCTCCCTGATGTGAATTTGCTCTGTATTGCGTACTGTGACAGCACTGTGCTTAGGAAATGCTAATATGATTACTGGACAGGTGCGCGGCCATATGGACAATCCCGTCGCATGGCAAGAGTGGACCCCAGAAGCTCTTCAGCTTGCGAAGAGCTCCAATAGACTGATATTCATAAGCATAGGATATGCTGCTTGTCATTGTATGTGGTCCTATCCCATTTCCCTACTGAAGTTTCTGTTGTTAGCTTCTTTGCCTTCCGTGCCTATCGAGTGGGCGCAAATAAAATATTCAGTACAACGAAGCTAATCAATGGATAATCAGGGTGCCATGTGATGGAGCGCGAGTCCTTCTCCAACCCGGAAGTGGCCCAACTACTCAACTCCTCCTTCATCCCTATCAAAATCGACCGCGAGGAACGGCCTGACGTGGACCGTATATACATGAACTACGTTCAAGCTACTACCGGCTCCGGCGGCTGGCCACTGAATGTTTTTCTCACCCCGGATCTCGAGCCCATCTTTGGCGGAACATACTGGCCGGGTCCCGGATCAACAATGGTGACGGGCGGTGGAGACGGATTGGGTTTCGTCGGAATTGTAGAGAAGATTCGGGACGTGTGGAAGACACAACGTGAGAGGTGTCTCGAGAGCGCGAAGGATATCACAAAACAGCTAAGGGAGTTCGCTCAAGACGGAAATATTTCTAGGAAAGATGGTGCCGTGAGGGACGCTTTGGATGTGGATTTGCTCGAAGAAGCATACGAACATTTCTCAACAAGATTCGACAAACAGTTCCCAGGGTTCCCGAGGGGTGCGCCCAAGTTTCCTACTCCCGCGAATCTGGCGTTCCTGTTGAAATTGGCTTTGTACCCGAGTGCGGTCAAGGACGTCATCGGAGTAAGAGATACGGAAAACGCGAGGGACATGGTGTTACAGACATTGACCGCGATGAATCGTGGAGGCATTCACGATCAGATCGGTAACGGATTTGCGCGGTACTCTGTCACTCGTGACTGGAGTCTACCGCATTTCGAGAAAATGTATGTCACGATTTGATTCATCCCGACTAAATGACTGGCAAGAAGCTAACAGACCCATAGGCTCTACGACCAAGCGCAACTCCTACCTGTCTATCTGGACGCCTATCTCATTACCAAAGATACAGAATATCTCGCCGCAGTGCATGACATTGCGACCTACCTCACCACAGCCCCTATTCAGTCGCCTTCTGGTGGCTTCTTCTCCTCAGAAGACGCAGACTCCCTGTACCGCCCAACGGACAAGGAGAAGCGCGAAGGCGCATTCTACGTCTGGACACTGAAAGAATTCCAAGCGATCCTCGGCGAACGAGACGCAGACATCGTCGCACGATACTACAACGTCAAGGACGAAGGAAACGTCAGCCCAGAGCACGACGCGCACGACGAACTCATCGACCAAAACGTCCTCGCCGTCGTCAGCACCCCCTCCGACCTCGCGAAGGAATTCGCCCTCTCCGTCGAAGAAGTGACCTCGATCCTCACCTCCGGCCGCGCCAAACTCCTCGCCCACCGCGAGAAAGAACGCCCCCGACCCGCCCTGGACGACAAAATCGTCGTCTCCTGGAACGGCCTCGCCATCGGCGCCCTCGCCCGCACCGCCTCAACCCTCTCCCAGAACTCCCCCACCGAATCCCAAACCTACCTCACCGCCGCCATAAACGCCGCCCAATTCATCAAAACCCACCTCTACAACCCAAACACCCACACCCTCCTCCGCGTATACCGCGAAGGCCCCGGCACCGTCCCAGGCTTCGCAGACGACTACGCCTTCCTGATCTCGGGCCTGATCTCCCTCTACGAAGCCACCTTCGACGACTCTTACCTCCGCTGGGCCGACGACCTCCAGCGCACCCAACTCCGCCTCTTCTGGGACACCCAGCACCTCGGCTTCTTCTCGACCCCCGCCTCGCAACCCGACCTCATCATGCGCCTCAAAGACGGCATGGACAACGCCGAGCCCGGCACCAACGGCGTGGCCGCCCGCAATCTCGACCGCCTCGCCGCGCTGCTCGAGGACGACGAGTATGCGAAGCGCGCGCGCGACACGGTGTCTGCGTTCGAAGCCGAGATCATGCAGCATCCGTTCTTGTTCCCTTCTATGCTCGACGGCGTCGTTGCGGCGAGGTTCGGTATCAGCCATGCGGTTGTCACGGGTGAGGGTCCAAAGGTCGACGAGTGGTTGGCGAACTATCGCACCAGGCCGGCGAGTCTGGGGACTGTCAGTCGTATCGGCGGGGGCAGCGGCGCGTGGTTGAAGCAGAGGAACAAGTTGGTCGGGGGTATGAATGAGGGGAAGGAGGGGGTTATGCTGTGTGAGCTTGGGGCTTGTAGGGATGCGCTGGAGTTGGGGTTGGGGAGCTTGGAGAGCGCGATTAGGGATGTTTGATTGTTTCTGGATTAAGGTGTTGTTGGATGAGTGAAGGAAATCTAAACGCTATGTAACGTCGTCGTTTGACGTGAAATCGATATATCAATCAATAAAGCTTGCACCTATCTAAACAATGGAAAATGAAAAAAAGTCGAAGACATGGCAAATGGTGCTGGGATCGTGCTAGTATTGATGTGTGTTCGTTTGATGTGTATTTATATTTCAGTCTGTCCTGTCGTGGACGAACGACCTCTTAGTCTTTCAGGCTTTCAGCAATTATACATATGATTTGATTATACTAAAGGCGCAGCAATGGCATGCAACATCAACCAATGCAAGAAAGAAGAATGCTCTATATCAACCTTCACCCCAAAATAACACGTCTACAGGGGAAGAGTGGAAGAGAGCGCGACGAAAGCGAAGAAACATCTACTTCCTCTTCCTCCCCTCGCCCTTTTTCTGCGCACCCGTGGCCTTGGCGGTCGCCTCGTCCTTCTCGGGGACCTTGGGCGATTTGTCCGCGTCTGCGGGGGCGGTGAGCGGCTCGTTGGCCTTCTTCTCTTCCTCTTCCTCGTCGTCGCCACCCTGGCCGAACTCGTTGACGCGGGTGTAGTCGACCTTGTAGACCCAGGTCTGGTAGAGGTAGACGAAGAAGATGACATCGTCGCGGAGCGTGGCCAAGCGGTGGAGCGTGGGCATCTTGATGGTGAAGGCGAAGAGGTCGTCGATGAAGGTGTTGAGGAACTTGTATGTCATGGCGCGGCCGGGCATGTGGGCGACGGACTTAAGGCGGTAGTTGATGTAGAGGGAGGGCACCATCATGAGGAAACCGTAGGCGTAGACGGATCCGACGAGAGTGGTGATGATGAAGGAGTACCATGACTTGTGAGAGTCGTACATGAGGGAGTAGATGGCGTAGGCGATGAGGAGAGGGATTGCGACCCAGTACAGGTACTTGAAGGCAATCTGATCGTACTCCTCGGTCTTCTTCTCTGTCTCAGACAGGACGTGCTTGTCCTCGAATACAACAGTATAGGGGATGAAAGAGCCGGGAGCGCTTTCACGCACGCGAACGTTGACAGTCTTAGTGATCTTCCAGGCCTCAATCGCAATTCCCATTCCCTGGCCGAAGAGGATCATCCAGGAGGTGTTCTCGTTGTTATCCATGAGGTAGAGGAAGATAATGCTCTGCATGACAACGTTGGCGAGGATGGTGCGGACCGAGGTACCGACATTGTCCTTCTTCTTACGCCAATGGGCAACATCGTTCTTGAAAGCAAGCATCTCGAAGATCATATGGAAGACGGAGACGACAGCGGTGATTGCCAAGAGGTAGGAGTTGCTGTCAATGAGGATCTCCTTGAACATCTCCATCTCTGAGCCATCGCCACCAGTAGGAGAAGCCTGGCCTGCCGCAGCTGCGGCCTGTTGAGAGCGGATGTTCTCCTCTACGGAAGCGTAGAGGTTGAATTTCCAATTCGCAAGGTTGTTCAACTTGACATTCAGGGGCAGCGTGGTGACTGTGTCGTTAAGCTCAATCATGTGCTTCTTGAGCTGCCAGAAAGTGTTGGTGAACAGAACGGGATAGTACCAGGAGTGCTGTCCGCTAGCATCCCTAGCACCCTCGCTTTCAAGCTGGAAGAAAGCCCTCACACCGGGGTGCATGGAAGGGAAATGGACGACGCCAGTATCCGGGATGGCAGAGAGCGTGAAGTTTGGATGGTAATAGGAAGAAATGACCTTGGGGGCATCCTTGTCCTCCTCGACCTCAACATCACGATCAGGCAAATCCGAAAGGAGGTTTCGTGTCTTCACGACCTTCTTCTTAGGGATATAGCGGGTCAATGGTCGGACGAAATGGTATGCCTTGGAGGGATTGTAACCGGAGACAGTGGGATCGAGCTTACTGCCACTCTGCGCGACATAGAAATGGCCGAAGAGGGTGGCATTGTTCTGCACAGCCTTGGGTACCTTGAACTCGGTCTCGATGACACGGTTCTCGTTGTAGCTTCCAAACTTGAAGTTCTTCTCATTGATCACCAGCGAGTCCTTGGGCATGGACGACAAGGGCGGCATGGCGATGGACGGCGAAATATACAAGACGATATCCAATTCAGTGCCGGGCGACCACATGGGCGCAACGCTCTGGGGATAGTGGTTCCATTGCGCACCCGGGTCCAGCTGATGAGGGCGTTCAGCGTACGGCGGGATGGTCACTTTGACACCTCCGGACGAGGGTACCGATGCTCCACCTTTGGCAGGGTCGGCAGCCTTGGGCGTGGGCATGATCGCCTTCATTCCATATTGGATGAGGAAGAACATACCGACGCTCTGGGCGAGCGTGCGGAAGATCTGTGAAGCCACGCAACATTAGCAAACCGAGGGGCAGCTCCTTGAATTGGTACGGTACGATGCGGGATGGCGGAGGTGTGTGTGAGTGGACTTACGCTCTTCCCTCCTTCCTCCTGCTGTTGAGCCTCGGGCATCTTGCAAGTAGGCAACCTAGTCTTCGAATCGGGGACGTAGAAGTGCCAGAAATGACAAGTTGCAATGTAGGACGGAAGCTGGCTGAGGGGCGGGAGATTTCTCGCTGGTCGCGACATCTAGACAATGATGCCAAGACATCTGTAAGTGGTTTAGCGTACTCGCACCATCTGCAGGTGGAGCTTGAGCACGGGAGAGGCTCGTAACCGTTCATTTGCTCCACGAGGGGCAGAGAGAGACACGGCGAATGTGGATATGAACGATAACGATGGACAGAATCATGTCCTTGCACCCATGTGGGCAGAATAATTTAAACAAGGGCGGATGAATTTTTGAAATTCTTTCATTCGCCCAATCAATTGGGTCCCAGAAAGACGTTGTCGGATCATTATTCATCTATTCGTCACTACTACGATTGCTCGAGTCTTCCACCATAACTCCGTACACTACATATATAAAAACTTCCTACGCGCCCACTTTAGTACTGGAACATATATTCCGCCTTGCGACTTCAATTCAGTCAACAGCTAGGACCAAACCACCTACCTAGACGACTATAGTTGGTTTTCTCGACTCCGGCTCTCCATTGGCAGATCCTTCACCATCGCAATCCACCGTCTTACCAGTGACTCATTCAGTCAAATTATATAGCTACACGTCACTGCTCAACCTTCGAGTAACCACCACCACTCCCTCTCTATATATCAAAGCCTCGTTCTTTGTCTCGACCTTCCACGTCTCAATTGAACCCTACAATCTCTACAATCCCAACACACTTCAAACCAACCAACCAACCAACATTCAACACAAACAGCTCCCCAACATGACCAACGAAGCTCCCCCTCGGAGGCCCGTAGTCTGCGTCTTGTAAGCCCTCCTCCCCTCCCCTTCCCCCCTCCTCTCACGACCGCAAAACTAACCCCAACCCCAGCTGCGGCGCCTCATCCGGCACCTCCCCCGCGCACCTCGCCGCCGCCCGCTCCCTCGCGCAGCACCTCCACGCCTCCGGTCTCTCCCTCGTCTACGGCGGCGGCACCGTCGGCCTAATGGGCGAAGTCGCCCGCACCCTCGTCTCGCTCTCCGGCCCCTCCTCCGTCCACGGCATCATCCCCGAACCCCTCGTCAAGTACGAGCAAAAAGACGCCCTGAACGCCTCGGGCCACTCAATCGACGAGTCCGTGTACGGCCGCACGACAGTCGTGAAAGACATGCACACGCGGAAGCAGATGATGGCGAAGGAGGTGATTGAGGGGGGTCCGGGGGGCGGGTTCGTCGCGCTGAGTGGGGGCTACGGGACGTTGGAGGAACTTATGGAGGTGACGACGTGGAATCAGCTCGGGATCCACGACATGCCGGTTGTGGTGTACAATGTCGAGGGGTATTGGGATGGGTTGTTGAGGTGGGTGGGGGATGCGGTGGCGCATGGGTTTGTGAAGGAGGGGGCGAGGGGCATTCTGAAGGAGGCGAGGAGTGCGGAGGAGGTGGTGAGGGGGTTGGGGGAGTATAAGAGTGCGGAGGGGAGGTTCAATTTGACGTGGGAGCAGCAGTGAGGGAAGTTGGTGCTAGGGGGATGATTGTACGATTATATATATCTTCGGTCTTATACGGAGACTACGGTCTCTGCTCATGGGTTTCGGCTTTGCATAGAGGGAATGTCTCGACTCTTTGACGAAGATAAGGAAAAAGCCTGGGGACTCATGGTCTAGGGCATAGAAGGATTTCACTCCATAATAGAATCACAGAAAGCAAAAATGAAATAAAAAATTGATAAGATAAAATTGAATTGATCATGGTTCTTTCTGCTACTACTAAGTTCTCAAGAAAGAAGCCAAATGTAGACTTGAACGAACCCGTGTATTCATTGAGATATGTGCAATGGAATCTGATCCGACCTGCTCGCCGGATGTGCATGTAAAGCCTTGCCCATGTACTGCGTGAAAAAAAAAACTCACTTCGCCTCCAGCGCCATGCAATGCCTGGTATCATGTGGTCATAACTTGGACCGCGCAGAATATGCTATAGAGAAGCCTATACGTTGTAGGCTCAAAGATCGATCAGACCTGACGTTATCCACAATGTGACCTGTAAGAGTAGACTAAATGCTGTCCATTCTTGGAGGTCACAAATTTAGTTTGCGAACCTTGACCCAACTATTGTGGGCGAAAGTTGCTTTCTCTGCGTCGCCGGTGCCTCTAAAATCCGGGAAGCTGAAATCCAAAGCCCGGAACTGCTGGAGGAACTGCCACGGCTTGCTCTGGTCGCGGTGAGATGTGGCGGGGCTCGTGTGCTGCAGGTCGGTTTTCTTGTCGGAATCGCTGGCCCTTTTCGGCTGCACCATGGCCACCATGGCCACCACCTCCTCCGCCGCCGCCGCCGCCGCCGCCGCCGCCGCGACCACCATGACCATGGCCATGATGTCCTCCTCGACCTCGAGCTCCTTCTGGTGGGATGCGACGACTAATCGCTGAGTAAAAGTCAGTGGGTGCTTTGTGGTTTGACAATGGAAAGAGCTCACCCTTGGACGAGACACCGGCACCTATTTCGATATCTGGTTCTTCCATGACCATCCCTGACTCCAGAGGTAGACCGCCGGTACCTCCATACTCTGCAGTCAATGCCCACTTGCGATCGGCATCAGTCAATTTTACGAGTGGGATTACACTTATGCCGGTCTCGTAGTCACTACATTCCCGTGGACCGAAGCCTACACCCCATTTTGTCTATGAAACGTTCAGTATCCATTTATCAGAGATCTCCAGCCGTAAGCCTTACCGAGCGAGCTTTCGCTAATGCACTTTGATCCTGGAGGTTATCCATGCCTTTTTTGGCAGCTACAGCGTCTCGGCGATACATCATCTTGACGAAAGCATGTCGTTTGTCTTGGTTGACGATACAAGTCTGCACTTTTCCGAATCTGCTGAATATGTTCCTGATCTCACCTTCTGTGCCGCCAGCACCGCCTATGAACAGGGTGCGGCTGAACACTCTGATATGATCACGTGGCAAGGTGTTGTCGTATTCAAGGAATCTAGGTTGGTCATTCTGAGGGGTCGGGCCAGGAGGGCTGTGTTGGCGCCTCTGTCCTGGGGGCGTACGCTGACGATACTCATCACGTCCACGACCACGAGCTTTATTGCGACCACGCGCGCGATCACGGTCATTGCGCTGCGAATTGCCATCCGCGCCTGCATTAGGGTCGTATGCGCCATACGTGGGACTATCCCGACGATTTGGTGGTGATCTACGCGAAGGCGATTGGTGGCGATGATTATAGTCAGGGGATCGGCTACGCTCCCGATCTCTATTACCATTGTAGTCATAACGGTCAGGCTGACCTCCATTCAATCCATTCTGTGCCATGGGCTGAACACTGTTGGGCATTGAAGGTTGCAGGGGAGGTGGGGGTGCTTGAGCAGCTGCTTGCTGTTGTGCTTGTGCCGCAATAGCAGCCAATACTTGCATTGCTTGCTCTGGGGGGATCTGGCCGGCGGACATGGCCTGGATGATCTGCGCCATAAGCTCTTGAGGTGTTGGCTGTGCAGGGTTTGCTACCGGAGCTGGGGGTGGGGGAGGCATGAATCCTGGAAGAGGTGGAGGTACTACATTCTGGGGAGGAAAAGCAAATGCTGGCTGCGGTGCTGGTTGTGGTGGTGGTTGAGGGTTAGTCTGGGCAGTCTGCTGGCCTAAACCTGCGAGTGCAGCAAGTAGGGCACCGGTATCCTGAGGAGCAGCAACGGGCGCAGGATATGTAAGCTGTGAGTTAGGTTGAGCAGGAAAGCCCTGAGACGCAGCTGGTGCCCTGGGAGGGCTGCCAGGCGGTGTGTGGGAGACTTAGTGGGTGGTCAGTTGGAGGTTGAAGGTACCTTCGGGTTGGAGAGTATCCTTACTCTGCTGTTTGTTATTCAATTGTTGCTTCAGGCCTGAGAGCATCTGCGATGGGAAGGTCTGCCCGCGTTCCCAGATGTCCAGCAACTTATTGATCTTCTCTTTTTGGTTCTCTGGTGCAGTTTGAGCCAGGTCAGACATCAAATTCGGGAGCAAGTCGGTCACATGCTGTACACCTGAAGCAAATGTTCCCGGAGCAGCGTTCTTGGAAATGGCTTGACCCGCCTTCCGGGCATTCTCCATCCACTGCCTCGTTACCGAGTCTACGACGTACAGTACTCCTAATTTATGTGTAGCGGGGCTGTTTTTGAACTGTTGGACGATCTTTTGGACGATGGTGGATTCGGACTGCAAGTGGGAGCACCTCTCAGTTAGTTTTGGATTCCATGGTGGCAAAAAGTACAGGTAAAGCTAGGAGCGAAACCTGCGAGCTTTACAGCATACCTGAACGTTATCGACGCATTTTGTGGTGATGGCATCTATCTTGGTTTTGGTGACGCCCGGCGGTTTAAGGGCCTGTAATGAGAGCAGCAGAGCCTCTAGTTCCTCCATTGCTGCCATATTTCAGAGTCAAATGGGCAGAGTCAGTTGCCAGCAATTATGCAGGAATGAAACTCGTGGCTACGTGCGTATAGTTGCAGCAATATATTTAAATAGGCCGAGTGGGTGATCGTTGATAAGATAGTGGTGAGGAGCGCAGGCGTGAACTCGAGAGATCAAGTCAAGGACCAAAGCGGAAAGGTCTAGGTGGTACGTAGTTGTGATACGAATGACAGCAAGATGGAGAGGTCGTCAAGTGGGAAGAAAAGAGCAGAGATGGTATCTACCCGCGCATGCGCTGATGTGTTGTCCCCCGAAGAGTTGGTTGGGCTGCTGTGGATTTTTATGACCTACGACTGGCGCGCGACCTTCACAAGTCACCTGTCAGGATGCGCGCCGTGGATTACGATGCGAGATGAGAGTCGCAATGATGCAGAGAGTAAGGGAGATAGAGCGGAGAGATGGAAGAGAGTTTCTACGTGTCAAATGAGAGCGGTGGGTGATGAAGGGTTGAGTCTGGGTGAAGCTGAAATGGAGGGAGGAGGAGAGAAGAAGAGGAGGAGAGAGTGAAGACGAAGAGACGAGGGAAGCTGGAGCAGTTGAGGTAGCAGCGTAGCAGGCAGTTGGTCAGTGTTCGCGGGTTGGATCTACCGAATACAGTTTAGCGTGTCGGTTATGATTGGGTGATACGCGCCTGGCGAATGGGAGGAGGAGAGCGGCTGTAATAAGAGTTTCGGCCAGTTTTAGTTGTGAGTGAAGTAAGTCAAGTGAGGTCAAGTGAAGACGGAGCTGAGACCATGCGAATGGGTTGAACTGAATTGACTCAACGAAGAGAATGGTGTAGAAGGAGTGGAATGTTTCTTGTGACAGTAGGTAAATGAAAATATCAAATTTGTTACGGAGCATTTTAGATACAATAGACTTTTGATGGATCCATCATCCATGGACCGCCGCCCGACCCATCGATCATCAACAAAACTGGGCTCTGGCATGCGGGCGGTTGCCCTGACTAGAGAGCGTCGCATACACTGCAGCAGTGTCACGTGAATAAGTCTATGTCTTAGTCACGTGGCCACTCTCTGCCTAGTACACTACACTCCTCCGAACGGGGTACTGTAGCAACACAAATTGTACGAGCATTGCACTTAGTCAATGTTAATGCTACGAGATACTCCGTGCTGTATCAACTGTGTGTACACGAATCCTCGTAGGTACGGAGCAATTTGGCGGTATGCATGCCACCTACGTAGCCCTTTAGCCACCATCTACTACCGATCGGCCGTGATAGTGCCAAGTCCATGGTTGGGCAGATGCATCAATACCTGGGTACGGGTAGGTATATAGGATACGTTCTATCACATACGACTTCCAGTGACCTCGGATGGAAGCGAATGCCATCCGGAAAAGCATCACGTTTCCGTCCAAATGGCAAGGCCAGTTTCCTACTCTTGGACAACCATTTACTACGACAAACTACACATAGGAATGGCCTTGCTCGGCCGGAGGTACTGCGCCTTACTGCTTGCTGCGGGCACTACACGGTTAGCTTGTTAAAAAGCCTTGCTAAAAGTGGTTCCTCCATGTCGGACTGGCGACTTAGACTGTTAGACAACCCTAGGTAACACCGGACTTACAGAGCCTCTAAACAAAAGAGCGAGAGAGAAAAAACACATGGACAGGACAGCTGTTCAATTGGAGCAAGATTGATAGTAGTAGATCGATCAGAGAAAAGTGGAAAAATAGGGGATCAACCAAATGTTCAACGATGTCCATTGCTTCATGATCTATCTCCCTTCTCCCTTCTCCCTTCTCCCTTGAGGAATCACTCAATCGTGTGCCGTCGGCCGGCCAACAGGAGGCAGCTGTCAGAATTACCTAGGACTGTAAGAGGATGGATGGATGCGTCGGGTCGGCTACGAGGAGAGCCAGGATAGCAGGATGCAGGAAAACCAGACCTCCGAGCATGCGGCAATCATAGCGGCTTGTCATCTCGTCATACGCCATATTGTCTTTGCCTCTGTCGGTGTCCATAGGTAGTGTCTCATCCCTCAACTTTCATACGGAGTACCTATGTAAGTACCTCGTATATACACAATACACAATGCCTAGGTACGGAGTATCTACCTAGTTACTGTGTGTAGAGGTAGTTTACATACTGTTGAGAGGCGGTGGGAGCGGTAAGCGTTGCATTTTGTTGTGTTGGGCGGGTGGGATGAAAGTTGCCCTCCCACCATTCAACTGCACTACTGACGCAATTCCATCAAGCTCTTGGGTATTAGATCGCAAAGATAGGATAGATTAGGTTAATTGCCCATTGATAGTAGTAATTATTATTGTAGACTATGTTCCTGCGTGTGTATATGCATTTGTGTGTGTGCGAGGGAGGGAGAGCGTGCACTGTGAGCTCCTCCAACGTAACCAACATCCCAGCAAGGTCCCTACACCCCTACTCTCCTAGGTATCTTTTTTTTCTCTCACACACAGACACACCCGCCCGCCGAGCGAAGCTCTCTTTTCCATCCTCCGCACCCCCGACCATCTTATAACATCCATCTTCCCTCCCCCCCGATCCCTCCTTTCTCCCACCCCCACCCTCCTCTTCAAACCTCACAACTTCACAAAATGGCCTCTGCCCTGCGATTGAGCTCCAGCGCGCTCCGCGCCACCACTGCCTCTCCCCTCCGCTCCGCTGCCTTCAATGGCTTCCGTTGCTACTCTGCTGGCAAGACTACGGTTCGTCATTCCAAACATCACCGTCCCTCGGTCCGAGATGAATATTTCTAACAACATCAATTGCAGTCCCTGAAGGACACCTTCGCTGCCAAGCTCCCCGAGGAGATTGAGAAGATCAAGAAGCTCCGAAAGTATGCGCACACTTCCCATTGAACCCGTGGCATCCGCCGCCAGCAATCGAGAACATTGTCGTTAACATTGGTATCACAGGGAGCACGGCAACAAGGTTGTCGGTGAGGTCACTCTTGACCAGGTCTACGGTGGTGCCCGTGGCATCAAGTCTCTCGTCTGGGAGGTTCGTCACCGCCTATTCTAAACTACAAACAAAAAAGACGGAGAAGCTTACATCCATCTAGGGATCTGTTCTCGACTCCGAGGAGGGTATCCGCTTCCGTGGAAAGACCGTACGTATAGCCAATTCATCCTCTCTCACGATGGACCATCGCGACTGACAACATCCAAGATCCCAGAATGCCAGGAGGTCCTCCCCAAGGCCCCCGGTGGTGAGGAGCCTCTCCCAGAAGGTCTCTTCTGGCTCCTCCTCACCGGTGAGGTCCCCTCCGAGCAGCAGGTCCGCGACCTCTCTGCTGAGTGGGCTGCCCGCTCCGATGTCCCCAAGTTCGTCGAGGAGCTCATCGACCGCTGCCCCAACGACCTCCACCCCATGGCCCAGTTCTCCCTCGCCGTGACTGCTCTCGAGCACGAGTCCAACTTCGCCAAGGCCTATGCTAAGGGCATCCACAAGTCCCAGTACTGGGAGCACACCTTCGAGGACTCCATGGACCTCATTGCCAAGCTCCCCACCATCGCCGCCAGGATCTACCGCAACGTCTATAAGGACGGCAAGGTCGCTCCCGTCCAGAAGGACAAGGACTACGGTTACAACTTGGCCAACCAGCTCGGATTCGCCGAGAACAAGGACTTCGTCGAGTTGATGCGTCTGTACCTCACCATCCACTCCGACCACGAGGGTGGTAACGTCTCTGCCCACACCACCCACTTGGTCGGCAGCGCCCTCAGCTCCCCCTACCTCTCCTTGGCCGCTGGTCTCAACGGTCTCGCCGGTCCCCTCCACGGATTGGCCAACCAGGAGGTCCTCGTCTGGCTCCAGAAGATGAAGAAGGCCATCGGCAACGACCTCAGCGACCAGGCCATCAAGGACTACCTCTGGTCCACCCTCAAGGCCGGCCAGGTCGTGCCCGGATACGGCCACGCCGTCCTCCGCAAGACCGACCCCCGCTACGTGTCCCAGCGCGAGTTCGCCCAGAAGCATCTCGCCGACGACCCCATGTTCAAGCTCGTCAGCCAGGTCTACAAGATCGCCCCTGGCGTCCTCACCGAGCACGGCAAGACCAAGAACCCCTACCCCAACGTCGACGCCCACTCCGGTGTCCTCCTCCAGTACTACGGCCTCACCGAGCAGAACTACTACACCGTCCTCTTCGGTGTGTCCCGCGCTCTCGGTGTCCTTCCCCAGCTCATCATCGACCGTGCCGTCGGCGCCCCCATCGAGAGGCCCAAGTCCTTCAGCACCGAGGCCTACGCCAAGTTGGTCGGCGCTTCCTTGTAAAAACATCGCAAGAGACATCTTCTTTACCGATGACGACGGGGTTCATGGAGCGATGATGGTTTTTTGAAAATGAAATTGGCTTTAGAATTTGATCGGAAAAAGAAAAAGAAACAATCAACGACAAACCACCGTGTACACCAACTAGAAATAATTCCAGGGAAATTGATTTTTGGGTGGGATACCAGGTCTTCCGATTTCTTTTTTTTCTCTTTCCTCAAATCTCATGATTTAGCATGCTTTGTCTCTCTCTCGCCGGAGAGCGAAACACAAACACACATATATCTGTAGTACTACCCCCTCACCCCGCGCTTCCTCTGAATTCAAAAAAATTCATCACATTAACGAAACAAACAAACAAAACTCCACTCTCAATTTCTTGACTTCGAATGAACTATTTGACTGCTGTTATGTCATTGTGCATGAACCTACCCTCACCCGGACACACGTTTTTCCGGCCAACATGGTATCGAATTCTATAGCATCATTCGTCGTGATGATGCGTCCTACAATGTTCAATTGAAAATGTGCAGAGCCGTATCGGAGGTAAGCTATTACCTCACCTAACCTTCCCTCACATTTGCGACTCTATCCTTCGGGATGATACAACAACAACAAGGGTCTCTGTGCCTTTGCGTGCGTGTGGCGCCGTAACCGTAGTCGTAATCGCCGAAACCCCTACATCCCTAATTATCGAGGTACATACATGTGTACACACATATTATTTCACAAGGGACCTCCGTCGCCACGCTGCAAGCCAGCAGGGTACACGAAAAGCAAACAAATAAAAAAATGAATCGGAGGTCGAGATTACACTCGCGGTCCGATGGGAAGAGGATGACGTATCTCTGCGTGTATGCAGTGGTTTGTAGGAGCATCAGCTCAGCTCAGCTCGGCGTGCGTGTGTCGTCAGATTGAATACCTCCCTAGGTAGGCGTGTTCGGGGTACGAGTAACTCAGACCGTTTGGTATGATATCGTGAGTTAGCAGGAGTGATTGTTAACTACATCTAACTAGTGTGTCTACAGAAGTCTGGGGGTGTCCAATTGACATGTGCAAATGGATTCATTTTCACGTCTTCATGTATTCCTGTACTCTGGGGAGCCGCGGCGTTTGGCATGTGTACCGTACAGTACATGGGTGGGTACCTACGACCTCGGAGCTTGCAGGAGGAGGAGCGAGTTTGGGGTAATACCAGACTCAGTAAGTATTGTTACAGGCCGTGGGGGAGAGAAGAGAACGAGAGACGAGACGAATAATAGCCGGATCCCGAAATCTCCGCATACTCGTGATATCGTGGTCGGTTCCCCATGGTTAGAGAGGAGCGTGGTGAGATTTTCTAGGTGCGATACCGCAGCGTATATGTATCTAGCTACTGTAGGAGGTGGGTGTTGGATGGACTAGACCGGGGCTGGCTGGAGTACTCCGAATAGTTGCTCAAACAGGTCCAGGTCAATTATTACCACCGCGGCCGTAAACGTACATTCAGCGTAGAGAAGATAATAAATCGCAACGTTGTTCTTCGGAAAGGGGCGTATATAAGACGGTATAAAAATAATTTGTTGAGCTACATTGTGATACCGCAAAGTATCCTCGTACCTTATGCATGCAAAGAAACTATTCAACAAGTATCGTTCCTCCGACTATCGATATCATCATTATTTTTATCCAAACATAGGATAATTCTTTTCTTTTCTTTTTCAAAACTGTTACGACGGAGTACACCAATTTCGCGACTCTCGCCTTATTCTGCCTAGCCGATACTCAACTGTTTTTTCCCCTTGTAAGGCTCGAACCTACCGGTAGGAACGCCGGCGTCTCTTCATGGGGGGGTGGGGAGGAGGGACTTGCGTTTGCACAACACTTGGCGGATACTTGTCCATAGACTTACGGTGCGAACAGTTGACTTCGAGTAATAATTATAATAGAGGAATAACTATTATCATCATCATCATTATTAGAGGAATATAGAGGTGTTAGGCACGAGTAAGTCCCGTCAATTACTATCGTTTTGTTGCCCCAATCATCGTTTGTCGTTGGCCCATCATTCCCCATTCCCCGACAAGTCAGATCAATCAACCGATCAAGCCAACCAACCGACCAACCAATCCCCTTGGTTTTGTCACCCAGAGCCTGAGAGATAGGTAACTGGAGATAGGTAGAGTAGAGAAAGGGAAGGGAAGAAGTAGGACAGCTTTCCCAACATCATCTCGCACATCGGTGGTTCGGCTTGGACCTTAAGCCTCAATTCCTCTTCACCAACAGCCATCATCAACATAGCTATAGCCACCGCCATAGCCGTACCATTGCCTTAGAGACCCATAGGTAAGCCTCGAGAGTTGCGACTAGGAGCTTCGACCATCTCCGACCATCTTCTACCCTTCCCGGTGCTGGTACGGTGTACCTATCCTCTACGGTATCCTCTAACAACCTACGGTCTGCGGTCTACGGTCTACGGTACGGTCTACCTCGTACCCTAAACCATCCCAGTTCCTCCTTAGCACGTCTGCTAAATATCCCCGTCACCGCTCCCCTTCCCTTTTCTTTCCCCCATCCCCCATCTCGAATCCATAACACACTTCCTCAACTTTTCCTCCCTCTCCTCCTTCCCGCGAAGAAGCACACTACTCCCTTGGTCAGGGCCCTAATCTCGACAAGAAATCCCAGATTATGTCCGCTCCCGCAGCAAGCATCGCAGGTGTCACTGCGCCTCCTCCGTTGGAGAAGAAGCCCGTCAAGTTCAGCAACTTGCTCCGTGAGTCTCTCCTTTGCCCGCAGTCCTCTCCTGCGAGCTCCCCAACTATGGATTTCCGCTGACCGGTGTTGTTGCGTTACAGTCGGAGCTGGTCTGAATTTGTTTGAGTACGTATCCTCTTTATCCCTTCCCCCCTCAGCGTCCTTCGGAGCTTCGAATCGCTAACATCTGGGTTACAGAGTGACTACTCTGGGACAGGTAAATTGCCACCGATCCAATCCGATGACTCTCCGAACGAGATAGCTGACAACATGGAATAGCCTTTGGAGGTCGTCAAGACCACCATGGCTGCCAACAGGGCTGACGGCTTCGCTGGTGCTCTTGGAAGGGTTTGGGCGCGCGGTGGAGTCCTAGGATGTGAGTCCCCAACACCGTCCCCAGCCGTCACTTGCCAGCTAGCGCAAACTTCCACGAACGACAACTGACAACTTTTCCTCGCACACAGTCTACCAGGGCCTCATTCCTTGGGCTTGGATCGAAGCCTCGACAAAGGGTGCCGTCCTCCTCTTCGTCGCCTCCGATGCCGAATTCCGCGCAAAGGCCCTCGGCGCCCCCGACTTCGTCGCCGGAATCACTGGTGGTATGGTCGGAGGTCTCGCCCAGGCGTACGCGACCATGGGCTTCTGCACCTGCATGAAGACGGTGGAGATCACCAAGCACAAGGTCGCCGCCGCCGGGCTGAAGCCCCCGACCACCATGGAGACCTTCATGGACATCTGGCGCAAGGAGGGCATCCGCGGCATCAACCGTGGCGTCAACGCCGTCGCCGTCCGCCAGGTCACCAACTGGGGCTCCCGCTTCGGTCTCTCCCGTGTCGCCGAGACCGGCATCCGCAGGGTCACGGGCAAGGAGAACGGCGAGAAGCTGGGCGTCATGGAGAAGGTCATCGCGTCCGCCCTCGGTGGTGGCTTGTCCGCGTGGAACCAGCCCATCGAGGTCATCCGCGTCGAGATGCAGAGCAAGACCGTCGACCCCGACCGTCCCAAGAACCTGACCGTCGGCAAGGCCGCCAGGTACATCTACTCGAAGAACGGATTGAAGGGTCTTTACCGCGGCGTTACTCCTCGTATTGGTCTCGGCGTTTGGCAGACGGTTTGCATGGTGGCTTTGGGCGACATGTACGTTCAGTCCCAATTTCCTCCCCAATCAACCACATCAAATTACTAACACAATCCAACACAGTGCCAAGGAGGCTGTCGAGAAGCTCACCGGTGACAAGGTCACTGCTAAGCATTAGAAGGCGTTATTGTCGGATTTTTGGTCTCGCGGAAAAATTATAGTCCCAGGATTTAACTGAACTTCCCGCTCGTCGATTTATTCATTAGAAGAATTCCCTCCCGTCCCCCTATATCCCGGGATTTGTTACGAGACCAAGGCTTATCACCTTTTGTTTTTAGTTGATTGTGTTAGAGAGCAGCAATGCATGCCGGCATTCGTCACTATTGTTCTGTATTGCTAGCTAGCCATGCATACATGAAGGCGGGTTTGCCGATACGATATTAATATCAAATTCCTCTGTTTCGAGAGAAGGGGCTTTTCAGTAAGGGAAAAGAAAATTCATAATTGTTATAGAGGAGATGACTGTTATCTGAGTGATGTATATTTGTGATGAGACGTCCTAGTTGAACCTCTTTTTTTACACAATGTATGCCCATGATTTGTTCAATGATGATATTACAAGGGTTCCACTGGGGCGGCTAACAATATCAATAGTTTGCTGATATACCTTTGGTGCACTAAATTGTTTTCTAAGGTCCTGAATGAAGTAGCTCCATCGACTGGATCTCCGAAGGTGTTACCATTCTGCAGATCAATCTTATATGCTTCAACTGCTGTAACGAGAGTGGACGGAAGGGAAGATGCCAATCAAGTCAGAGAGAAAGCCAAGTATGAAGCTGAGAAGCTGTAATGGTTGGTCATATTCAATATTCGAATGCTCAAAGAGATAACTTAGGTAACCCCACTTGATTACCAGTGACGTCCGGGTTTCTGTTCCCCCCCCCCACCTCTCCGACCAACAGCCAACTAGCTCTATCCATGCAAGTAAACACCCGCGTTTGCTCTCCCCAATAAAGCTTTACCTAGGGTCAACTTGCACGTCACATCAACCATCCATCGATCAATCTATCGTCCTCGCCTTACAACCCAACAAACACTACGGAGTATCCGCCACGACTACGGCGCGACAACGTAAAGGAAGCCGAGCTACGATGAGAACTTGCAGTGCTTCGTCATGTCAAGTTCCATCTCGTGCATTGCGACGAGTGTACAGCGCAGGGTGAGTCTACTGCTTGTTTGCCACATATTCTGCTTGCTCTGGGACGCTTTCGTGAAGTACGGGTAGAATATGTTTGGGAACCTCCTCCATAGTCGTAACTTTCCCATTACTCGCAGTGATGGCACCTTCAGTTATCATGTCACATTTCTCTTCCTTTCGCTAACTCTCATCTCAGGCTGAGTTTCTGGAAGAGCTACCGCTCCTATCGCAATATAGGTGCAACCTCACTTGTCTATCTCACGTTTACAACCTCTTCATCTTTGCCAGCTGCGACACCATCCACGTCTACCAACCCACCTATCCGGACCAAAGTCTATCAAAGGAGCCGGCCTTGATCTTGGAGCCTCCCATCTCGCGACCAAATCTAGGACACTACGTCGACTACATCCACCCGCACTCCATTAACCATCTCCGCCTCGACTACCTAGGCACAGAGGAGATCCTCCTGGCCGTATGCGACGATGGCGATGTCATCGCGTACACCACGGCTTCGATCCAACGTGCCATCGACCAGCAGCAAGCCGGCCTTGAAGGCAAAGAGAAGCCCTATATTCGGCCTCTTCTGCACAGGAATGTTGGGATGAGTGCGTGGGGTATATCGGTCCATCGCGAGGCTCGACTCATTGCTATCAGCGCAAACACTGCAAATGTCACAGTAATTGCTTTTGGGTTGTCCGAACAGCCGCTGGACCCTTTGAGATCGTTCGAAGGGTCACCAGAAATGTAAGCTCCGACTTATCAAAAGAACGGGATCGGTCAAGAATCATTCTCACTTTATCACACCAGTCCCTCCATTCCGCACGATCCTCAACAGGCAGGTATACAAGACCGCTCCAAAGATCGTGTAATCACACTAGTCGGGCGAGGAAACATCCCCTCGGTATCCTTCAACAACACTGGTGCTGATCCCTGTGGGAGATGGCTTCTCAGCAGTTCCATACACGGGATAACGGTTCTCTGGGACCTACACAATCCTCAGATGCCCGCTCGCGCTATGCATGTGGGTCGATGCTACAAGACGTTCAGTCCGAAGAGGGATCCAGGGCCATTGGAAGACTGTGGGTGCGGACAGGTGGCGCACGCAAGTGAGTTTGTCCTATCAAGTAGGAGATGTGTATGGCTAATCGGTGGTGATTTAAAGCTTGGGGTGCCATCTTCATCGATCCGAGAACATGCAGGCCGTTTTATTCGTTGAAAGATGCTTTTGGCGGCGTCCCCACTGAGGTTGACCCCTGTTTCTGGGACACGACAGGATCCAGGCTCAAGAGAGATGATTTGAAGCTTGAACGTGATTTCTTCAACAAGGTTCTGTATCCTGAGTATGCCAGCTCCGCCAGCGAAGGAAGCATTGGGGATGACGATATTGACATGGAAGACCTGTCTGGGTCGGATGTGGACAACGATGATGGACCCGCGGCGGAAGATTTGCATTCTATACTGGCTGAGGGATTGGTACCAGGTGTCCCTCCTAACGAAGATCAAGACTCGGACGGAATGCTATCCCTCGACGGTTCGAGCGAGAGTGGGAGCGATCAGGAGGCAGAGTCGATAGCACAGAATGAGACTCCAGCTCCCGCCCAACTGCAAGCTACACAACCTCCCACAAACAATCCATCTCTACCACCTCCATCACCTCCTCATACGCAAGACCCTCCCCCCGAACAGGACGCCACCCAATCCGATTCCTCCAGTCAATCCGACACCGAACCTCCCGCCGCAGCAGTCGACCCCAACCACCTCTTCACGCAAGCCATGTCCGCCGCAGCCCAATACGTCTCCCAAACGCAAACCCTCTCCAGCATCACCATCCCCCCTGGGCTCCCCCTCCCCCCACACGCCTACACCGGCAGCATGCGCAGCCACCCCTCAAAGATCCCCTACTACGAAGTCCGATCCGCCAGCGGCCTCTCCTCGCGGCACATCCCCACCCCCTCCCCCTGCCTCATCATCACCAAGGACGAAATCTCCCTCCTCCAATCCCTCACCCACGCGCCCTCCTCCCCCTCCTCAAACGACCCCCAGCCCACGATCCCAACAATGCACAACCCGCTGTTCCCGGACGAAATCAACCTCCGCCGCCGCCTCCCCTGGACCCGCCGCCTCAACTTCAGCGCTTACATCCCGGCGCTCGGGGCTTTCGTGGTGGGTTCGAATGCGGGGCGCTGCGCGGTGTTTGCGCTGACGAGCGTGAAGGTTGCGGGGGAGGGGGGCTGGGGGGAGGAGACGGTGTATGGGTTTCGTCAGGAGCATATTTTGCCGCTGCCCGAGCAGCAGGAGGATAATGTTCCTCCTGTTTCGCCGATGGTGGGGATGGCGGTCGGGCCTGTGCAGGGGATGTTGGATGGCGACGGTAACGGAGCTGGAGATGGTGAGGGAGAGAAAGAGGAGGAGGACGGCAGGAGGTGGCGGCTCATGATGCTGTTTGCCGACCATACGGTTTGGAGCTACGAGATTGCGAGGAAGAGGGAGGGGAGGGAGCCTGCGTTGGGGGAGTTGTTTGTCTAGGGAGGGGCGCTGAAGTTGAGCTTGGACTTGTTCCATAAACCTTCCCTCACGATGGTATGTTTGATGTGAATTGGAATTGGTAGACATACACGGCCTGATAATGACGTAAATTAATTTTGTTCGAGTGGTAGCAATGGTAGGCAATGGTACTACTTATACCAACATCTGCTTTCTGTCTGGCAAGACAGATGGGTAGTTCCACTACTGTGCGATGGTGATAGTGGAAGGTGTGTTTTGGGGTTTTCCTTTTTATGTTGTTTAATGTTTGATGGTGATGACGACGCATGACGGCCTTGACCGGCCGGTTAGATATAGTACTCGTGGCAGTATGTAGGTTGGTCCCGGGCGATTGAGTCAATGGATATAAGCATGAATACAGGAATTCTTCTCTTAAGGGATTTGTCTTTTGGTGGTGTAGAGTTGAGTGGAGGCGATGGGTGATGATGGTTGATATGTACGCACTACCTAGGTAGGTAGTTATACGGGGGTTTTTTGAGAATGATATCTACACAAGCACGCCGTACGGGGCAAGATGAGAGCGCGTGATTATGAGATAGGATGTATGTGTAGGTATCTAGTATGTACATGTGGTCTGAATACTACAACACAACGCCGATACAAGGAGATGTTGGATTTATGGCGGATATAGTAGACACCTATATATCTTTTGTATCGAGTACCCGACCACAGTAAAATAGAAAGTCTTTAATCTGCAGTGTAGTCGGAATAGATACAGGGCAGTTGGGGAATAGACGGGGTTTATTATGAGAGACTATTCTTAACCATCGCTGTACAAGATACAATACAAATGCCAAAGAAGTTTTGCTAGGTGTAAGGTTGTTTGGTCTAACATGTTTCAATTGCTACAAGTAGAATTATAATTTCATTGCAGGGCGGTTGAAGAGTAAAAGGACTTTCTTTGTTGGGTCTCTGACCTTGTGCAGAGTATTTCCGCAGAAATTATTCTCAAGAACCTCTGTAAAGATATGTAGTTGTGTAATTATATTTATCTATCAATTGACTGATGTTGAGACGTCAATTGAGATAGCTGCTATTTTTTCTTCATCGGAGGTCTGTTGAATACGAGGCTGGACGGATCGACCGTGCATTGCTATGACGCCGGGAACGACGCAAATGCTAAAGCGAGTTGACACGTGCAACGAATGATTGGCTAATTCGAGCCCATGCCGGGTTCAGAGAGCTCCCCACCCGTCCAAACTAGCAACCACCAACCATCGAACCTCTGGATTTCTTGCGTTCGAAAGAAAGACCGGCCGTGGTTCTTCTTCAATTTTCAGAATCATATCCCCCCCCCGAGAGGAATTGAATTGATCCTCTACATTCATTCCCTTCCTACGCGACACAGTCTCCTTGTTCTCACGCATTGCATCGAAACGAAGGAACACCCGCAGCACCGCGAGCCGTCGGCCCAAACACCCACCAATCGACATCCATCCCATCCATCCCAACAACGCAACCCAACACCCGCATTCCCTTCCTTACCTCGCACCCACCATGCGCTTCGGCACGACGCTCCGCAAGAGCATCTACCCGCCGTGGAAGGCGTACTACGTCGACTACGAGAAGCTGAAGAAGCTTCTCAAGGACAGCGACGACAGCGCGTCGCCGATCGACGAGGACGACGACAAGTGGACCGACGAGGACGAGACGGCCTTCGTCGACGAGCTGATCCACGTCCAGCTCGAGAAGGTGCACCGGTTCCAGTCTGAGGTCGCGCAGAAGCTACGGGACAGGACCACCGCCTGCGAGAAGAAGCTCGAGCCGCTTGCTGTTGGCATCAAAGGCGACCAGCAACAGCAGAAAGATGATGGCGCGCAGACGTACGCCGAGGCAGCGAAGCCGGAGCCCGCGGCCACCGCGAAGCAGGAATTGAAGCCCGAGGAGAGGGAGAAGCTGCTGAAGGAGGTGCTTGCGGAGTTGGATGATATCACGAAGGAGGTGAATGAGCTGGAGAAGTACAGCAGGATCAATTACACGGCGTTCTTCAAGGCGACGAAGAAGCATGACCGCAAGCGCGGCGGTGCGTATAGGCTGCGCGCCTTTTTGGAGACGAGGCTTGCGGCGCATCCGCTCAACAAGGAGGACCATTCGCCGCTGCTGTTTAGGTTGTCGGCGATGTATTCTTTTGTCAGGCAGAGCTTGGAGGGGAAGACGAGTGAGGCGTTGTCGTTTGCGGAGAGCACGACTGGTGGGGAGAGCTTCACGTCGCATAAGTGTAAGTTTTCGGGTTTCCATGACTGTTGTAAGGGAATTGGCTAATTGGTGATAGTCTGGATCCACAAGGACAACATCCTCGAGGTCAAGACGGTCATTCTCCGTCGCCTGCCGGTGCTCGTGTACAATCCCCAGACTTCGAAGGTCGCAGAGGGCTCTCAGCGCGATCCTACCCTCACGTCGATCTACTTCGACAACCCCAAGTTCTCGCTGTACACCGACAAGGTGAACCATACTCCCAATGCCGGATCATTGCGCCTTCGCTGGTATGGACAGCTCGCCGAGAAGCCCGAAATCGTGTTCGAGAAGAAAGAGATCAAGGATGGGGATGCCAGCGAAGAGCAGAGATTCCCGATCAAAGAGAAGTACATTGAGCAATTCATCGAGGGAAAGTACAAGATGGAGAAGACCATCCAGAAGATGGAGTACCAGAAGAAGGACGCCGAGACCATTGAAGGCTTCAAGAAGGCCGTCGACGACATCCAGTCCTTTATCAAGAAGAACGAGCTCCAGCCCGTACTCCGCGCCAACTACACCCGCACCGCGTTCCAGATCCCCGGCGATGACCGTGTGAGGATCTCTCTAGACACCAATCTTGCCACCATCCGCGAGGATTCCCTTGACCACGACCGACCGTGCCGTGATCCCGAGGACTGGCACCGCAGGGACATCGACGGCTCCCAGATGGAGTACCCATTCAAGGCCATCCGCAAGGGCGAGATCAACCGCTTCCCCTACGCGCTGCTCGAGATCAAGACCAAGGGAATGAAGAAGTACGAGTGGATTGAGGACCTCATGAACTCTCATCTCGTCAAGGAGACGCCCCGTTTCTCCAAGTTCGTGCACGGTGTTGCCATGCTCTTCGACGACAACGTCAACACATTCCCCTTTTGGCTGAGCGATATCGACACCGACATCCGACAGGAGCCCCAGCAAGCCTTTGAGGAGGAGCAGGAGCGCAAGAAGAAGGCTGCCGAGGACGACTTCGCCGTGGGAAGTCTGTTCGGCGCAAAGGCGAGCCCCAGCTACCGTCCCTCCGTCACCTCTCCCGTCGGATCACCCGTCGTCTCCAAGTCCCTCACCAAGCGCGCAACCTCCAACGCCTCTGGCCTACAAACCAGCCAAAACGTCTCAGACGACATCCCTTCCAACGGCAAGAAAGCCACCGAGGAGCCCGATTCCGACGAGGACGACGAAGGCACCGCCCTCCTCAAGAACCCTTTCTCCCAATCCACGGGCCTCCGCTCCCTCTTCCCCTCCTTCACATCCAACTCCAAATACGCCCGCGCCAAACAACAAGACCGCATCCAACTGCCCCCCGGCGTCCGGGACCCCGGCGTCTGGATCAAAGACCAAGGCCCCGTGCGCGTCGAAGCCAAAGTCTGGCTCGCAAACCAGCGCACCTACATCAAATGGCAGCACGTCTCCGTGCTGCTCGCGTCCCTCTCCCTCGGCCTCTACAACGCCGCCGGCGAAGACAATAACATCGCACGCTCCCTCGCCGTCGTGTACACCCTCATCGCCGCCTTCACCCTCGCCTGGGGCTGGGGCATGTACATGTGGAGGATGAAGCTCATCAAGCAGCGCAGCGGCACGGACTTCGATAACGTGGTTGGGCCGATGGTCGTGTGTGTGGGACTGGCTGTCGCGTTGGTGCTGAATTTCGCGTTTAAGGTAAGTCGTTCTTCCGTATCCGTTCTGGAGCTTGATCAGTAGTGAGTGCATTGATGCTAACGAGATTGTAACAGTACAACGCCATCGTCAACGACAAGAATCGTCACGCGGGACACTCATCACCCAACGCGACGCTCTCCGGGGGCGAGAGGATCGAACTCGTCAGGTAGAGGTTTCGTGTAGTGGGTCTGCAACGCGTCCTTGTTGAATCTAATGTTATATTACTGCACTGCACTGCATATATCTATGTGCCCGCGAGAGAGAGGGGGAAATCTTTGTACAGTTACATATTTCTTGTTTCTGGTGTCATGTTGTATCTATCTATGTTCGTATCCGGTTTTCATATTCCATATAGTTGCACGGAGGGGTGGGGTGGGGAATATACGTCTGTTCTATGGCGATAATTGACCATTATTACCGTCAGAGATACTCATTCATGCATGCATGCATTCATTCATCGAAAACTGCTGTCTATCAAATGCTCTGGCCCGAGCTTCTTTATGATAAAACCTTTCTAACTTGGTAACATTTTCATCACAGCTCCTATAGATACTAGCCAAGTCCTACCATCTAGCCTGCAGATGTTTCCTTGCAAAGTACCCTGTCGTGTAACGAGAGGGATCCACATCCATCTTCCCCCTCTTCAACAGCTGGAAAAGCTCCCTCGCCAGGTCTGGGTTTCCGCATCTCCAGCATATGACTTCTAGGGCTTTTCTTTCCCTCTGGCCCGTATATACTGTACTAACACTTGGACTGCTTTAAGGTAGTGTGCTCTAGGCAATGCTTTATATATAAGGACAATGCTGATCTGATGATGCACAGCTTAACGCCTTCCTTTGCTAACGGAGAAGGCGTATCTGTCTCTGGTCTTGCACTGCACACGCACCCATATTCTACAGCAACGACGACAGGTCTACTCTATCCCGAGCACAGGTTCGCACGCGACAGAGCTTCGCTTCTCTCTACTCCAAAACGGGCGAACAATCGGAAATTCAAAGTTGTTACCAATGCCTGAGGTAAAATACCCTTCCAACAAATTTATAAGCAAGTGTTGGCTAATCAAGCGTCAAGGCCGAAATCACCACCAATGGAGAGTACGAAGACATCAGGTACCATCTCTTCGAAGCGGTGGACTACGATCGACATATGTCGTGGAAGGCCACCAAGGAGGGCTTCATCTATGCTGGCGTGAAGAATGTGGAAAGGCTGAATGGAGACGTAGACACGGTCGACGCCGTTCTGCCGAAAGGGCAGATTGTGATTATTTTCAGCATGTGTTTTCAGTTGGCGACGGAAAGCGTTAATCGGCCTTGTCCACCCAAGTCTCGCCAGGCCGAAACGACTGCCAATGGAGATTACGAACATATCAGCTGGCATCGCTTCGAGGCGTTAGACTACGACAGACTTATGTCGTGGAAGGCTACCAACAAGGGTTTTGTCTGTACTGGTACGATGGTACCGCTGAATAGAAGCGTAGACACGGTCGACGCGGTTCTGCCGAAAGGGGTGGTTATACTTGTTTCCGACATGTGTTTTAAATTGACTTCGGAAAGATAGGTCGAGCGATTGTTGTATACTTTGCGACTGGTGTCTGGATTCATCGTCACGGCTGGCTTGTTGCCATAGTTCCGAATCGTTTTATTCGTGGGTTTGGGTACGTCGGGACCTGGCCGTTTGTATGATCGACAATGAAAGGAGGGCAGCTCCCAATGCCGTGTGCGTTATGAGTCTCTCGGACTGAATCGTTGACCTTGCCCTGTATGAGTGTGCTTGGGCTGACGACGACGCGCTCGCTGAAAGACACCATGATGACTGGCAAATCGTTCATGCCCGAGAGGTGAGCGTCATCCGGCATATTTAAGTTAATACTACTGTGAGCCGCATTTATAAGTGATTGTACTTTGAATTCCTATTCTGAGGCTTCCATTAATGCTACTACTCTATCTACCATCTGTGAAAAACCCGTGGTAGAGATGTGTTGTGATGTTTGCAAAGTCTGTGCCTCCGCATTGGATCTACAACCAACTCACAAACCAACTATAAAGTTTCATAATTCATTAATACGTCCTATAATTAATAGCCTGCTAAGCCTCTTATTATTTATGCTTCAGACTAAACACTAAATTCTTACATTAGATCACAAGCAGAGAAGACATAAAGCTAAGACAGCTACAGCAGTAATTAACATTAAAACTACTTTGACTTTTGTAGCTACACACACTAAACCATCCTGATTTTAGCCCTTATATCAGCATGCCTGGCTTTATAGTTCCAGGCGCATAGCATAACACCACTTGCTTGAATCGGAAACGACAATACCGCATACGGAGCCTCAATCTTGGTCTAACCTCGTCAGTGCATGTCATCAATGACCTAAGTGAAATGAAACATATGGCTTGGTTCATCTTGAGGTCTTTCAGAAGGCTGGAAAGCGTAGATGAGGAGCAGGATGGCCGGAATTGGCACCAGAGACCACGGTGCATACTTCATGATCCGGGTAAAGATTGTTGGCTGCGATGTTTTTTGAAAGAGGTGCGTGATTAAGGATGGTAGAGCCGGTGCTGTCCCTCCGATGATTGCAACTGACATAACGTTAGCATAGCCTTAAGGATTCTTAGACATGTACAACTAAAAAGCGGATGTTTGAGAAACAGTAATATAGAAGCTCTAAGGGCTATAAGCGAAGGCATACTTTCTGGGTTGTAGTACTGAGCGAAGACTGTGTACATATAGGTAGGGAGGTACCAATAAGTAGAGGCTGATGATGGTAGAGAAGAAGAGATTAGCGAGCTCATGTTTGCGGTTTTGTAGGCTGAGGTCTGGTGAAGGGGGAAGGACGCAAATGATGGGAGTGGCTGCCTTTTATAGCATCCCAACAAATAGACATCCCAACAGTGTGGAAGCGACTCGTCAGTCACGCGCTCCGAGGAACCTGCGCAGACAAGTCAGGCAAGAGCGTGGACCTCAGACCGCGAGCAGAGGTCACTCTAGATCTTTTGAAAGTACAAGAGTCAGGTACGATTGCATGGAGTTTTCCCAATCCAGCGTTAACATCTGCAGACGGTTCTGCAGCAGACTGGATCCAGAACAAGATCTACAGAACGCGGATAAACCGATGTATCCAAGGGAAAGTGCCTGGAGTCTCAATCACTGACTGTGAGGCCTTATTGAGTCGCATGTCTGACTTTCATCTCCCCGCCCTTGACAACGAGCCCCACGTGCTCGTCCATGGAGATATGAATCCTTCCAACATCATCATCAACAACCAGAAGGTGGAATGGTGAGCCTAACGAAAAAAGACATCGAAGCACCCCACGCTGATGTGTTGTGTCTAGCATCGTGGACTGGGGCATTGTCACCATGGTTCCCCTATAGTTTTCAGCTGTCTACCCGCGCTTTCTAACGAACGAGCCCCGATTAGTAGGAGAGGAGTTTGATTGGGCACCGTGCGCTTACTCGCAGACGCAGAAAGATGACCGTTCGTCCTATCTGCAGTGTATTAAAGATTTGGCACCTACAAAAGGGGAATATGCAGGTGTTTATGCTGATATTCTGTCGCGCGATAATGAGGAAGAGTGGTATTGGTGGCTTAGCGCGGTGAACCGTCGAGATATAATGAGAGCGCTGAAGACGAAGCCAGAGTCATTACATAGAGATGGGTCGAAGGTTAGTTTCATTTCTTCTAAAATGGTCTTGTCAGAGGAGTGATTCTGGTAGTAACAACCCTGTGGAAGAGCTGATTTAATTACAAGACATCTTCGTAAATAACAATTGGGAGTAGACGTCAGCTCCCGTGAGCTCTCAGGGTTATATTGGACCGTGACACTCATTCGTCAAGGCAGCGGGCCAGTGGAAAGATTGACCCAACGAGTGCAGCCATATTATGCTAGCATAGAAATATTTGTCTAGAATATGATGTCTCTATGCACCATCTTCATGATTGCTGTTTCACCCACCCAAGGTAGAAGCTGGTTATGAATCAAGATGCGGTAATGGACAATGGCGATTAATTAGTCAATGTTCGATGAGGCGTCCGTCATGACGAAAATTGTTTTCTATAAGTCACTTGAACATACTCTCTGGTATACACTTTTCTACCTCTTAGCATCGAGCACGCATACAAGGAGCCCAGAAGGTACGGAATACCAGTAGTTGGCCATAATCATCAGTGTTTTGCTTTCCAGATAGTACTTAAGTAGGTAATCCTGGGTCCTTGTAGAATCAATTCATGCTTCAAGTCCATTTGCCGCTAGCGTGTTTAAAGTCAGCCAGAGTTAGACTTGCATTTTAGTCCCGAATGCAAATCAATGACAGATGTTGTTTCACTAGTCACTTACCGCGTCGCACTTCTCGTTCACTGAACTTCACTTGATCGAAATCTTTCATTTCTCTTGCACCTCATGGTATCTTGCTGTGCGTATTTACCAATGCAATCTATAGGATTGTGAAGTCCTTCGCATACCAATTATACCAGAAGTCACAAAAAATCACCACAGCACGACAAGATCAAAGGCAGTCTTTGGAATCATGAGTTTGTCATTGACATATTGGATCGGCACGTGGTATGAAAAAGGGTGAACCCTCCCACGAGGCGGTCTTCTAGACCTGCCGTAAGGTATATACATTGAAGTTAAGAATGCAGAAGATTTTTTGGCTGACTATAGACAACATCGAGCCAAGGGAAAAGAATATAGAAAGGGAAAAAAAAACAATGGATATCGCGGACTCGGCCCACACCTGTGCAAGCAGCCGCCGCCCTGTCGGAATAATGCCCGATACACCATGCAAGATGCTGAGTGAGTAACTAGCAGAAAGAAAAGAAATGAGATCCAAGGAAGACGAGGAGTGGGGGTTTAGTCGAGCCAGCTTCCGAGGTTGGTGGTGGACACGGGGGCGCCGACTTCTTTGCCGTAGTTGCCCTTGATGTTTCCGGCGGAGGCGTAGTTGCAGACGGTGTACTTGTTCATGTCTGAGGCCTTTCCGTTGACGGTCATCTTGGTGCCGCAGTCGATCGAGACGCAGCCAACCTTGGTGGTGCTCTTCCAGAGCATGGCGGTCAAGTGACCGACCTCGTGGAAGACATCTTCGGGGATGTCGGAAGCGCCCCAGTAGGGCTGCATGGCCTCGAACTCGCCCTTATACCAGCTCTCGGTGATACCGGCGGTGGCGTTGAACTCGTCACCGGAGTGGGTGAACAGATTCTGTCCCTGACCAGCGCCCTCGGGAATAAAGTGCTCAAAGTCACATCTGTTAGCAGCGATCAGGGCGTTGTTCGCGCAAGCTGCGTCCCAGACAAGGGGACCGGCACCATGGTTAGCGCGGGCAGCGTTGTGATGGTAGAGAACTGCAGCCTCGTAATCGGGACCGGACCCGAAGGTCGCCTGGATTTCTCCAGAGACGTGGCTACCAGCAGGCGCAGATGGAGTTGCGCTGGGAGCCGGAACGGCAGAGCTTGATGTTACAGGCTCCGGCGTGGGCGTGGGCGTGGGTGTTGGAGTTGGAGTTGTCTTCGACGAGGACGGCTCCGGTGCAGGAGCTGAAGTCGGCTGAGGGGTAGGTACAGACACATACACACTACTCGTCTGTGGCCGAGGCCTTGGAGTGTTGGACGGCCTTGTGATCACAGGTGCAGAGAAAGCTGGCTGCCTGGTTGATAGGGATGATGTGGATGTTGAGCTCAACTGGGGAAACTCATCCAGATTTGAGCTCGACGATGGGAACTCGTCCAAGCAAGAAGTATCCTCCGTGGGCTTGGGTCCGGAAGTTGGTGCGGGGAAGCCGGCGGTGATGTATACCGTTTTGGTGACGACCTCGACTTCGTACTCGGTCACGACTTGCCGTTTGTCGAGGGGGAGGGCAATCGCACCAATCGCCAACGAGGCCAAGAGAGCAGCAGAACGCATCGTGAATCTGGCAAAGAGCTTGGATGGACTCGACTATTGATCTTGATCTTTGATCTTTATCGATATGTATCGTCCTGGAACAACTGTATGACCGATCAGAACGGGGACCCTTAAAAATTGGGAGGCCTCTTCGGAAAGATCCACAACACTTTATATGGAATTTAAGTGTGGCCAACCACTAGGGCGGAACATGTCTTAAAAAGAGGGATGATGACCTACGTGGATGTCCTGTTGAGGGCTAGGATCTCAAGAGGTACGACTGAGGCGTACTTGGTAAACAAAAGAGTGAATGTGGTGGGTTCAAGAATCAAAAGAGCGTGGTCCAGTGTAGGCTAAGGCTGCACAAGGGAGATCGCAGATCAAGAAAGGAATGTGGGTGATCGTGAAGTGATGGACAGGAGTGAGGGACTGGCCAGACTTGCAGTTTAGTATGCAAAGATATGGTAGAAGGCTAAGATTACGCGGGAGGGATGTTGGTCCTGAGACAAACGTCGACGGCAGCCCTTTGATGACGCACGGGGACGGCGACACAGAACTTACGACATGACTCCTTCATCCTGGGAGCAAGTCGGACAATTTCGATCAGGCCAATCTCAGCGCGGGAACTAGATGGGCCCTTTCTCCACAGATGGTAGGACCGGCGTCCAACAACAATGAGGTTGGCTCAGAGAAGGTTGATTCTGCGCGTGGGGAATGTAGCACAGAATTGTACAGATCCGGCCTTCAACATTTGCTCGTCGGAGCGCGAGCTTGCAAGAACAGCTGCTAACCATGCCACCAAGCCTCTACATTTTGCGGCATACATACTTTGATACCTCTTCCAGCCACATAACATCCAACCATCGATGGATCTAAGGATTCAAGCTTAGACAGCAATGACGAATCGTGGGATCAGGATCGTAAATTGCCCTTCGTAATCGGTCTGGGCACGGAGACGACATTTTTACACAATATGAAATAGAAGCAGTTTTTAAATTAGGCACGATAATGTTTGATGAGGTGTAAAAGCAAAGAAAACGTCTTTCACAATGTACAGAGAACGTCCAGGGAAGCATTTCGGGCACTATGCTTCAGGCGTAAATGAGAAGGACACTAAGCGGCAGGTCCATCTGGGGTGTGATTGGTCCAACTGCAGGGATTCACAGATCTGCGCATGGGTTGCGATTGGCTCGTTGTCATTTCTTGGCAGGAACGTTTGAGACTAAACCTCTAATTCAAGACACCATGGCTGGTCATCCTCAGCCCTTCATTCATCTCGACCGTCCATCTCATCTTACAGCCTGGCTCCATCTTGTTTCTCAAACCTCGCACGCGGGCGCTTCCTCCCCAGAGTCTGGCCAACGGCTCGTCCAAGATGGCAACATGTCCGTGCATACACGATAATATAGCAATCTACCCCGCCTCGGTCTTCTCTTCGCTACTCGGTGCACAGTGACTACTCGTAAAGCAACGGTGTCCGCTCAGCGCTGCCAGTGGTACAGCAGGTACTATCTCAATATGCGTCGCAGAATGCTACAGAAGGATCACAGGGCGGTTGCCCCTTGAGCACAGCAGCCGGCTTGTGGCTCGTGGCATAATTAATCGCCAACATTTTGACTGCTCTTGGAATACCCTCAAGCCTGTGCATGGTGGCATCGACTTTACATAATCCCCGAGTGGCCAGGAAAACGACCCACAGAGGGAGATCAAATAATCAATCTACCATGGTGCTAGCAGCCTCCAGCTTTTCGATTAATATTAAATGTCCGGATACTTCAAATTTCTGTCCCGCTCCCGGCGCGGCAAGGAGATAAACTACTCGTCAATTTGCACCTCACATCCGCTAGTGGGCTCCTTGAAACAATGCGGTTCTTTCAACTTCGTTCAATCTGCTCGCCCCTCATGTTTGCTAAATCTTCCTTGCTCGCGTGGCAGACTCCAATTGAGGAGTGCGTAGACTTCAATTCAGCCTTCTATGTCGGATCAGGGAGCCCTTTACCAAACAAACGTTGGTGTTGTCGTGTAATATTTCTCTTTTTTGGCTTCGGTTTCCAAGCTCACATCATCACTCTATTCCTCTTACCTACGCGAGAAGGAAGACTTGAGCTGTGTTGCTCGCTATATCTTGCCTTGGAGCCGTATAAAAATTTCTAATACTTCTCTTGTTGACCCTTCAATAGGTACGCTAGTCTCACCATTTGGCGATTATTCTTCCGAAACAGACAAATCTATCCGGTATGATCACCACGTTCCCTCCCGGAACAACACGGTGGGCTCGGTGGAGCACAGGGTCGACTCATGAGACAAACGCTACCTCCTCTCGTTACGTGCCACCACTTACGTTGTCCAAGTCGCACAACGAGAACTCTGGACCGCTGATCTGGTAGTACCTAAGCAGCAAGCTCACCTTTCCATCCGCAGCCGCCGGCTGCGAAGCCCGAGCGACGCAATTCAAAATACCCCAATGAAAATTTATTTGCCAATTCATGTCAATCAAGAGATTCGAAGAGTACTGGACTATTGCGTTAGCCTACTAACAAATCCGTCCTGGTATCTGGCCATCTCAACCAACAAGAGTGGTCGCGTCTGGTCGAAGCCTTGGGACAATCTCGACTCCCTTGTCTTTATGCTGTTGCACCACACGGCCTTGCTCGCTCTTCCCCACGAGCTCATCCTGGAGACTCCCTTGAGCTGCTTTCTCCTTTCACCACAAAGGGGTTGACAGCTTCGCTTGTAGCGGGACCCCTCACCTCAACCTCCAGTAACGGCATGACTACGATGCTTCACATTTTCGCGCGTCTTACACGCGATAGTAAACCCAGTTTTCCCTTTCTGCCTTAAGGATTTTGGCCGTACTCAAGAGGTCTTGCATTTCGTTGCTATGGCATTAGCATTCCAATTGAACTGGCGCATTATCGCATTCCTCGATTCTTAGCATATTATCCTCTTTGGGTGCCGACCACATGCCATTTTTCCGATTGCTCGGTCCCAAGACACATGTCCTTATTCTAAAAGGCGTGAGCCCCGGTTTCCATGATTATGTTCCTCAAGAAGTCTTCTGCGACCATGCGGCGCAGCGCTGTCTTGTGCTGACCGAACCACCTCGAAGGAACGCCAGTCTTACTCAACCCTCTCGTTGGCTTCTCATGCGTGCAAACACCTGTTCTTATCGCGGTTGTTCATTCCGCCCAAACTTTCACTAACGTGCATAACGGTCTCCGCAAGGTACTCAGTCTTGTGCATTGCATACCACACAGCCTTCCGATTTGGGACATGTTCGTTGTACGCATTCTTCAAGTTTCTTACATGGGGAAACCTGTGCAAACGGATCGCTTGGGCTTTTCATCCTTCGAGAAAGGCGCATCAGTCGTGTACAACGGAAAGCCTCATTGGGCAGGTGAGGCGCACGTCTAGACCTGCCGCTCTAGATATCCACAGTGGCAGTGGCTATGATGAGGCTCGCCATGAGACCTGTTTGTAATATCATCAAGTATCCAGGCCGTACGTTGTGGTACGACGATGGAGGGCGACTTGTTTCACCACATACGCTCTGTTGGCATCGGATCAACGCCATTCGTCCTACGAGACATTCTCCAGAGACCCGAGTCATGCGCTGCCTATGCGCAATCATAAAGCAGTTGTAGAGCTTACTCGAACATCGAGCTTCTTACGTCGAGGTGAGGAAGTTGTCACTGTTCAGCATTTGGAGGTATTGGCCAGCTTATCTCTAGCCATGAAGGATTTCGCCACGTAGACGCGCTTTTCGCCTGTCAGATGATCCGCGAGCTTTACTCGCCCCAGATGGTTAAAACCTTCCGGTTTTCGCACATTTGTTCTTAAATCATGACTTGGGAAAGATTAGCCTATGGTCCCCTACGAAAGATGTAAACTAGAATCCGGAGCATGGTTTGAAGTGGATACAATCCGCCAACCAACGCGTAGAAATAAGCTGACAAGCAAAGTTAGAGTTACAGCTACCTGTTACGTTTGCAACAAACCGGCAAGGTAAATACAGTCATTTGCATGGAACCTATGTGTCAATCGATCTGACCAATGGTATAATCGAACGGCTACGCTTCGCTGCGTGAATCACAAACGGAGCTTAGATGGGTGTGCAGAGCAGGTTGTGCCTCACGTACCTCATGTGCAAAGTTGATACTTTAATACTTTCCCCATACACTTCAAATCCCCTACGGATGTGAATGAATGTGTTGAGAGGAGAAAAAGGAGAGCGCTGACTTCGATTACGAATGGTCGATTTGTTAATGTACATACTGGACGCTCCAGTACTATAGGCTATTCAGAATGAGATCGTTGTTCGATTTCACACAGTGGATTGAAACATGTCGATTACATCTACACCTCCTATCCGGTTGCTACCCAAGACCGCCTTTTATTCTGTCATGCAAATCTAACTCGTGGCTAGGTCTATCCACACTGCCTTGAAGTCCGTGAACAAATGGAAGCAGCCGGTGTACCGAACCCGGCACATCCGCATTTTGACCGCGATGAGCAATGGCCTGATACGTAAAATTGAGGGCAGAATCGCTCCCCGACGATGTTAGGGGATACCCAATGGCGAGTGCGAGTGCGAGTGCGAGAGTGCTGCTACAGTTGACAAAGGCTTTGCCAAACAGGCGAGTACGCGTATTAGTCTGCAACTCAGCCACCCAATGGTTCTTATCAGAAATTATCGATCCGACCCGAGCCTAAAAGCGCAAAGTTCCGTGCTGTAGCTGCGGTTCGTAGTGGTAACCCTACTTTGACATTCTAGCATCCTGCCTTGCTTATTCTGTAAGAGTCGATTTTCCATATTTACGCGTATTTGTAACCTGTCGCATGGGATCCTCACAGAATGAAAGGCAAGATGGTCCGGAGCGAACAAAGCTTGTGCGCTAAACATTTACAGTCTATCTAGACTACACTGTGTGATACTATTTCTGGCAACCTATGCTACTCGTAAATCTTTATGGCCTGAAGATATGGTGCTTGCCAGAGAAATGTGAATCAAGTAGACCTATAGAAGGCTCTCGGAGTCTTCGTTGTAGTTATGCTATAGAACGGCGTTTGTCTTTTTTCTAGTATCACTACATTGTCACTCTTTATCGATCCTTGTCGCATTCGTCCGCTTTGATTGTCACATCTTGTGTTCCTATCATGTCAGGATTTCCTTCTTCAAATCATCAAAAGGTCGACAATAAGATTTGGGACTACAATCCATCCATCGTAGCAGGTGCAATTGGGACCAGTGTCTGCGGGCTCCTTACACTCCTCCATACTTGGCGGCTGATAAGAAATCGTACTGGGTTCTGCGTGCCTTTCGTTGTCGGTGGATTGGTGAGTACCTACAGATATCTCATAATTACCTTGCCGCAAGTACTAAACTCGTCCTATAGTTCGAAACCATTGGCTACGCCGCTCGAATTGGAGCCCATAATAATACAAAATCCTTAGTACCATACGTCATTCAATCTCTCCTTCTTCTCCTTGCGCCAATTTTCTTCGCTGCATCGATATATGCCATACTCGGACGCCTTGTGCAACGTCTCAATGGCGACGACATTTCTCTCATTCACCCTTCCATCATGACGCATTTTTTCGTCTACGGAGATGTGCTTTGCTTCTTGATTCAAAGCGGCGGCGGCGGTATACTATCGCAGGCAAAGAGTCAAAGTGCCATGAATTTTGGCAGGACCACAATCCTTGTTGGCCTTGGTCTGCAAATTTACATCTTTTGCTTCTTTGTGAGAATTGCAGTGAGCTTTCACGGAGATCTACGAGCGTATCCTACTACAGCTTCTAAGAATGGGACGTTCCCATGGCAAAGATATATGATGTTGCTGTATGTGGCGTGCGCTTGTGTTGGAGTGAGAAACACATACCGCGTGGCAGAGTATGCGATGGGAAAGGTATGTTTGCGGCTCCGCATTTATCATCGAATACTCATATTTAACAGGGCGGGTTTCTCATGGTTCACGAATGGCCTCTTTATGTGGGTGATTTTGCCCTTATGGTCGTTACTCTTATTGTCTGCTTGGCTTGGTATGATCAACGCATCGTACCAAAAGGAAAGCATTCACAGGCGGTATGATAATGGGGTGGGATCAGAAGGCCGCATCAAGATGACGCGACTGTGGTTCGTTGGCAGAATCTAGATTTGTGAGGTATTTGGCAGTTGGGTTGAGGGTAGCGAGGAGAAGAAGATGGTACAGAGCACTGGTGTTGTCCAAATAGGGAGGGATAGATATCAAGAATTATATGAAGGAGATGCAGAAGATTTCAGGTGTATCATCGAGCTCCTGTACCAAGATTATCGATGGTAATTATAATGCAACCATACTGATAGGAGTAGGTAAATCCCAATCAGACACACCCGTAGTGTTCAATACAATCTGCACATGTCTACGCACATGAAGACTAAACTTGATCTATTCCCTTGTTTTCTTAACTAGCATCAGAGATAGAACTCCCTTTTCACTCTTCTCCTTGCATCTCCCACACACCAAACTCTCTTAGGGCGCCTATCTACATTCAAAAGCTAGCATCTTAACAGTACGAGAACGCACTGCCGCCATGTATTTGGCCTGCTCTTGCGATATAGACTTGATCTTGTTCTCGTCATTGTCCCCGTAAAGGGAACACACAGCGAACCCGCAGCAGACAACGCCTCCAGCAGCAAGCAACACTATGAGAATGACGACCCAGGGTTGCATCTTCTTTTTCTTTCAAAGAGGACGAAATAGAAGCACTATAGTAGTGATTCAGTAAAGCTGTTAACTGAAAGGGGGTCGGGAGACGCAAGAGATGCGTCGATGCCAGCACCATGGCAAGCGGAACGTACCTTAGGCTAAGCGGTAGGATACGAAGTAGTATCAATTTATAGGCTCGAATAGATGCGATATCATGTAATTTGGCTCGAATGGATGTAAGAAATGATAGATATAGCGTAGTGTAAAGCTAATGATAGAAGTCTGGTGAAAATCAGCGCTCACGATTTTGAAGTATTAAGAGAACTGGCAGTGATAGACAAGCAATGTAGGCATTTTATTTGAACAAATATTCTATAACGGCATGTAAGACTGGGAGCCTAAGGTGGAGTGGCTGTTTTTATCTCTCACACTGCCTTTTTAGTCTATGTTTTTACGCGTATTTGTAACCTTAGAGTACTAATTGACGAATAGAGCAACGCTGGGACCATTTGACGGCCCCGGTCTGCAGCTACTGAGTTTAACAGAGGGCTGTAAAGCAATGCTCGTTCTGGTTTGGACTGATACTCGCAAGGCCCCTACGCTCTCCCATGTGCGTACCCATGCACGTCGGATTCCCAAGGAGAATTCGGACTAGCTTCCCATACTCACCGAGCGTCGAATCTTAGAATACTATTATCAGTTCCCGTGTTTCCATAGATTTAATGTAGGGTGTGATCTACTGCGTTAATCTTCTCGTTGCATTAGCTTATAGCTTGGAGTGTCGCTCGCTTTTCCCATGCCTTGAATTGATGTACGCCCTTTCTCATCATTCTTGAGACCAAAGCGTTATACAACGCTGCTTCATCAAGAATTATGGAAGAGAAACCACGTCGAGACGGGCAGGACTTGATGGACGTCGAGTTGCAACAGCCTGTACCTCACCAACCCAGTGGCACACAATCGGATGCCAGTTGCGAGCTATCTACTAGCTCAGATCAACAGCATGAAGATGGAAAGGGGCGAGGCACACATTTAGTCGATTGGGAAGGGGACAATGATCCAGAAAATCCCATGAATTGGCCCGATTCGAAGAAATGGACAAATATTATTGTTCTATCATCCCTCAGTGTCGTCACGTTAGTAGCTACTGTCATAAAACTTACTTGCTCATTTGTCTTGCTAACGCCTTCTCCAGACCCTTAGGTTCATCCATGTTTGCACCCGGCATCCCGAGCATAATGAAGGAATTCCGCGATTCATCTACGGTTACAGCGACGTTCCTCCTGTCAATCTACATCCTTGGGTTCGCCGTGGGTCCCTTGTTCGTTGCGCCCCTCAGTGAGATCTATGGTCGCAGGCACCTCTATATCTACGCAAACATCATCTTTGCCTTGTTCACCATTGGGGCGGCACTCAGTAACAGCGTGGGCATGCTTCTTGCGTTCCGCTTACTTATGGGCCTCTCTGGCGTTGTACCGCTCACAATTGGGAGTGGAACGATTGCGGATATGGTGTCCGTTGAAAAGAGAGGCAGAGCTGTATCTCTATGGGCTATGGGTCCTCTCCTCGGGCCTTGCGCTGGTCCCGCTGCAGGCGGGTTCCTAATTAGGGCAGCCGGTTGGAGGTGGGTGTTCTGGCTCATTGCGATCCTTGTATGTTTGCTCCAATTTTGAGTCGATAAAGCCAGAATTCTCACAAGTCTTGTAGTCCGGCATTTTGATTCCGATAACGTTCTTCTGCTTGCGCGAGACATACGCCCCTGTTCTGCTCGATCAGCGTGCACATCGCTTCCGCGAGAAGACTGGCGACCCCCATGTGCGAAGTGTACTGGGGGTGCAATCCACGCGGTCAGAGAAGTTTCGCCTGGCCGCGGTCCGTCCTGTAAAGCTTTTAGTGGCTACACCGGTAGTAACTATTAGTGCGCTGTACATCGCCATATCCTATATCCTATGGCATCTTGTACCTTCTGATCGCCACCTTCACATATGTCTACACCGAAGAATATGGCTTCGATGAAGGCTCTAGCGGGCTGGTCTTTCTTCCAGCTGGTCTCGGGATGGTTATAGGGGTGTTAGGCTTCGGTCAACTCGTGGACCTGGTAGTGAAACGAACAAAAGCGCGTGGATTACAGCATCGACCTGAAGACCGTCTGAACCCGATCATTAGTATTCCTTGCAGCCTGGCTATGCCGATTGGGCTTTTCATTTACGGCTGGACTATCCAGAAGGGAATTCACTGGATTGTCCCCATGTTAGGCGTGCTTGTTATTTGTATTGGCCTAATGGGTATTATGGTACGTGCTTCTAATTGCAGGTTAGCATGTTGATTACTTACTTCTACGCAGACGTGCATACAAAATTATTTGATTGATGCATTTCCAAAATACGCAGCATCAGTCTCGGCGGCGTTGGCAATTTTGCGGTCCTTACTTGGTGCCCTGCTACCTCTTTCATGTTAGGATTGGTTTGCAGGGCACTTAGAAGTTGGCAATTAGCAATAGTGAGATCGAGTCAATTCTATTATCCCCAAATGATAGAGACGAATCGCTGAGGAAACTTATTGTTTCTCAGCCAGTGTTATAGGGAGCATTATGTAATCATACTAAGCTAATCTGGGCCACTCAGGCCTCTAGCCAGTATAGGTGGCAGGAATTGCCCCTTGTTCTAACATTTCAGGTCTACGGATGTACGATACATCAGGTATTGGGTGGGGTAACAGCGTGTTAGGGTTCATTGCTCTAGGGCTTGTACCTATTCCCGTACTTTTATATGTATTTGGCTCACGATTACGTGCAAAATTCCAAGTTCGACTATAGGTCGTGGTTGTGGGCTCTCTGTCGAGCCTGGGCTGAGAACGTAGCCCATCGATCTCACGACCAAAAGACGACCTTTACCTCGAATCAACAATGTCGATAAAGCATGACAATATAGCGTTGTAATTCACCAAGTCATTATTGATCTAGTCAACCACTATCTATGGCTACCTGCAATGGGTTCGGTAAGCTTTCAGGCCATGTGAGCCACGTATCCCACGTAGGCCCTAAGAATTCCATCACTGCCTTCAAAAGATGTGGGCCCGCCTCCCTGACTTGCCATATATTTCTTCCGAAGTGAAGCAGCATAGCGTAGCGGCCTAAGATAGCAATTGCTTCGGGAGTTTGACATTCCAATAGACTGATAAATAAATCAGGGAGCATGATTGACCACATAAAAATCATGCGTCGGCCAAGCTCAATTTTTGTCAGTTGCCTCAGATTCTCGAAGCCTGTCTCAATCAGCCGAAGCGCTGTTCCACACGCTGTCTTTTCCTCGTTATCCAGATTATGAGAATTAGAGATCAAATGCCATGACGCATCACTCAATTCGATAAGATTGTCATAAGCACCGGTATCTGCGCCCTGGGTCATTATCGGGCCCAAGTCAGATCCTAACAGTTGAGACCAGTCTTCCTCTGCCGCTACAGCTCTTACGCCACGGTAAATTTGAACACCCCGAGTGTACCGCGCAAGAAAGGATGGGAAATCGAGCCCATTGTTTTGAAGCACATCAGATATGATATGCCGTCCGAGGATAGAAGAGAACAGCAGCCGTGCAACAGATCTTTCTCGGCCGCTGTCCTGACAAGCGGCATTATACAATTCGATTGCTTTCGTCTGCAACTCCACTGCCTGATTCTGATACCGCATAGCGTTTACGGGACGGGTCACGGATAGATGTTGTGCAGATATGGCCAAGATTGCATGCATCAAAAAGGGCGCATCCAAAGCAGTCTGCAGGACAAACTTCGTTGCGGACTCTTTGGCGCTACCACCAAATTCGGGCACGTGAACATTGAAGTCGAAGTGGAACATAAGCTCCAAGTGTAGCATGTTGATGACATCATGGTTGGTGTCCTGTTGGTACTCTTCAGGCTCGTTGCTGCATGATCCCTCTGTCTCCCTGGGTTCATGACTGGACGGATCTTGTGGGGTCTGACGTTATGTCAATAAAAGGCTTGATCAAGGCTGAAAAGGCAATCTCGTATACCCTGACGCGGCTCTGATTTCTGGGATATGAGCACACTCGTTCGGCCCTGATGCAGTTGAGGCACGTTGGTCGCTGTTCATCACACTGCAAGCCCCAGGTTAGCTATTGAGGTTTCCTCCTACTTAGCACAGCGGAACGGACATACCCGAATGTGGCGTTGTTTGCAGACTAAGCACCCCTTCCTCGACTTCTTATGCTGTCGACGGATCATGTTACGTTATTTCAGTGGTTGAGGCGTACTCATCTCAGATGAAGACCTGGCGGATTTTACTTCACGTGAAGATATGCACCAAGGAAGGGACTAGCGTTTTATCAGCTAGAGCCCCTTTTCCAGCGTATGGAGCCGAAAAGAATAGTAGCAAACTCATTTCGTTCGTTAGGCATCCTTGATCAGTTGTTTTTGCGTCCAGTTATCTGGGCGGCTATCTAAGTCTGGGTCTCAGTTGGTACCCATCCCATCCCATACTTAGAGATTCCCGAAGCTTGGACAAAAGCGGAGATACGCGTATAATCCCTGCATGTTAGAACTCTCCAGCACGAATTACTTGTATTGTACTAGTCAAAAGTTTAGTGCAAATGATCGGCACCTAATCGTATCACTAAGGGCACTATTGATGTCTCTTCTGACACAAATTATCACATTTACGCGTATTTGTTTCCCGCTCTAATTAGTTCGAAATAAATTTCTTAGATGTTGTAGGCAACCTGTTAGAGCACGCCTCAACTGTTTGCTTCGAGATTAGCCCGCCAGAACCTAAGATAAGTGTACTTAAAATTGCAGCAGGTATTCTACAGTGTATAAGCGCATGTTTCTACAGGATCGGCCATCTTTATCTGGGCTCGAGGCCAGTCTATCCAGGACTGCCATTGAGTAGGTATAAGTGGACATATAGTTGTGAGTATCTTTGTGGACGCGCCGACCAAGAACCAATAGTGTGACGCCCTGTCAACTAAGACAGCATAATGGGCAAATATGATTAAGGCCCCAAACTCTCTTTCTGATAGCAGATGCAAGAAACGTGGAGTAACGAAATGAATCCACATTTTCAGAAGGGCGTCAGACGGGGCCGAGAGAGATTGTGCTGCCACATCAAAAACCACTATGAGGACACGAATTGCTTGGTTGTACGCCTCGGCTACATCTCCATCGAAGATATCATGGGCGAGGTCTGCAAACTTTTGTAAACCAACCAATTCGGTCTTTGTGGGCAGCACAACAAACTGCCAGTCGATGGTCCGTGTATCTTGCGGCCGCAGTCTCCCAAGCTCGGATTGCGAAAGTGTTTCATAGAATTCATGGACAAGGGGGCGCACCCTTCTGGTCATGAAGAGATTCGAGATGATGCTGTCGAATGTGTGATCTAGAGAGGTATCGGTACCAATCAAGGAACCCCAGAGATATGGAAATAAAGTGCTGCTAAAGAGGAAGACAGCCTCGTAGTTCGATTGATTGACGTCCGCGATGTCCGTCCGAAAGCGACTTATGGAATCCATGTGGTGTCGGCCAGCGAGTGCCAAAAGTTCCTCCTTCTCCTGACGCGGTTCTGTGTGACTAAGATGCAATGCCGCAAGAGAGAGTATCGCATGAAGGAGGAAGGGGTATCGAAATGCGACTTTGACAAGGTAGGATGAGTACACGTCCTCATTTAATGGGTCGGCCGAAAGGGTCTTTGCGGTGACCGTGGTGAAGTGATAAAGTAGCCGAAGTTGTGAAATGCTCAACGTCGCCTCCTGGCCTTCTGCCTGTATTTGATCCAGATGGCTGGTGTGGTCACGGCATATGGCTTCAATACTTGGTATGTCTGGGGACAGACCTGGAGTATCAATCTGTGGCGCCAAGACCGGTTTGGGCTGAGGATATACACATTCAGCAGCATATCTCTCGCAATTGAAGCAGATTGGTTTACGCTGGTCGCACTGCGCTCCTGTCAGAACCTACACGCTCTTGAACAAATGCATCAAACCGAGGAAGCCCTCGATGTGATGATTTTGCGTATGATCCAAACTTACTCTGATATGCCTGGATTTGCAAGGGAAACAGCCGCTTCGAGACTTTGTATGGGCTTTCCGGGTTTTTGCTACTTTCATACTAATACTCGTTGAAACTTGCATGTGCGAAGTGAAGATGGTGCTGTAAGCGTTGAAAAGGAAGCAAACTCTGGGCAGCCTTTAGTCGATAGTGATGGTTTGCATCTAGGTTTCATGAGCAGGGATGACTCGTGATCATAACGTATGAGATCTTGATATTAATACCCTTTGTAGTGAAGCTGATGGCGGAACGAAGGCTGTGCACGCTTGGACTATCCTATGAACACGCCTTTTTTTTAGCTCATCCAGTTTCTCGACATCAACTTAGAAAATACACGTCAGAAAGGGAGCTGTGGTACTCTTCCACAAGCTAAATAAGGAGGGCATGTAAAGGGAGCAAAACCTTTTGGGCTACTGGATCGCTAATTTTTCTTTCTGGGGCAAGACGCTAGAAAGCGTGCATCTAGCCGTTCGCGAGGTGTAAATGATAAACTGTGTGTGAGTAGTCTCAATATACATAAAAGACGGTAGTTCCTAGGTGTCTGACAACAAATGATAGGTGTCCGACAACAACGCAGATCCTGCATAACACATATAGGGAGAGGGTTAGTTTTAGGACTTAGCAGAATCTATTAAAATAACATTAAAAAGTACTTTACTAGGAGTGTTTTGTGAAGGATCTGAGTTATTGTCGGACACCTATCATTTGTTGTCGGACACCTAGGAATTATCAAAAAGACTCCCTGTTCACTTGCCCACTCCTATTCCTAGCGCGTCTTAGCGATTTTCTGCAGGCGAAGACACTGAATTGCCAACGCTTGGCCTTTTCGGTCACTAACCAGCATAAACCGGAAAGACGACAGAAGAGTGGAGGACGAGAATTTGGTCGGATGAGTAAAGATCAAGGGGTATACTTATCGAACAAAGGTCTTGGAAAACGCGCGGCTTATCTGAACATAAGATAGGGTTCCTCAAGAGCGCTCCTCCTCATACTGCTGCAACGCTTTCGCTTTGTCTTCATCAGGCCCGACTGCGACTTCATCGTCGCTGCTGAGACCCAGCTCTTCCAGCTTATTATCCA